GAGATGGCGAGATTGAGAGAGAGAGAGAGAGAAAGAGAGAAAGAGAGAGAGCAAGAGAGACAACGTGCTTCTGTGTAAAATCAGGTGCAGAACAGCCAGTGAGAGAGAGAAAGAGAGTGTGGTACAACACAATGCAATTTGCATTTCATTCAGCACCTTTCATGTCGGGGAGGGGGCGCGGGGAGGAACGATATTGTCGGAGGTGCTGTTCTTCGGATGAGACGTTAAACCGTTTCCCCTCTGTTCAGATAAACATTAAACACCCCTGTGGCGCTATTCAAAAAAAGAGAAAGGAGTTTCTTTCTCCAGATATACAGCGTATACTGTGTGCAATTAGGTGCCATATTTCGCTCACAGAATACACAGTCAATTCACTTTACAGTGAAGCGCTTTGAGACGTCTCGACGACATGATAAGGCGCTGTATCAAATGCGCCTTATTATGTAGTTTGGGTCATGACATGTGCAAACGCCTGTCAGGATGGTGGAAGTCGAACTGGAGGGACCTTGGTCTTCTTTCGTCTCACAATTCCTATGTTCTTATGTTGTAAAGTGTCGTGGCTGACAATCCCCCCCACTAAAAATCGGTGGCTCTCCCCAGGGCTGTTTGCGTAGGACACACGCAGTCTCCATGCACTTACTCTGAGACATCTCGATGACGCGATAAGGTGCTGAGTCAAATGTAAGGATTAGTGTTGTTCTTAACAAAGCACGAAGAGGCTGAAAATAAAGACGTGTTATGAACTAAAGCAGCGAGAGGTGCCCTCCACTGCAAACACACGTCTGAGAGCTGCGATGATGTGAATAATCTGCTTGACCTCACTTAAATATATTTTTTCCCCCCTAATTGAAACCTCAATTATGCTTCTCAGAACATTCACTCCCGGGGATGGGGAGCCAGTGACGACGGGTGAGGGTGGGCGTTAAAGGATCACAGAGCTAGATGCGGGAGAGGACAGAGTTCTGAATAATGTGAAGTTTGTGGAGGGAAGAGTTGGGCAGACCTGCCATAATCTAGTAATCTGGTAGAACCCGTTCGATGTGTTGAATGTTCCTGAGTCATTATGTCAGCGTGAGGTCAGCCTCACTGGAGATATTGGCTCTGATTGCAAATTTCTGTGACTGCATTTTCTCAGACTAACTTCAATATAACATGGCCAGATTTATACAAGTTACAAGACAAGACCCGTAGTGCGGAGTCCTGTGCAGTAGTGGTTATTGCGCTCACCTCACACGCGAGGGGACCCGAGTTCAATTCCCGGGCCGGGCAAGTTTCCTCACTCCACGCGCCTCTGTTTACAGAGCAGTAAATAAGAACCTGGTTGTTAGTCAATTGCGAATTGTTTTCCTGGGGTTGATAATCCTTCCCCCCCCAAAGAAATCGTGTCACTCAATCCACGACTGTGTACGCAATTGGCTGCCTCGTTTGGTCCACAAAACACAGTCAGTGTCCTCTATCAAACGCAAGGATTAATATTATTATTACTATAGTTACAATTTACGAGTTACGCAGCGCCTTTCACATCAGGAGGACGTCTCAAAGCTTTTGACCTCATACCGTGGGCTGGGTGGGGAGGCGAGGCGGGGCGGGCGGGGCGGGGTGGGGGTGGGGGGAGTGGCGAAGAACAGGGAGGGAATGAAAGTCAAAGAAGGTAAATTCAGATTTGCATTTGCTTAAAGAAAGGAAACTAATAATAAATAAATAATCCTTGCCTTTGATGTAGTGTTTTTCATGTCTTCGAGACGTCTCAAAGCCCTTCACAGAATATACTGTAAAAGTGGATTGACTGTATATTTTGTGGATGAAACACGGCAGCCAATTGCTCACAGCAGTGTCCCCACAAACAGGGGTGGATTGAAGTGACTAATTTATTACTGTGTTTTTTTCTTGAGGGATTATTATCAGGTGTTTTTGTGGAGTAAGGAAACTTGCCCAAGGTTACACCCTGCTGGGAATGACACCCAGGTCTCTCGCTTGTCAGGCAAGTGTTCTAACCACTGAGCTCCAGGACTCCGTCTTGGAGAAACAAATAGAGAATTGGTCGACACGGTGCTGGTTTGATTGGTGTGATGAACGACAGCGATAGCCCTGTTGAAACGTTCACCCCAATTATTAACGCAAATGGTAAATTAAGGCAGATAATCAGCCCTGTTGAGCTCTCTCTGTACTCCTCGCTTTGCACACGAGAAGACTTGCAGGTTTCTGCAGTCTTTTTAGATTTGTCTCACGGTTCCCAGAAGATAGATTAACTCTGACACTTGATACTGATTCCAAACATTGTCTTGTTACGTTCAAATGTAGACAGAAGTCCAGGAACTTTTTTCTTGTTGCTTCAGCCGGGTGTCTGACACACACGGAAACCCATCACCGTTGCTTAAGAGTCTCCGAACCAAACTGAGAATTCCATGCATCCCACCTACACGTGGACATTCTGAGCTGTGAGCATTCTCGTACCCCTTCCACTCCCCCACCTTTACGTTTAATTCTCTCCCTTCCTCCCGAGATCTTTTAATAAACTCTGCATTTGACACAGCGCCTTATCATGTCGTCGAGACGTCTTAAAGCCCATCTTTCATCACAATCGATGCAGAAACCGCAGTCAGTCATTGAAACCAGCAAACAAACAAATACAAACAAATAAATAGAACGCAATAACACTAATTACATCCTATAATAACCACCCTAGGCTTGTATCAGTGCAATGAATAAATCTGAGCTTTTAATGGAAATAGCTATTGCCGGGGAGATGTTGGAACAATGTCTATCAATAGTGAAAACATGAAACAGACATTAAAGGCAATTTGTCAGAGGCAATGCTTAATGATAATAAAAAATGTCAAGACTGGTACAAAGATTTTTTTCTCTCTCTCCTCTCTCTCTCTCTCTCGCTCATATACGCGTTGCCGTGGGCAATACAAATAATTTTGCCCGGGTCTGGAAACCAGTCTTCTGTTTCTACACCGGTTGAAGGGAAAACCATTTGTGGGATGTTGCCATACGCAAATTATATAATTTTCGTAATAAACCTCGTGTTATTTGTTTATGTGATCCAGGTGGATTGTCGGCCGGGTGGAAGGGTGGAGGGCAGGGAGGGTAGGGGTTAGGAGGTGACCAAAGACACGGTTGAAGAGGAAGATCTTGGGATGGTTCTTGCAGGAGGAAAGGGAGGCAAAGGGAATGTGGGATCAAGGCCCCGACTGCCGATAGTGGGGCGGGTAGGATAAGGACGTAAAGCAGGCCGGAGCACAGGGAGCAGACAGACTGCTATGGGGTTAGCAGATCACAGAGGTAGGGAGGAGCAAGGCCACGGAGGTAGGGAGGGCTTGAGTTCAACATTGCACAAAGTAGCCATGAAGTGAACAGAAATTTACATCTGAAGGATTCGCTCACAGGGTACAGAACTAATTATTTCCTAGCATTTGATGCGTGCAATAAAGATAAGCATCAAAGTATATGTTCTATTACACCACACACATACACTACACACGTCCACACACCCCCTCCTCGCTCCCATCCCCATCCCAATTACTGGAAATAACGGGTGATTGCTTTAAGAAGGATTACTGGTGGCCATTATCAGGTAATCTCACGTTGCTCCCTCTGTTCGTAGAGACGTGTCAATGCCATCGGGGGCCATGTTTTTTCCACGGGAGATTTCAAACGAACATCTTTCATTTCCTAATTAAACACAAGAGTTTTCGATGCACTAATTGGCCATCCTGACCTTAGGTGGAATCAAGCAATTAGTTGGTAAACAGCGGTCTTCTGCATGTCAAGTAGCAGTGGAATTGGCTCTTAGGGTTTTCCTTTTTGATATAATAATATTAATAATAATAATCCTTGCATTTGATACAGCACCTTATCAGCTTCGAGACGTCTCAAAGAACTTCGCAGGATATACTGTAAAGTAGATTGACTGCATAATTTAATAATAATAATGATAATCCTTGCATTTGATATAGTGCTTTTCACGTCGGGAGGACGTCCCAAAGCGCTTCACAGAACACACTGTAAAGTGAATTGACTGTATGTTTGTGGGCGAACGCGCAGCCAATTGCGCACAGCAATGTCCCACAAACAGTCGTAGATTGAAAATGACCAATTTATTATTGTTTTGTTTTTTGGAGGGATTATTATTAGGCTCTGTGTGGAGTAAGGAAACTTGCCCAAGGTTTCGCCCTCTGCCGGGAATTGAACTCAGGTCTCTCACTTGCAAAGTGAGTGCTCTAACCACTGAGCTACAGGACTCCACAATTTCCTAGCATTCCTAGCGAGCAGGACTCGCCCAACTTGTGGGCGAAATGCAGCAGCCAATTGAACACAGCAGCGTCCCACAAACAGTCGTGGATTAGGGTGACCAAAATGTTTTTTTAAGGGATTATTACCCTTGGAAAAACAAACCGCCAGTCGACTGACAACTTACTGCTGGGTAACCAGAGGCGTGTGTGTGCGTGTGTGTGGAGTAAGGAAACTTGCCTAAGGTTTCGCCCCGATCCTCACCCAGGGAATCGAACCCGGATCCTGTAGCTTGCGCTTCGAGACTACACTCACTACACGACTGGGGTTGTTGTTGTTGTTGTTTAGTTAGCATGGGAAACGGATCACGAAATACCACATGTTTCCCATTCCCCCCCCCCCCCCCCCTATGAGTCACGTGTGACACATGTGTGACATTCACGTCAGGATGCTTACAGGTAACCCATGCGATCGTGTTTGCATACAATTTGCTATTTAAAATATTTGGGTAAAATAATATGAAGGCACAGTCAGAAAACTGGTTTTGCCGGCTCACAGCCGGGTTGTTGAGATAGGCGGCTCATCGCTGATTGGAACACTGGGCTTATTATCTCAGTGCCAAAAAAATATCCGAAGCTGTCTATTTAAGCAGTAGAGACACTGACAGCTCACACGCACACACACACACTCTCACACACACTCACACTAATGGTTCGTTTGCACATCACCCGATAGTGGACACAGCTAAACAGTGCGATGCGAGCATGTCCACCATGGTAAGATCCTAAGTTGAATGAGCCTCTTGAAATGCGTTAATTATTAGCAGAGAGTGAGAGAGAGAGAGAGAGAGAGAGAGAGCTTGCACGCGATTGACATGATTTTATCTCTGTGTGACAGTTTTCTACTTGATGTGTGTGTGTGTTTTTCTGTTGTTTCGTTCCATTGTCCAACACTATGGTACTCTGTACGTTTCTTCACTGCTCTCCCTCTCTCTCTCTCTCTCTCTCTGTCGGCTAAGCTCTATTCATGAGGTTTTCGCACCCTCATCAGTCTGCCCCGATGCAAAACTGCGAAGCCAATGCGGAAAATATAATTTTATTTGTTTTTGCCTAAGCTTAGCTGTTTGACCGCACTAATGGTTTAGCACACGGGAGTGTATTGTCAAAGCTTAGGGTGTATCAGGTGGAGAGGACACACACGAAATGTGCGTCAGTCTGGCTCAGTTGGTAGAGCTCTCGCCTCTGAGTCAGAGGGTGGTGGGTTCAAGCCTCCAACGTCAGGACTTTGAACTCCTTGTAGTCTAAGCGGACTCTCCATTGCAGCGCTGGGGGTAGGTCTTGCATACGTTAAAGATCCCGTGGCGCTGTTTGAAAAGAGAAGGGAGTTTCTCTCTCTCTCTCCCACTATCCCGGCCAACAATTCCCCCAAATAAAATTGGTAACTCACTCCACGGCTGTTGGTGAGACACTGCTCGCCTGCGAAACAGTCACTGCACCACTACAAAACAGACACAACACATCCTGCAAAGTGCTTTGAGACGTCCTCCCGATGTGAAAGGGCTCTGTGTCAAACGCAAGGGTAAACAGTATGAAACGTTTGCCAAAACCTCGTTACCTGGTTCCTTCTCTCCCCGCCTCAGGACGATCTTAAAAAAACATCTGTCTCTTGGTCTGTGAATTTGTAAAACACCATTAAATGTTCCCTTCCTCTCTTCCCTGCTCGTTGCAAACTATTTTCTCAGGAAAGGCCTTTGGGGGTTGTGAGAGGATTTGAGCTGTGACTGTAAGATGCAGAGTAGGATATTGTGACAGATCTCCTGATGGACTTGATGAAAGTTCCCCCTCCCTATGTGTCAGCCTGGGGCAAAGGGGTGGAATTCGTAAGTCAGTCAACTTCTTTCTAAAGTTCTTGCGCCAGAGAAAAGGGATGCGTTTGCGGGTGGAGCAGGGAATGCTGGCACAATAATAATCCTAGCCATTAATCATCCAGCCTTCAGAAATGAGGATTGAGTGGGTTTGAGACAGAACACTTGAATGAGAGTCTATAATGGTGGAGAGAGAGAGAGAGAGAGAGAGGAGGGTGGAGTCTTCAGTCATTAGCTCACCCGCAAACTCTGAAACACCCTGATTCAAAGTTTCACCCACAGAATACACTCTGTTGTGGAGTCACGTAGCGCAGTAATAATCCCTCAAAAAAATTATAACAATAATAATCTGGGTCCCACTCAAACCACGTCTGTTTGTGGGGACGCTGCTGGGCGCAATTGGCTGCCATGTTTTGCCCACAAAATTCACAGTCACTACACTTTACAGTGTATTCTGGGAAGCCCTTTGAGACGTCTCAACGAGGTGATAAGGCGCTATTTCAATCCCTCCACTTCTTTCCTCCCCTCCCCCACTCCCCCCTCCCCCACTCCCCCCTCCCCCACTCCCCCACTCCCCCCCTCCCCCACTCCCCCCTTCCCCCATCCCCCCCTCCCCCACTCCCCCATCACTGAAGTTCTTGTTGTTATCGTTCGTCCCCTGACAGAGTTCCAAACCATTGGTTTCGGTCGATGAGCCCTCGAGTCCCGCAAGTAACTGCGGGGAGGAGATGACCTTGATGAACGTGGTGCCCGTGAGGGCATACCAGCCGCCCTTCGTCATGCCTCCCTCTGCCGCCACCCTCCGCCGCCGCCGCCGATGGCAGCGCCGATTCGGTAAGCGGCGAGCGGAGCGGTGACTCTCCCAGGATGGGGTCCAGCGGTTAGCGCGCTCGCCTCGTAAACCAATCGATGATCGAGATTGTCTTCCACGAGTGACATTTCTAACTGCACCAAAAATAAGATTGTAAGCAATCGCATCGTTCTGATTCCAGCACCAGCGAGGGAATTGGCATTACCTTGTGATCGAGGCTTGCACCGTTGAATTCGTGTTATCTGTGGGCCGTAATAATAATAATAATTTGGTCGCTCAATCCACGGCTGTTTGTGAGGACGCCGCTGGGAGCCATTGGCTGCCGCGTTTCGCCCACAAAATACAGTCAATTAATTTTATCGTGTGTCCTGTGAAGTGCTTTGAGACGTCTCGAAGACGTGATGAGACGCTGTATCAAATGCAAGGATTATTATTATTATTATTTTCCAGGATTAAATCTCCCGAAGAAAATCCTCACTCTTCTCTTCATCGTCACGCTCTGCACCGTGCTGGCCGTCGTAATCTGGCTCCTCAGTAAGTGGATTGACTTTATTTCACCACAATCTTGTCAACTCTTTGAGAAATTAAAGCCCCGATCGCAAAGTCTCTGCAAATAACAACAATAATAATAATAATAATTCTTGTTATAATAATACTCACTCACTCACTCACTCACTCACCTATATGATATAGCGCTTATCACATCATTGACACGTCTCAAAGCGCTTCACAGAATATACTTTAAAGTGGAGTGACCGTGTATTTTGTGGGGAAACACGGCAGCCAATTGCTCACAGTCGTGGTTTGAGTGACCCAATTTTTGGGGGGGAGGAATTATTACAACAACGAACCACAAATTAGATTTGTTTTGCGCCTTTCATGTTGATGACGTCCCAAGGAAACTGATCCACCAATTGACTAGCAGCCAGGTTCCCAGTTACTGCTGGGCAAATAGAGGCGGTTAAGGAAACTTGCCTAAGGTTTCGCTCTGTCCAGGAATCCAATCGCCCTGTCCATAGCTAACCGTTATGCTACAGTACTCCATAAGGTGGTTGTCTTTGAATAGAGGCGCACTCGCCTACAAAACACAGTCACTACATGGTACAGCAAATCCCGGGAGGTGCTTTGTGACAACAGAACATTATTTAGCACCTTCTTCCCCCTCTGTCCCGAGTTCCCACTCTCCCCAAATTCTTGTTCTAGAAATCCCCGCTCTGTTCCCACCTCACTCCGTTCTCAGCTCTCTCTCTCTCTCTCTCTCTCTCTCTCTGCTGGGGCTGTCTGCTCAAGGTTACCTCCCGTGAATGGCGTTGTATCGACTGCAAAGATTTGTCATTGTCACTTCTGTTCTCTCCCTTCTTCTTTCACGTCAGTCACTTACCTGGAGCGACCGGCTGAACAAACCATCTACACGCCCCCAGGGATTAAATTCACTATCAACTGCAACGAGACAGACACTACCGTGAACAATTCAGCTGTCGAGAGAGGTTTGTGCTACATTTTTTTCGCGAGCAGACCTTCCGTGTGAAATACAGCTTTGACTTTTTCTTTTCCCATCCCTCCCCCTTTATTAATAATAATAATAATGATTGCTGCTGATGACTAGCTCGTCGGCTTTCTACTCAGCTCCTGTTAATCCTGCAAGCCCCCAACACACAATCTGGACTCCCCTCCCCAAGCCTTGGCTCTTGCCAACCTGCGCCTAATCCTCTCCAGAATTAGGTAAGCAGGATACCTCCCTCCAGAGAGAGAGAGAGAGAGCCATTCCATTCCAACAATCTATCTCTGGGATTTCCATGTGTGGGTGGGAGGCGGGGAATCCTCAGTTTGGTTTGGAGACTCTTAAGCAGCGGTGATGGACTTTCACGTGCGTCAGATAATAGAAAGAATCCTTGCATTTGATATAGCGCCTTATCATGTCCTCAAGACGTATCAAAGCGCTTCACAGGATTTACTGTAAAGTGGATTGGCTGTATTTTGGTTTTCATATTGAGTGTTCTTTAGTCTCTTTCAGGATAAACAGCAAGAACTCGTTGTTGGAGATACACAACACTTCCTGGCGAGAGTGGCTTCCCGTGTGCGAAGAGAATTGGAATTCGTCCATCTGCAAGTCGATGTGCCGTCATATGGGATATGTCAGGTCTGACATTGAATTTCATCTGGATTCTGGTGTTCAGAGCAAGTCTGAGCTGGGAACATAGGAACAGGAGGCGGCCATTCAGCCCCTCAAGCCTGTCCCACCATTCTATTAGATCATGGATGATCTGTACCTCAATTCCAATTACATGCTTTTGCTTCATATCCCTTTTCACCCTGACCTGACAAACATCTAGTCACCTCAGTCTTGAAAATTTGAAGTGATCCAGACTATTCCTCACTCTCCCTGTTCCCCCATTGTTTACCGAACCTTCCACCACAATGCTCCCCTTCTCTGGAGCCCCTCATAGGGGGAGTTTCTCCTGGTGTCAACCCCAACATCCTCCAGTAAACTGGCTATTTCATGGGCCATTTGCTGTGCACAGAAATGGCTTCTGCGATTGCCTCCAAACGTGGTTTGACTTTGAGGGAGATGACCACAACAACAACAATAACAATTACACTTGTGAGGCTCCCTTCATGTCGGAAACCCGTCACGGGCTATGTATCAATGTTATTTTTATTTTGTTGCGCTCCGCAGGTGTGTGAATTATAGCGTAGTGAGCGTGAGAGATATTGGATCCAATTACACCCACGGATTCATTGAGATCGAGAACAAGTGGGACCACAACCTGGAAAACATCTGGCACTACAGGTAAGTACAGATGTGGCTATGCTGAACATGGTGGGCATGTTATGAGGTGACTTTCCTACCAACCTCAGCATCTTACGACGAGACAGGATTCTATCCCACGTTTCAGAATCCACAATCCAACTGAAATCCAACACTGGGAATAGGAATCCCAAAGGGATTTTTCACCCACCAGTCAATTCACTTTACAGTATGTTCTGTGAAGCACTTTGAGACGTCTCAAAGAAATGATGAGACGCCTTATCAAATACAAGGATAATAAAGGGCTGTCAGATCATAAGTGGTGGTTTAGGTGGAAAAGACCATTTCACCTCATTTTTCAAACAAACTGTAAATGTATGGAACAGGTTCCCTCAGGAGACGGACTGTGGAAGCAGAAAGTGTCAACTCTTTCAAATGCAAATTGGATAGATTTTGTATAACAATGTTACAATATGTATGAGTAGTTTAGGATATGATATGTGAATGCGATTGCCATGGTGGAAGGTGGACTGGATGGATGGACCTTGGTCTTCTTTCGTCTAGCAATTCCTATGTTCTCATGACTTCCCATTACAGCGACAAGCTCAATGAGTCCCTAGACAACAACCACAACAGCAAATTACACTTGTGTAGTCCCTTCACGTCAGAAAGACGTCCTAGACCCCTTTCCTGGTGACCCCATTCCAGTTGTTGATTGCTCATTTGTGTGCAACAATGCTTCCTGGTAATTGGACCTGAGATTGCCCTTCACACCCTCAATTTATCTGGTCTCTTGTCTCGGTCAACCTGAAAGTATTGTTCTGGGTTTATGTTCTCAACCCAATCGCCAACTCGTCTATAAAATCCCTTGTGAGACATCTCCTTCCAAGGTTAAAGAGACCCAATTTATCTCATTGATCCTCATATGGCTCATCCCTTGGGGCCCAGTCTCCCACTCTAACTGGGAGGGTTTGTCTGGCTGAGTTTGTCAGCTTATTTCAGTAGCTCAGAATTGACCATGTTGCTACATGGAAAATGTTCATTTATCAAGAACATAGCAATTGCTAATCGAAAAAAGACTAAGGTCTATCTAGTTTGTCTTCCACCACAATTAATAATTTGGTCACTCAATCCACGACTGTTTGAGATACTGCTGTGCGCAATTGGCTTTCACCTACAAAATACACAGTCACTCCACTCCACTCCACATATCCTGTGAAGCGCTTTGAGACATCTCAACGATGTGATAAGGCGCTATATCAAATACAAGGATTATTATTATTATTATTATTATTATTAACCTCAGCTAAATGGAACAATCCTTCTTGTTTTGCAGGACTAGCTGTGGGTCTGGCAAAGTGATACAACTAAAGTGCTCTGGTGAGTCAGTAAGCGTCCAGTCTAGGCCAACGCACGGGTGGGGGGTTGCGGGGGGAGCACTGCATTGCAGGGTGTGGGCTTGTAGGACTGTTTAAAACTGAGGTCCAGTCCGTGCCTGTTAAAGGATTCCACGGTGCTATTTGGGAAATGGAAAGGGGTTTCCTTCCGTTATCCTGGTCCGCTTTCCCCCTCCTGATTAATTAAATCGCTCATTCACTTTGTTGCTGTTTGAGGGTCGTTGTTGGGTGCAAATTGGCTTCCCACGTTTTACAGGAAAACTCTGTGAAGCGCTTTGAGACATTGCAGTGTTATATGGTATAGGCATCACGCTGGCGAGGACCTGGGTTCGATTCCCAGCCGGGCCAAAGGCTTAGGCAAGTTTCCTTACTCCACACGCCTCTGTTTACCCAACAGTAAGTAGGAACCCGGTTGTTAGTCGATTGGCGGATCGCTTTCTGGGAGTAATAATCGGTCGCAAGAAATAATAATTTGGTCACTTCAATCCACAATTGTTTGTGGGGTCGCTGCTGTGCAGCTACCGAGTTTCACCTACGAAATACACAGTCAATTCACTTTGCAATATATTCTGTGAAGGGCTTTGAGACGTCTTGAAGACGTGATAAACCCATGTATGCAAGGATATCATTATTATTATTATTATTATTATTATATTAAGCAACATCTTGCCAACACATCTCAAATCCCTGTCTCTTAGAAACGGTTGAGAAATATTGGATCATCATTGCATTCAATGCGTCATTTGATGTGTTATTATTGTTATGACTTGATAAGACATTGCATCAATTCGCAGATTATTATTGTAATTCTAACCCTTTAATATTCTTTCTCCCCCCTACCCCTGCCCTCTCCCACCCCCCTGCCCCAACCCCCCACCCCCCACCTCCACACCCGCACACACACTCTCTCGTCGGTGTGAAGAATGTGGAGAGAAACACGTCTTCTCTATGATAGTTGGAGGCAGCGATGCTTCGCTGGGCAGTTGGCCGTGGCAGGTCACACTATACAACAACTACAACCACGTGTGTGGAGGCTCCATCATAGACCAGTTCTGGATCCTCACTGCAGCTCACTGCGTGGAAAAGTAAGTCCACAGAGTGTACGCCAAACTATATTCAAGACCTCCGCGACGCAGTCCCACGTAAGGGAGGGCGCTATTAAAATGCAACGCGTCCAGATTATTGTTGTTGATGTCAAGACTGAACATGTTAAGGTAAATTAATAATCATTCATAATAACAATCCTTGCATTTGATACAGTGCCTTGTCACGTCGTCGAGACGTCTCAACGCGCTTCACAGGATATGCTGTAAAGTGTAGTGACTGTACATTTGTGGGCGAAACGCGGCAGCCAATTGCGCACAGCAGCGTCCCACAAACAGTCGTGGATTGAAGTGACCAAAGTATTATTTTTTTCAAGTTTATTTTTTTGGGGAGGGTTTGTTACCCCGGAAAACGATCTGCCAATTGTACTTACTGCTAAAGAGACCGAGGCGAGTAGAGTAAGGAAACTTGCCTCAGGTTTTGCACATTGTACTCTTGCTTGCGATGCGAGTGTGCTAACCGCTATGCTATGGGGACTCTACATCATCATAATAATAAAATAAATAATAATCCTTGCATTCGATATCATGCTTTATCATATCTGCTTATTATACATTGATATAATATATTATTTGATGATATAAGAGGATATAAGAGGATATGTAATATATATAATATATATTATACTTTTATTATATCATTGTTAATATATATGATATGAATATAATCTAATGATAAACAATATATAATCTAATCTAGTTTATTAGATGGCATGTTTGAGGCCTTTGGGGTACTGGTTAGAGCAATATTGGTTACATATTGAACATATGCAAGACTGAGGTTGATAGATTTCTAAAGGATAGAGGGATTAAGAGATATGGGGATAATGCGGGCAGATGGAGTTGGGTTAGAAGATCAGCCATGATCTTATTGAATGGCAGGACAGGCTCGAGGGGCTGAATGGCCTACTCCTGCTCCTAATTCCTATGTTCCTATGTTCCTATGTTAGAGACTGGGTTAGTGTTAGGGTTAACCCTAATTGGAATTTGGGACTTGAGATGGCTTTTGTTTTGCAGGTTCCCAGTCAATTCCAGATGGTTTGTCTACGCTGGGGTGGTCAATCGGCAGCTGCTCATGTTCTCCAGCCTCCCCACCTTCTACGCGGAGACAGTCATTTATCACAAAGACTACGATGACGCCAGCCACGACTATGACATTGCCCTCATGAAGCTGAAATTCCCTATCCAGTTTTCTGGTGGGCCTCTCTCTACCTTCCTCCCATCTGACTGTCCAGCACCAAGGGCCGTCCTCCCCACGTGAAAGGCGCTATATAACAAATATAATTTGTTGCAGTTGTTCGTCCTCAAACATTTTTTTGGGGGTGGGGTCAGCCGGGTGTCTGACACGTGCAGAAACCCATCACCGTACACAAGCGTCTCCAAACCAAGCTGAGAATTCCCTGCCCCAGTGACTGGTCCCTCTGTGGTTATTTTATCTGTTAATCCCCAGAGGCCGACTGACACCGGCTCCTGCTCGTCTCTCGCACCCTCCGCCCCACCATAGGAGGTCGCGCTATCAGCCACTACGCCCCACAACTCTGGAACGCTCTCCCTCAGTCCCTCCGCCTTGCCCCCCCCACTCTCTACCCTCTTTCAAGTCCTACCAGAAAACTTTCCTGTTTGACCGTGCTTACAGCCACCGCCCCATCCCCCGGCTCGGAGTCAGGCTCCGCCGCTGTTGAGCGCTCTGAGACATTGCCCTGAGTGGAGGGCAAGTTATTGTTGTTAAACCGTTGCTCTCGCCTGTTTCAGACACTATACGGCCTGTCTGTTTACCGCGGTATAACCAAGAGTTCCCGGCAGGGAAGAAATGTTGGATATCTGGTTGGGGCCACAGCAGCTCAGATGCCTGTAAGTTTCCTTCTTGATTTTAATAGCCCTTATCTTTGATACAGCTCCTTATCACATCGCCGCAACATCTCAAAGCTCTTCAAGTGTGCAAGGATATTAATATTATTATTATTCCTGACTGCGGTCCCTCCAGATGCGATAGAAGACAACTTAAAGGAAGCTTCAGTCCCATTGATTAGCACCAGGTGGTGTAACAGCAGCTGTATGTACAACGGCAGCCTCACCCCCAGGATGATGTGTGCTGGGTACAAGGACGGCAAAGTGGACGCTTGCCAGGTGCGTGTGTGCGCCCGTACCATGCGTGTGTGAGCGTGTGCGCATGTGGCATGTGTGCGTGTCTGCATACATTCTCTCTAGCGTTAAACGTACATGTTTTATCTCTCTCTGTGTAAAATATAACAATAATAATCCTTGCATTTGATACAGCGCCTTATCACGTCTTCGAGACGTCACAAAACGCTTCACAGGACACACTGTACAGAGAATTGACTGTGTATTTTGTGGGCAAAGCTCAGTATATATGTAATACTCAAACGTATAAATATATATAAGTATATAGCGTATCTGGGTAAAGAAAAACTTCTTGGTGTCTGCCCTTTGCAACTCTAAACCAATCTCCTCTCGTTCTCCGGCCTCGGTACATCCTAAAGTACTGTCAGACTTGTGCCCTTCTGTGTGTGTGGCCATGTGTATACGTGTCAGTCGTTCAAAGCACCAAGTACTTTGAGACGTTCTGACCTGACACAAGCGGTTGTGGCTGTCATTGTTAGGTGTCCCGGTGCCTTGGGACGTCCTCCCGACATGAAAGGCTCTGCATAAATGTAATTTATTGTTGTTATTGTTGTTACAGTAACAACGTCTAAGCCCAAGGCTTTGGAACTCTCTCCCCCGATCCCCCTGTCTTGCCCCTTCAGATCGCGCCTGAAAACCTACCTCTTCGACCGTGCTTACCCCCCACCCCCAACCCACCGCCCCCGGCTTGACATTGTGCTCCGCCACTGTCAAGCGCAACAGACGCTGCCCCACGTGAAGGGCGATGTGTAAATGAAAGTTGTTGTTGCTGTTACAGGGAGACAGTGGAGGCCCCTTAGTGTGTGAGGATGTCTATGCCTGGCACCTGATGGGGGTGGTGAGTTGGGGTCTTGGATGCGCTAAAGCCAATTACCCCGGGGTCTACACCAAGGTGACTGAATTTCTGGACTGGATATACAATGTCATTGAGGTAAGAGGGGCGCGCGTGTGTGTGTGTGTGTGTCTGTCTGTCTGTTGGGCAGTTACACAGTCAGAACCCCTTTATAACCCACCCAGACACCCCGACATCCGCGCTATACCACATGGTGCAGGTACGGCTTTCCATAGCATGCGCACGCAGGAAGTGACGTCAGCGCCAATCTGATGACCCGGAAACGTTGACCGCCAGATTTTTTGTAGCAAACATAGGCACAGGAGTAGGCCATTCAGCACCTTGAGCTTGTTACTCCATTATATTGGATCAGGGCTGATCGGCACCTCAACTCCAATTATATAAATTACTGTATATTAATTCAGTCCACATTATAATGGGGGATTTGAATGTATGATCACAAGGCATCGCGTTATATGGGGGGGAGGGTTGGTGGTGGGGTGTATTTCGGGGTATAATTAGCAGGATTCCTCCAATGATTATTGTACTTTTCTCCTCTTCCCCCAGTCTCACTAAACCACACGATCCTGCTATCACACTGTTGTGGCGATTGGGAGATGGAACCAGGCGTGTGGATCCAGTGTTTTCTCCGCCAAGTTTTCCTGGTGACTTTGTGTGGCTTTGGAGGGGGTGGGCGGGTGGAGGGGGTGTCTTATTGTTGACTGGATTTTTGTTCAATAACCAGGAAACATCGGTGTGTGAAAGTGATGGAAATGGGTCTAAAATGCCCCCAAATTGACAACCCACGTAGCTCGCCCGTCGTTCCTTGTTTCATTGGCCTGACCGCTTTCGCTATCTCTTTCGCTGGAGTGAACCTTGTGATAGGAACAAGAAATGGTGCTTCTATTAATGGCAAACTATGTGGTTTTAGCTGGAGAGACTTCAGCAGTTATCCCATCACACGCTCTGGGCTCCCCTTGCCAACCTGCGCCTAATACTTTCCGGAATTTGGTAAGCAGGATGGTCCCTATAGGGATAGGGAGAGAGAGAGAGCGCATTCCATTCCAACAATCTATCTCTGGGATTTCCATGTGTTGGTGAGATGCCTGGAATTCTCAGTTTGGTTTGGAGACTCTTAAGCAACGGTGATGGGTTTCCGAGAGTGTCAGACACCCACCCGGCTAAGCAAAAGCAAAAGTCAGTGCTTCCAACTATTAATGACGTTGATCATGGGAATTTGGTGGCTGACACTGCAGAGAGAGAGAGTCACGGCAGATGCTAGAAGGGTTTGCTTCAGAGAAGATATAATTGATCAGCAGGTGAATTCATCAAAACACTAAAGATCCTATGTAAGGGTGTAATCTCGACTCCAACACAATATGCATCAAAGTGTCAGGTGAACCAGAGAGCAACCAGAATGATTGAGGGGAAGAAGGGACTAGATTATGAGGAGCGATTAAGGAAACCAGGAATGTTCACACTGGAGAAGAGAAGGTTGAGGAGATGGTATGAATGTGGTTTTTAAGATTCTAAAGAGATCTGGATAACTGTACGTCATGATAAGCTGTTTAATCTTGTCCAGAACCAGAGGACATGGCCTGCGATTGAAGGAGGTTCATTGCAGAAACACTGTTTCAGTGAGCGAGTAGTAACTGCGGAACAGGCTCCCGAGGGAGACGGAAAGCGTTGATTCTTTCAAAAGCAAATGAGATAGATTTCTGTTAGGAAATAATATCTGGGGGATACAGGATATAGTTTGGGGACATGACTTGTGCAAGCGACTGGCAAAATGGTGGAAGGTGAACTGGATGGACTCTGGTCTTCCTTCACCAGTAAATTCTTATGTTCTTATAATCATCCTCTCAAACTCAGAAGGAGGTCAGTTGAATAGGCTTAATGGTGAATAAGTCTTTTTTGACAGAGACATTAGGCGAGAGAGAGAGGGAGAGACATTCGAGGCCAACGCGACAGCCAATTTGCACACAGCAAACAACCGTGAAATGAATTGTCAGTTGTATCTGGGTATTGTCACCGGGGGAGAGAAACTGCCTTCCCTTTTCCAATAGTTCATATTAACACAGACAGGAACTCGGTTTGATCTGATGGACGGACAGGGCTCCTCTCACCTGCAGCATTGTATTTCTCCCCTGATAATGGGGTAATGGGGTAATAGTAGAGGAGTGGGATTAAATGATAGCACTTACAGAGAGACAGCAATGGGCAGAACAGGCTCTTCTTGTGCTGTTAAAGGCTACAACTCTCCAATCTGGAGCCACGTTATACACTCCAGGCTCGATCCATCGTCTTATAATTATAATTGGAGTCGAGGTACAGATCAGCCATGATCTCAATAGAATGGTGGAACTGGCTCAAGGGGCTGAATGGCCGACTCCTGTTCCTATGTTACTATTTACAACAGAATCTGCTTAAAGACAGGCAAGTCTTTTTGAATACTGTTTACGCTCATTCCTCTTCGGAATATGTAATGTATTTTTTGAATAAAAAAATGTACATTTTGCATGTGGATTACACTGTTTAGTGTTAAAATAATAATAATAATAACCCTTGCATTTGCTGCAACGTCTTATCGTGTTATTGAGACATCTCGAAGCGCTTGATTGAGTGACCACATTTTTTTGAAGGGATTACTACCCCCGAAAAACGATCCGCTAATCGACTAACAACCGTGTCGCTACTTACTGCTGGGTAAACCGGCGAGCGGAGCGAGGAAACTTGCCTAAGGTTGTGCCCCACCCGGGAATCGAACCTGAGTCCTCTTCCCCCACCCCACACCCCACGACTGTTTGTGGGACGCTGCCGTGCGCAATTGTCTGCCGCGTTTCGCCCACAAAATGCACAGTCAATCCACTTTTTAGTATATATTCTGTGAAGCGCTTTGAAACGTCTCGAAGACGTGATAAGGCGCCGCTACATCGAATGCAAGGATTATTATTATTATTATCATTACCAATGTGGCTTTGGCTCACGGTTGTAATTTGCTGCTTTTTTTTTCCCCCCTCAAATGTCAAGATGAACGCAAAGGAAATTTAAGCAAATGAAGTGGGGCGGCAGAGTCTCGGCAGTGGGACTTTTTGTAGCCATGTTTGACATTTGTTGGTAATTACGTCTCTGATCTTCTTCTGAACTGTTGAGTTTATACGTCCTGCATTGATTGCTTCAATATCTCCTCCGACAAGAGTAAAACCATTTCAACTTCCCATCTCCCTGAGCACTTTCTCTCTCTCTCTTTCTTTCTTTCTCTCTTTCTCTCTCAATCTTTTTCTCTCTCTCTCGGGGCTCTGCGTTTAGCCAGGAGTAGGTAATGATGGCGTTATCGAAACTCCAGACCTGATTATTATTTATAATAATCATAATCCTGGTATTAGATGACATGGGAAAACTGTTTCCACTGGTGGGCGGGTATGTCGGTAACCAGAGAACACAGATTTAAGATAATTAGCAAAAATAATATAATAATCTTGCATTTGATATAGCGCCTTATCACGTGATGTCTCAAAGCGCTTCACAGAACATACTGTAAAGTGCGTGTCAATTTGACTTTGACTGTAAACTGACTGTGGATTTTACGGGCAAAACGCAGCTTAGAAGAGACAGAGGGGAGATTTTTTTTACGCAGCGAATTGTTATGATCTGGAGCCCACTGCCTGGCAATAATAACTTTCGAAAGGGAGTTGATAGGTGCTCGAAAGGGAAAAAAAAGTTGCAAGGCTATAGGGAAAGAGCGGGGGGAGTGGGACTAGTTGGTAGCTCTTTCAAGAGCCGGCACAGGCATGATGGCTCGAATGGCCTCCTTCTATGCTGTAAGATTCTATGATCACCTGCAGTTGATTTCAGTTCCGTTTTCAAAGTGCCAACCTCTGAAATATATTTTGTTGCAAACTGTTTGGGTCTCCTCCCTGTTCCTGACCCCCAAAAACCCCCCAAGGGAAGTTTGACATCAGTAGTTTCTTGTTCTTGTGCTCTCCCCACACTCCCCCCCGCCCCGACACACACACACACACACGTATTGCTAGGGATAATTGGACTGTCAGGCTCTGATGAATTGAACAGGCGTCAACATTGCTTTGAGGTCAGCCCAAGTAATACAACGCACCCGCGCACACACAAAAAAAAGCCGCTAATTTTGACAGCTCTGTGCTCCAATGGCACAAAAACTTCTGCACAGCGCAGCACATTAAAGGTGAGAGACTCTGGCCTTCGCTCCTGCCCACTCAGCAAGTTATCCACCCACTGACGTGAGCCAAACAGAGCTACAAACTCAACTTGCATTCACACAGCGCCCTATACGCGGGGAGCTTCGGAGAGCTTAACAGCAGCGTGGTTTGACACCGAGCCAGAAAGAAAGAGGGGTGGGGGGGGGGGGGGAGTGCCAAAGGCGCGGTCGAAGAGGAATGTCTTCGGGTGTGATTTGAAGATGGATGGAGGGGTTAAGTGACAGTTTCAGGGCGTAAGTGGCTGACAGGAGCGGAGTCCCAGGTTCTAGATCCCAGTCCGTCTCCATCTCAGACAATTACTAACAATAATCCTTCCATTTGATATAGCGCCTTATCACATCTTTAAGGTGTCTCAATGAGCTTCACAGAATATACTGTGAAGTGAATTAACAGTGTGGGGAGAGGGGTAGAATTAACAGCGTGCAGGTTTGTGCCAGGACCACAGAGAGACCTTTAACAACTTGTGAAGGGCTCACGTGTGAGACTGTTGAATGCAATAAAAATGCTGCGGTGAAGTTATATTGATGCGTTAAAGGTTTTCAGTGGTTTATGATTGAGATAACGTTGCCATTGACCTCCACAGTCATCCATATGCCTGGCACGTTGCTAACAACTCTTTGCAGGGGTTTTTGTCAAAGCCGTCAGCACTGCAAAGTAGGACTCGATACGCAGAGTACTTGGCTACCCGTTCTCAGATAGATATCAGTCCTATCGCTGATGTTTAGAAAAATCCTTTTTCCCCCTCATCACAGCTCGAAAATTCGTTCCCGAGTGCTGCCTTCTTCTGTAATTTCCAATTCCCGAATCTGTCGCCTTTTGGGGAAATGCATGGACTTGGTGTCGAGATTGGCAAATGGAAATCCTCTGAGAGGCAATGAGCATCTGTTCTGTTTAATATGCAGATTGGCAGTCACCACAATAGATAGACAGAGACAGAGAGAGAGAGACCTTTGAGACTGAAATTGGATTGCCAGGTTTGTGCTGTGTCTCTGGGCATTGTTGACTTGGAGCCTTCAATTGTGGAGGTGATGCCGTGAAACTGGGTTGAACTCAAAAGTTAGGCGGTCCGGCCATCGACGGTCGGGCCTTCAGCCTCTCTGCCTCACCCGTTGGAACTCCATCCTTTCCCTTGCCCTCTCCGTTGCTTCCTTCAAGGCACGTCTCAAGACCTTTCTCTTCGACCGCGCCTTCTGTCACCCTCCTACCCCTACCTTCCCTGCTTTCCACCCCTCCAGATCCCAACCCTCTGCTAGAGAGTTCCAAATCCCTGACTGTCCAGCGCCTTGGGACGTCCTCCCAATGTGAAAAGCACTGGGTAAATGTAATTTGTTGTAGTTTTAATTAATTTCTAATTCGCTCCCCCCTCGGTCACTTTCCTCCACACTCTTTGCTCCCGTCACCTCCTGAAGTCTCTCCCGGTGTCCTGGCCACCAATCCCCCAAATAATTTGTTCACTCAATCCACGACTGTTTGTGGAAACACCGCTGTGCGCAATTGGCTGCCGCTTTTTGCCAACGAGATATAGTCACTCCACTTTACAGTATATTCTGTGAAGCACTTTTTAGACGTCTCAACGATGTGATTAGGCTCCAGATCAAGTGCGATCCACCAATCGACTAACAAACGGGTTCCTACTTACTGCTAGGTAATCAGAGGCGTGTGTGTGGAGTGAGGAAACTCTCTAAAAAGCGTCTCTCGACATTGTGTTCGGGATTGAAAGGAGCCCGAGGTGAACGTCTGAAACATCAAGAAGTTTATTGGTCTAAAAATCTTGACAAAAAACAAATAATAATTTTACTGTCAATTTCCCCCACAGATGATAAGACAACCTTTTATTTTCAGGATGTTACGATGAGGTGACAAAACCACACGTTCGATGGTTTCCTCTTGGTTTCCTCCAGGTCTCAGTGAGAGACAGACACAGCAGAGAAAGGCAAAGAGTGAGCAAGGAGCACTGTAACTCACTGTGAGTCCAATCAACAACATTTTACCCCCTCTCCCACCAACCCTATCCGATTAATATCTGTATAGACGCAAACAGCAACGAGCAGACAACAAGAAACAACAAATTACATTTGTACAGAGCGTTTCATGTCAGGAGGACATCCCAGGCGCTGGATGGACGGTGGTGGAGGTGGGTGGTACCTCACAGACATTTTATACTTTCAGACATCTCCAGTCTCTCGTGTGTTTTGGATACCAAGTCACTGACGTCAACACTGCTTCACTGAGCCACTGATTTAATGGGCGGAATGGAATGCGGTTGAGTTGTACTAAATGGGTTACGTCAGGTCAGTCAAAGGTGTGGTCCCTTGTCCTGTATTGGGTTGCATGGCAGTGATGGTGGAGGGTGGAGAATTGGGTTGTATTTTACTGCTGTAGTGAAGGTCACCGAGAGCGGAGAAGGGAATCTTTTTCCCCTCTGGGCTTTGACATGTCACACCTCAACCGGAAGGTCATGTGTGCAGACAGCGAGCAATCCTGCCCTCCCCAGAGCAGGAGTAAGTCTTCATATCTCACTGTAAATAACAGCCTCGCAACTGCAACTGAGCAGCGAGACACAGACTTAGACGTGGCTAACCTCCTTGTTTGGGGTGGGGTGGGGGGAGAGGGGGAGGGAAGCAGGGCTCTTTGGAGCTGAACTTTGGAACAAAATGTCAGAATTAAGCCCCCGCCTCTGTGATGGTCTCTATTCCGGTTCCTGAGCTAGGCAGGTCTGCAGTATTCCAGGGCACTCACTGCTGATGACAGCACAGCCCGGGCCGGACCTGGAAGGGCCGACCAGTGGGAGTCATCCCACTCAGCTCCTGTTACGCAGATTGTCCAGCGCCTTGGGATGTCCTCCCGATGTGAAAGGCCCTATACAAATGTCATTTTGTTCTCGTTGTTGTTGTTAACCCTGCAGCCAAAGCCCTAACGGTGGTCCGAGCTGGACAAGCAGCGGGAAAGCTTGCCAGACTCTTGCCAAACTGCAGATTTATTACCTCAGCTGCGAAGGATGTTTTACTCACAGCCTAAGCTGTGTGTGTGTGTGTATATACTCAGGTCTCTCCCTTGTCCAATTAATCACGGTTGAAAGAAGGTCCATCTTCACGTAACAACATAGAGAGTCACAGTTGGTAACGTCAACCCCACCCTCCCACCCACCCTCCGACCTCGCCTCACTTGATGTACTTCATGCAGGAGCTCAGTATTGCCAATCCATTTAACTCTCGGAGTTGAGCCATGTGCCTGAGAGCAATGAAAAGACTGTGAGCAACCAAACCGGCCACAGGAAGGCGACACACAGACCGCCTTAAACGCAGCCACAACAGCCAACCGCAAATCACATTTCTGTCGCGCTTTTCAGGTCGGGCTTCCTGACACAGCGCGATCTCCTTTTTTTTTCACACACGCGCCAGAAAATATCTTAAAACCGTAGAAATTGACAGCGCGGAAAGTGATTGCCTTGGGCTTGGAATGAGACAGTCTAAGCTCATGCTCCAGTGCAGCGCTGGGGTGGGGTGGGGGGTGTGGATGGGGTGGGGGGCTGTTGCAACAACAAAAACAACAACTTGCATTTATACAGCGCCCTTCGCGCCGGGTAGCGTTTAACGGTGACGGAATCTGACCCCCGAGAGCACGATCAAAGCGGAAGGTCTTTAGACGGGATTTGAAAGCGGGGAGGGAGGGGGCAAGGCGTGGGGACTGAGGGAGAGAGAGAGCGCGCTGGGGTTTCGGGGCGTAGCGGCTGAAGGCACGGCCACCGATGTAGGCGGACGAGACGTTAACCCGAGGTCCCGTCTGCGGCGCTATTCAACAAAGAGAAGGGGTGGGGGGGGGATCTTCTCTTTCTCTCTCTCTCTCTCTCTGTGCTCCGGCCGACAATTCCCCCCAAAATAAAACCGGTCGCTGACGCCACGGCTGTTTGCGGGGGATGCCCTTTTTTTTTTTGCAGGAGGTGGCGAGTCGAGAAGCCTGGCGGGGCTGCGCAGGATTTGAATTCACCGGGAAGGGCCGCGACTGCGGGTTTCGGAGGCGAATGAGCAGGCCGACCGGCGCAAGAGGCGCAGAGCGCGGGAACGGACAACCTCGGCCCTGCCCTGGCGCCGGCTCAGCCCATTTTCGACACCACGTGAAGCAGTGCCTTACAACAACAGCACATTACACTTGTACACTGCGCCCTTCGCCTGCGAACGACATCCCGGGGCGCTGGGAATCTTACCTGGGATCCGCGGTACAGAGTTTTCCCAGAGCGATGGCTGAGTTCTGCTGCAGGGCCGACTCCCGGGCATCGCCCCCCGCCAGCGTGAGCAGGATCCTGACAATGTCCGAGGCCAGCAGAGCCGTGGCAGCCCCTGGCTCCCCCAGGCAGTGTCCCAGGCATAGGGCGGCGTTACCGACCACCATCTCGTCCTCCGACGTCAGAAGCTTTGTCAACGCGCTCAGCTCTGCGATTAAGACAGACGTAGGGGAGAGGGGGAGGGAGAGGGGGATTGGGAGGGGGAGAGGGGAACATTTAAATAAACAAATAGATTCCTTGCGTTGGATAAAGCCCCTTATCACCCCGTCGAGACCTCTCCGAGCGTTTCACAGGGTTCCCAGGCGAAGTGACTCTATTCTGTGGGCGAAACGGAGCAGCCAATTGCACACAGCGGCGTCGCCCACAAACAGTCGTGGAGTCGGGGGCCAATTTGGTCTGGATTCCCTAGGTTTGATCCCGAGCCTTCCTCGATCTGGAGGACGTCTCGCAGCAGAGAGAGTGGTCGCAGTGTGTTTTGTGGGCATTATTTACGACGGGGTGGGTGGGGGATGGGGGAGGTGTGGCAGCGTATCGGAGTGTTTAACCGTGGGTAGAGCCTGACTCCGAGCCTTGGGAAGGTTTTCAGGCGTGACCTGAAATTGGGGAAGGAGGGAGGGGGGGGGGTCAGACGGAGAGATTGACGGGACGCAAGCCACGATCGAGGTGGGATCATTGAACCCGTCAGACGATACGCACTTTTGTCGCACTTTACGGTTTCGGCTCGGGCCTGCTGGCTTCCCCTGGTACAAGCCGCAAGGGTCTTTATCGCGTAGCGTGTTGTCTGCTGCCCTCCCACCTGGAAAACAAAACATACAGCAAGCGCGGCAGTCAGCCAGGTCACCGTGCGGCAGTAAGATGCTTTACAATCTATTCGGTGAAGTGCTCTGAGACGTCTCAACGACATGGTAAGGCGCTGTATCAAATGCAAGGATTATTATTAATAAAGTTCTGGGGCTCGCTATTTGAACACAACTCCTTTCCACTCCAAGGGTCAAGAAAACTTTGTCCAGAATCCTAACTCAATCAACCCGCAACCACGGGCCATGAAATATTAATAAGTGGTGCATCGAGATGTCAGGGACTGAGGGGAATCATTAATGAAGGTTTGAAAAGCTTAAGCTTTCTTCACCAGGAAGAAAGGAGGTGATTATAAGCAGCGAGGATGAAAGAGACCTTTCAACCTATGAAGGGCGACGGGAGGGTAAATGGTAGCGGATTAATTCCAAGGGTGTTGTCGAGCAGTAACGTTAAGAAAAATTGAAAGAGAATTAAATGGAGGCTAGAAAAAAAACGAGTCTCGACACCGAGGCTGTTGGAAATGCTGAATTCTCTGTATTATTGATGATGGCAATAATAATCCTTGCATTTGAGATGGAGCCACGTCACATTGTTGAGACAAAGCGCTTCACAGAATGTGCTGTAAAGTGAACTGACTGTGTATTTGTCGCTGACTTTGCGGAGGGATCGAGGGAGAGTGTTCCAGAGTTTCGGGGCAATAGTGGCTTTCGCGTGACCACCGGTAATAAGAAGACGAAGAAAGGAAGGCACAGGAGGCCGGAGTCAGTCGAGCGGAGGTAGTGGGTTGGGGATTAACAGGTGGGAGAGGCAGGGATGAATAGTCCACTTGACGGGGCGAACATTCTGCTTCTGTTCTCCAGTATACAATGCTTCCACATTTTGATATAAAAACCCCACCTATAACACAGCACACAACATAGTCAGGTAGCCGGGGCTCTTACCTTCATAAACTTGACCATTTTCTTCACTATCCCGGCTTCCACAGCCTTCTCCACAGCTTCGTCAGACTGGGGCAGTACATGACTGAGGAGACCAGTGGCTCTCTGAACAACAGGAGGTCCATTAAAGTCACAATTAATACTAATGATAGTAATAATAATCCTTGCGTTTGATACAACGCCTTATCATGTTGTTGAGACGTCTCAAAGCGCTTCACTGGATATGGGTGCGATGGTACTGGTCAGGCAGGAAAGCGGTACTTACAGTGAGGATGCCTCCCTCTGTACTGTCCAGCAGTGAGACACACCTCTCAGTGATGGCCACAGCTTTGCCCTGGAACAAGAGCAAACCCTCCGCAGTCACATCTCATGACCCACATGTAACATTTTGTTCATAATAGCGATCCTTGCAATCGATACAGCGCCTCGTCACGTTGAACCCAGGTCTCTCGCTTGCGAGGCAAGTGCTCTAACCACTGAGCTACAGGGCTCCACAGTGTTTTCACTGTGTTATCACCGAGTCGGTCTGTATTATTACTGAATCTCAAACCTCCTCCTACCTGTAACGCAGAGCACTGCTCTAAGGACAGATTGACCATCAGGCCTAGGAGTGTGTATAAGATCTCGCTGTACTCCTTCACGCTGATAGAAGACATGGAGTCATCCTATGGGAACAGAGAGACATTAAACGCTTAACTTCCACCACAATTAAGTAGGTGAAAGAAGTCACTCCGTGGAGAATTCTTCTCAAAATCTGTCACCGTGAACTTCTGCTGAATGAACATGAAATGGTTGCAGCGAGCTAGTTAATTAACAAGGGACGGGCTTCCTTATTATTAATAATAATAATTCTTGCATTTGATTCAGTGCCTTATCACGTCGGTGAGATTTCTCAAAGCGCTTCACAGAATACTTTGTAAACCGGAGTGACTGTATTTTGTGGTCAAAGCATGCCAGACAATTGCGCACGGCAGCGTCCCACAAACAGCCGCGGTTTGAATGAACCGAATTATTATTATTAATAATTTTAATTTTGGAGGGTTTATCAGCCCCGGAAAGCGATCCGCCAATCAACTAACAAGCGGGTGCCTACGTACCGCTAGGTAAGCAGAGGCGTGTGTGCAGAGTAAGGAAACTTGCCTACGGTTGAATGAAAATAAAAGTAATGGTTGCGGCAAGCCAGTTAATTAACAAGGGCGGACTTCCTTATTTGATAACAGAGTCTGTTAAAATAATATATTGCTGGTAACGGGAACTGACAATTTTTCCAGGAAACATACCACGGCAACCAAGCACGCTTCCCAACACCCCTCGCTTGCTGCGAGCTGTTTCCTAATGCCCTTGTCAGCCACCAGACTTCCTAGGAATGAGATACACTGCGGCATTACCCGCTTGTTGGCCATCTTCACATTTTTCTGCAATAAAACACCAGGAAAATGGGCATTAACACGAAATACACCAAGGGGTGAGGACTGACTCAAAGCTGTGCTGCGTCCTGCTTTACCAAACAAATCGACCTTTCCTCTCCGTCCACTCGGCCTGCTCCACATGTCCCGCTCTGCCCGCTCCACCATCGTCAGTCGGGCCTTCAAACTCTCTGCCCCCTTGGAAATCCATCCCACAGTCCCCTCCGCCTCGCTCCCTCCTCCCTCGCCTCCTTCAAGACCCCTCTCAAGACCTTCCTCTTTGACCGCGCCTTCGATCACCCTCCTAACCCCCCACCTCCCTGCCCTCCACCCTTCCTGATCCCAACCCCCAGCTCAGATCCAAAACTCTGACTGCCCTGCACCTCGGGTTGTCCTCCTGACATGAAAGGAACTGCGTAAATGTAATTTGTTGCTGTCTTCGTCGTTGTATGTACCACTCCCTGCAAACATCATCTCACAGAATTCACCTGCACCAGAGGTGGTTCCCAACAGTGCGTTTCAGAAAATAAGCATTGATTTGAAGTGTATCCAACACACTACCCCCCAAACCCATTTATATGCAAATTCGACACACACGCACACACACACAGATACACACAGACTCACAGACACACACACACAGGCTCACAGACACACACAGATACACACAAATACACACAGACACACACACAGACTCACAGACACACACACACACAACACACATACAGACACATAGCCACAGATAAACACACACACACCCAAACACACACAGAAACACACACATAGACACACACACACAGACACACATTCACATACAGACAGACACACAGACAAGACACATAAACACACCTTATTTCTATGCACGTTTTTAATGTATCGGCTTCCCGCTGTGCGTTCATTTGTCCGTACACAGTTTGCTTTGTCTCGAGGCCCTGTGAGGGTCACACTGTGTGGGGGGAATGTTCCACTTGAATGGAAAAACGCCCTCTGGCTCCGTTCATGGGGAGTACGGAAGTTTGTGGGATTGAGTCTGAACTTTGAAGCCGGCGATCCCGCAGTTCTTAACAAGAACTTACAGCAACAGTGGCTTTAACATTAAGACTGTACTTAAGCAATGGCCTTAATGCATTGATTGATCACTAAATTAATTAATCAATTAATTCTAGACCCAATAATAATATACTAATAATTATTATTAATAATAATCCTTGCTTTTGATATAGCGAGTTAACAGGTCGTTGAGACATCTCAAAGCGCTTCACAAAATATACTCTATATACAAAATACAACACAAAGCATTGACTGTGTGTTGTGCGGGCGAAACACGGCAGCCAATTGCGCACAGCAGCGTTCCCGCAAACAGCCGTGGGATTGAGGAGTTAACGGAGAATTAACAAAGCCAGGAGGGCGGAAATTTTCTCAGAGACAGAGAGTAATAAAAGCCACTTATTGACAAATCTCTTACCAGCAAAGTTTCAAAAGGTGGCAGGACTCGGAGAACACAATCTTTCTGAAAATGGGATTTATACCTGTGGAAAGAGGGAGGGGGTGGGGTGGGGGGGAGAGAGACGTCTCAATCAGTACTGACGCAAACAGGGGGCGCTGTGTAAAGGCAAAATTGTTGCTGCTGTTGACTAGTTACGCCAGGATCGAGTTATAAAGGAGTTCACCGGGTTTTTGTTACGTTTGCAGAAAATTGGGAGGATTTGGTTCGGTGAGGAAGACGACGGGATCAGAGATGGTACGTCACGAAAGGGAAGAGGATACATTACTTCTCCTCTTGGGCGAGGTCGGTGAGGATTCCCGCGGCTCGATCGGCTGTCGCGTCACTGCCGGTCACAAACCCCACCAGGAGCTGCAACATCCTGCGCAAAGAACGGCACGTTAATACGTTTCAGTGAGGAGACGCGGAGAGTTGAAAGCGGGAATGTTACGATGTACAGAAAGGACCGGTGGAGTTTCCGTAGCGCAGTGGTTAGAGCGCTCGCCTCGCAAGGGAGAGGACCCGGGTTCGATTCCCGCCCGGGCGGGGCGAAACCTTAGGCAAGTTTCCTTACTCCACACGCCTCGGTTTACCCAACAGTAAGTAGGGACCCGGTCGTTAGTCAAACTGGCTGATCGCTTTTCCGTGGACAATCATCCCTCCTCCCAAAAATGTGGTCACTCAATCCACGGCTGTTTGTGGGGACGCTGTTGCATGCAGTTGGCTGCCGCGATTCGCCCACAAAACACACAGTCACTACACTTTACAGTATATATTCTGTGATGCGCTGTGAGACGTCTAAATGACGTGGCAACCCGTTGTATCAATGCAAGAGTTATTATTATTATTATTCAGCACAGTTGGTCCGTGCTGTTTGCGAGCGAGCGCGTCTGTGTTATTTTCTCCATCCTATTTTTCAGCCCTTGTTGAAAGCGCTCGTGCCAAGCGCTCGAAGACTCCACCCTGCGTGACGGGCGCTATTTAAACGAGAGAGAGAGAGAGAGAGAGACACACTCACCTGGTTAAATCCACATTGCCCACTAACGCGTTTCTGCCGTGTTGGGATTGTGAGTAAAGGGACAACAGTTCCACACACTCCCTGAGGATTCCACTCTGCTCACACGAGAGCAAATCCATTACCAGCTGGCTGACACCAGGAGAGGACATCAGGACTCGCTGGTTTTCCTCTGGACAGAATTAAGACAACAGGGTAACTTCTATGGACTTTGTAAAATGGCAGCAACAAACAAATGTCAGTAAAAAATAACTTCAGGTGGGTTTCTTTTCTTAAATTTAGCAAGTTTGTTTTAATCCCCCACTCATTTATTCAGCTGTTGGTCCTACAGCAGTTTTGCCTGAAAAATACACAGTCACTCCACGTTACAGTGAATCCTGTGAAGCACTTTAAGACGTATCAAACACGTGATAAGGCGCCATGTCAAATGCCAGGAATATGATTTTTATTTTTATTAAAACACAGTCTTGTATTTGACATAACCCACAATGTTCACTTTGCAGTATATTCTGTGAAGCACTTTCACCTCAATGACGTAATAAGGCACTATATCAAATGCAAGGATTATTATTATTATTTAACAGGTAGAACTCAAGCTGTGTTAATCACCAGAACTCATTGATAAGATATCCAAATTCCAACCCGACCTGCCAACTCTCAGCTCCACTCCCTCCCTCACCCTCTGAAGCTATGCACTGTTCAATTCACTGCTGGCAATCAGAGGCTTGATGCAATGTGTGGGTGAAACAATCAAACAAAAATAAAAAGCCATCTATATTGTTCTTTCAGTAATTACTACAATCCTCATAAGAACCACTGATGTGTGTTTACCCTAAGGCCTCATTGATACGTCTACACAGCAGTTATCCTGTGCAGCTTTGAATAACTAACTACACGTTAACTTAACGGGGGCAATTCTGCACCTGTCAAAACCCGACAACTTAATTTATGACAGAAATACAAAGGCCGAGTTTTTAATTCAATAATCCGTGCCGTTTAATGAATTGCTGCCAATTTGAAAGAATAAATTAGCTCTAATGTTTCATGAGCAGTTTATAAATAAAAACCGTCGCTTAAAATCGTCAGGTTAATGTAATTAGAAACCTACATCCAGGCCTGGACCTATGATTTGTTATATATATATTAAGCTGAATAGATTCCTGTAGCCTGCAGCTCGGTGATTAGAGCACTCGCCTCGCAAATGAGATTCGATTCCCGGGCGGAACAGGTCAGGGCGAAACCTTAGGCAAGTTTCCTTACTCCACACGCCTCTGTTTACCGGGCAGTAAGTAGGAACCCGGTTGTTAGTCGATTGGCAGATCGCTTTGCGTGGGCAATAATTTCTCCCCCCAGAAAATTTGGTCACTCAATCCACGACTGTTTGTGGGGACGCTGCTGCGCGCAATTGGCTGCCGCGTTTCGTCCATAAAATTCACACCGTCAATTCACATTACAACATATCCTGTGAAGCGCTTTGAGCCGTCTCAACGACCTGATCAGGCGCTATAACAAACGCGAGGATTATTATAGATTTGTTATAAAGCACTCCGAATGGATAAGATATTTTACCGTTTCCCCGACAGACTGCTTGCCACAGCAGGAGGACAGAAACACACAGCGCCTCCTCGTGTGGCTGCTTGATGGGGCTGTTGAGGCTCCTGTTTGAAACATGCGTGACAGGAAGATACATGTTACACGCTCGATTGGAGGTCCTTTCTACACGCTGGCATTTCGGAGTCTCGGTATACCCCAAAGGTGGAAAAATGTCAATGTTACTCAACGATGTTCAAACCCACAAAACTGTATTTTTTCCAAAGAAAAACACACACAATCTCCCCACACGATCTTCTGAAAGAACCTTGGAACTGATGGAACAGGAGATGGCAAGGCTGTGCGGTTTTAGCTGGTTAGACTCCAGCCGTTACCGCCAACGCACACTCTGGGCTCCCCTCCCCAGGCCTTGGCTCTCGCCAACCTGAGCCTAGTACTTTCCGGAATTAGGTAACAGGATACATCCCTCCAGGGAGAGAGAGAGAGCGCATTCCATTCCAACAATCTATCTCCGGGATTGCCATGTGTAGGTGGGAGGCGGGGAATTCTCAGCTCGGTTTAGAGACTCTTAAGCAACGGTGATGGATTTCCACACGTGTCAGACACCCGGTAGAGAAAAAAAAGGGCAATAGAGAGAGCTGGAAGATTGGGAAGCAGAGGGAAAAACACAGTCATTCTCTTTCCCAAACCTCGGCTGATCCCAGTATTACACCGCATGGTGTTGTCGCAGATATCAGCTCGTGTTCACTTACCCTCGTATAATCTCGTTGTCGTTCACAACGCCAAAGCCACCGTTTGTTCTGAATAGCGTCTGTTCGGTGCCTGTAACGACAAACAGACACAAGAGGAATTAATAATAATAATAATAATTCTTGCATTTGATGTAGCGAGACGTCTCATCGCGCTTCACCGCATACACTGTAAAGTGGATCGACTGCGTATTTTATGGGCGAAACGCGGCAGCCAGTTTGTACACTAGCAATGTCACACAAACAGTGGTGGATTGAGTGAGTGCATTATTAATGTTTATATTTTAAGGGATTATTCAATCCCTTCAAATGGTGACAATTGGTCTTAATGGTGACATTCCAGGTATCACCTTTTAAGCCCTTGGCACCCGGCGTTATGCAGCAATGTCTGTTCCAAACCAAACAGCTTCCAAACCGAGTTTTCAACCGGCGTTGAATATAGCGCCTTATTGTGTCTTTGAGACATCTCAAAGCGCTTCACAGCATATACTGGAAAGTGTAGTGATTGTATCTTTTGTGGACGAATTGCTCACAGCAGCTTCCCACAAACAGCCGTGGATTGAGTGACCACATTATTATTATTATTATCAATAATTTGGTCACTCAATCCAAGGAAGAGGAGATAAAAAGCTGAGTGCAGTGCCTGAACCCCACGATATCAACAGGAACTTCTTACCAGAGAGATTAACGTCCAACTTTGGGAAACAGCAGAGATTCCACTGAATCCGCGTATGTCTACCAGCGACTGACTGATATTGCAAACCATTATAAACCCTACAGCAAAAGCGTAATAAACTCGGATGATGTATTATTCATCTGCGCGAGAGAAACAATAATCGGAGATGTTCTGAAAGAAGCCAAACAATACAATGCCACAACAACCTCAGCACAGAACTGTCCTCTGAAAGTAATTACCCAGTGTATTATTGTAGCTGCTGTGAATCTTCCAAGACAATGAATTAAAATGCAAAGGGTTGCTAGACTTCCAATTATGGCCGCACAATACAATGAAAGCAGGTATAATCTCACTGACATTCTCGTAAAGTTATTACGACCATCTTAATGGCCACGCAGAAATCTACAGCTGAGAGGTAGACACCTGCAGGGCATATTTAGATTTTTCTTCCCCTTTACACAACAACAACAACAAATTATATTTACACAGCGCCTTTCACGTCAGGACAACATTTGGTTTGCACCCGAGCTGGGGGTTGCAGTCAAGAGGGGTGCGGGGCAGGGTGGGAGGATGACCGAAAGTCGGTGAAAGAGGAAGGTTTTGAGATGGGCCTTGAGGGAGGCGAGGGAGGAGGCGAGGTGGAGGGGCTCCGGGATGGAGTTCCAGAGGTTGGGGCAGAAATGCTGAAGGCACGACCGCCGATGGTGGGGCGGGCAGGGAAGGGGAATGTAGAACAGGCCAGTTCCTACCGAGCACAGGGAGAAAATGACTATTATTAGCCGTGAGCGTGGTGACTTCTCCCACTTACAGTCGGTCATCAGCTCAGTCAGGAGGTTTAAGCCGCCGAGATAGAAGAAAGCCGGCCGGTGAACTCGTCCTAGTTTCTTGAGCACTTCGCAGACTGTCGTGGAATTCACGTTGCCCCGTTCAAACTCCTCCTGCGCCTCCTTCTCCTGCTGCTCCTTCCTCTCCGCCAGCTCAAGTTTACTCGCGTATTCTAAACGTTAAGCACACATCCCGTCAGTGGCTGAACGCAAGAGACATATGTTATAGCCACCCAGCAGTACATGGAGTCCTGAGGAGTAGTAGTTCCTGTGCAGTAAGCAGGAACCTGGGGGTAAATCAATTGAGCGATCGCTTTCTGGGGATAATAAACCCTCCCCAAAAAAATTGTTTACTCAATCCACGACTGTTTGTGGGACGCTGCTGTGTGCAATCGTATTTCCTCACAAAATACACGGTCAAAATACACGGTATATTCTGTGACGACTTTCTTAACACTGCGATAAGGCACTATATCGAATGCATTAATGTAATAATACAAAATAAAATAAAACTGGAGTCCCGTAGAGCTCTCATCTCACAAGCGAGAGGACACAGATTCGATTCCCAAGCGCTCTGGGACGCTACTCTTGAGAGGTGCTATACAAATGCAAGTTGTTGTCGATAATAAGTGATGTCAGGCGCTGAACATATAACCAGCAAAATACTGAGGTCCAACAAGCTACGAGGTTTGAAACTGTACTTTCCCCAACAACAACAACCAACAAAAATTCCGTTTACACAGCGACTTACACGTCGGAAGGACGTCCCAAGGGGCTGGACAATTTAAGGGTTTGCAGCCGAGCTGGGGGTTGGAATCAAGTGGGGTGGAGGGTATGGAAGGTGGTGGTAGGTGGGGTGGCCTGAAACACGACCAAAATCTTCAGATGGGTGTTAAGGGCGAGGGCGAGGGAGAGGGAAGCCTCTCCAAAGAAAAAAGGAGCAATAAACTCATCATCACATGGAGCAAAGTGCTCACGCCTATAATTCTCCTTGAATGTGCTGAACCTGTCATGTACCTTTAACCAGTTTCTCCTGCTTTGGATCGATTGTCAATATCTTCTGGTAGCATTCTCGCGCCTGGTGGGAAGACACAATAACAACACAACAACCACTACAACAACAACAACAACGACTTCAACAAATGGCATTTACGCATTGCCTTTCAAGTCAGGAGGTCGTCCCAAGGAGTTGGACAGTCAATTGGTTGTACCCGAGCTGGGGGTTGGGATCAGGAGGGGTGCAGGGAGGGCGGGAGGATGACTGAAGGCAACGGTCAAAGAAGAAGGTCTTCCATTCCACGTTTCCAAGGCAAGCAAAATTCACTGAACTGTCGGAAAACCCTTCTGACCACCAACGCTAGTTAAAATGATATAAAATGTCAGGTAATTTTGTGCTGTGAATTGAAGTTCACTTGGAACAGAGTTGAAAGTCCTCAATCTCACACCTCGTGAGTGCCAATGTAACTCAGTGCCTATTATCGACTTATTTTACACTTCCTAGTGTCTAGTTGAAATACTTTGCCCAAATTGTATCCCCTTGGATTTTACTTCCCTCTTTAAAACGTTCTAGGGGAAGGCTTGTTGCTTTTTATGATCAAATATTATAATAATTATCACATTTTTAAATATTGAGGCTAAATTTGAAGCCGCTGCTTAAAACTACAAGTCACGTTATTGCATTAACAATTTAAGAACAACTGGATTTGTTCTGCTCTTAAACAACAGGGAGTTAAGTTTATAACTACATTACTGAAACCACCTTACCTCTTTGTAGTTCTTTAGCCCTAAGTTGGCCTTTCCCATGTGGACGTACGCCTTTATGCTGTTCTCATTACACTGGACACACGGGAAAAGAGAGAGCAATTAGAGCCACCAATCGACTAACAACTGGGTTCTTACCCGTGTAAATGAAATGTGGTCGTCTTTGATACGCCAGTGGATCTGATCGATATCCCTAAGATGTGACAATGACTTTTGTTATCGACTTTGGTGTTCAGGTTCTTAGTCATTTAATGTGCCTTGCCTATTTTAAAGAAAACAACTGCTTTGGTTAAGATTACGCTCAATGGAATGTTTAAATAGTGCTGATTTTCTAGTATTTTAGGATGTCAGTGTGGCTCAGTTGGAATTGCTCCTCCCTCACTTCTGGGTTAGAAGGTTGAGCTCAAAGCCCAATATTGAGTCTTGAGATTAATAGTCTAGACTGACAGTCCAGTGAAATGTCTAGTGAGTGCTGAAATACCAGAGGTGCGTCCATCGACTTTTGGGATAGAGAAAAGATCTCTTTTTTGTGCCTTTTTAGAATTCCTTGGGATATTTGTGGAGTCCTGTAGCTCAGTGGTTAGACCACTCGCCTCTCAAGCGAGAGGCCTGGGTTTGATTCCCGGCAGGGTGAAACCTTGGGCAAATTTCCTTACTCCACATATGTAATAATAATCCCTCAAGAAAAAAAAATTGGTCACTTCAACCCACGGCTGTTTGTGGGACGCTGCTGTGCGTAATTGACCGAGGAAGGTCTTCAGTTGTGATCTAAAAGAGGGCAAGGAGGGGGGCAAGGCAGAGGGATTGGGGGAGACAGTTCCAAAGCTTTGAGGCGTTAGTGGGATGAGGGATGTGCGGAAGACTGGAGCCAGCCGAGCGGAGGCAGCGGGTAGCGGAGTGGGGAGAGAGAGCGGGTCGAAGAGATAGGGAGATGTCAGGGCGTGAAGCACACGGGTATTGTGTTCCTAATGTGAACAGATCTCACCTTCAAAGCCCAGTCGCAGTCAGTGATCGCCTCCTGATATTTCTCCAGCTTGATGTAAGCCTGGAAACAAAACACACACATATTCTGCACAAGAACATCCATCTATCTGAACATGTGGTACAATAACTCTGAATTAAATATAATCATTTAACAACAGGGAGAGAGTGGCTCTCCCTTGCCTGGAAGAATGGCTGAATTTAATTTGGAATTATTGTAACAAATATTAAGATAGACTGACGTTTATATAATAGGATCATACAAATTACAGAACAAGATGGAGACTATTCGGCCCTTTGAGTCTCTTAAAGCGTTTTCCTCACATTAACCTTCAGATTAATAAAAACTTAAATAAGTTTTATCACAGCAATAATGCGCCTAAATACTTTCCAGAGAGAGAGAGAGAGAGAGAGGCAGAGAGAGAGAGAGATTCTCAGCTTGGTTTGGATACTCTTAAGTACGGTGATTCCCCCTGGAAAAGCGATCGACTAACAATCGGATTCCTACTTACTCCGAGGTAAACAGAGGCGTGTGTGCGGAGGAAGGAAACTTATGTCCCCCCTCGTTACTGATTCACGAACCAAACAGGTCCTGGTGGTGCTCACTTGTGCTCGGTTTGTATAAAGGGCCTCAAAGTCTCGCAGCTTATCCAGTCCTTCAGAGTAGTGACGAACAGCAACCTCATAATCACCTTGTCCGAATGCCATGTTCCCTTTCTCTTTCAGGGCTAGCGATGAACCGTGTTGAAATCAGAAAGTCAAACAACCCAAAATTATTATAATAATAATAATCCTTGCAATTGACATAGCGCCTTATCACGCCGTTGAGGTGTTGCCAAGTGCTTCACAGCAGCAGCGACAATAACAACATTACATCTATAGAGCGCCTTTCACGTTGTGAAGGGAAGAGTTGGGAAGGCCGATGAGGAGGGAGTTCGCATAATCGAGCCTTGATGTGACGAATGGAGGAGGACAAGGAGGCTGAGGGAGCCCTGGTCACACATGGTCAGGATGTCGTTTGCGAACTTGACCAGAGCAGCACGGAAACCCGATTGGAGAGGTTCATGGAGGGAGTGGGAGGAGAGGAAAGAGTGAAGTTGGGAGGCAACGGCTCTCTCAAGGACCTTAGACAGGAAAGGGAGGTTTGAGATGGGCTGGTAGCTGGATAGCTGTGATGGGTCAAGGGAAGATTTCTTCAAGGTTGGGGTGATGGATGTTTTGAGGGGGTAAGAAACAGTGCAGATGACAGGGAGAGGTTGATGATGTCAGCAAGTAGTGGGGCAAGCAGGTGGAGCTGGGATTTAAGGAGTGGGGTGGGGATGGGGTCCAGGGAGCAGGTGGTGGGGTGTATGGAGGATATGGTGGTGAAGGCAGAGGAGAGGGTGACAGGTTCAAAGGAGGAGTGTGGAAGGAGGGATGGGTAATTGTCAGAGTGTGGGGTGGGGGGTAGGGAGGGGGTGGAAGTTGGGGGGGGCAGTGGCAGCTGAGCGGAAAACAAAACTATATCTCTCTTTCAGCGTGACAGCATCCCCTGCCTATATAAATTGGATTTCAAGCACCTGTGGTTTTCTCTGTTCAAATCAAACTAAGCCATATGCTCTGCCAGGGTAGGATTCAGTAAAGGGAAAAGGGCAAACCATGATTTGTAAATCATCTACGCCTCAGGCTATTCATTATTCACTGCGTTATTCATTTCATTATTCAGTTTAAATTAAGCTAAAGGGAGAGGGGGCGGGGGGTGCTGAAACACACTGTCTTAAGTAGAAACCTGGCTCAGTATCAAAGCGATCTAGTTGCTGAGACGTAGGTGAAGAAACCATGTAAATTTAGATTTTTTTTACTGTTATGTCTTTCATGACTCAAGCTCAATCTTGACAATATTCCTTTTTCTACAGGAATTACAGGGACCTTGTTCACGTACCTCCAGCCAGCTTTTTATTTTTCTTTCTGATTTTTGCTCTCTCCTCCGCATCTGTCGCAAGTGATCTGAGGAAACTGTCTGCAGACGGAGCACGGTATAATTATTATAATAATAATCCTGGCGTTTGTTACAGCGCCTTGTTACGTCGTCAAGACGGCTCAAAGCGCTTCGCAGAATGTATTGTAAAGTGGATTGACTGTGTATTTTGTGGGCGAAACGCGGCAGCCAATTGCGCACAGCAGCGTCCCACAAACAGTCATGTAAATCGCAGAGCTAATTCCCAGTGAATGCAGTGAAAGCAATGTATTCAAACCAATTTATTCAATATTTCAATATCTGGAAGCTGTGAAATTCAAACTGCGGTCTGGGATGCGAAAATGAAATCATATTTTTCTAATCCCCACTGCATTAAAATGATTGAAAAAAGGATTTCTTCAGAATTAGATTTCACAATCCCCCTAATGCCATCATATTGCTCATTTGTTTTTAATGTTCAAATTGCCTTTGGCCAGAAATTTACATCTCTTCTGTTTATTGCTTGAAATAATCTATTTTTAAGAGCAAAAGGCAGCAGTTTAACAGCAAGAGAATCCGTTTCACAATTAAATAGATGACGTGTAGGGGTTTCGCCCTCCGCAAGATTTAATTGTCACGTCTGGGCCAGGCATTCATTTTAACTCACAATTAATTAGTGACTCAAAGCCCCATTGCTAAACTTCTGCAGTATATCACAGTTGTCGCTTATCCAATCTCGCAAGGTATTTAAATACCTCAACGACTCGCAGACATTGGTGCAGAAATCATACCAAAGTAATAATAATCCTTGCATTTGATATAGCGCCTTATCACGTCGTTGAGACGTATCAGTGCGCTTCACAGATTAGATTGTAAAGTGTAGTGACTGTGTATTTTGTGGGTGAAGGCCAATTGCGCACAGCAGCTGTGCCACAAACAGTCGTGGGTTGAGCGACCGATTTTTACTTATTTTTTGGAGAGAGTGATTATAATTCCAGACAATCGACTAACAAACGGGATCCTACTTACTGCTGTGTAAACAGGCGCGTGTGGAGTAAGGAAACCAGCCCAACAACAACAAACAACAAGATTACATGTGTATAGCGCCTTTCACGTTGGGAGGACGTCCCAAGGCGCTGGACAGAGTACAGCATTTCAGACCCGAGCTGGGGTTGGGGGGGAAGGGAAGGGAGGGGAAGGGAGGGGGGGGGTGCAATGGCATAGTCGAAGAGGAAGGGCTTGAGGTGGGACTTGAAGGAGGCTAAGGAGGGGGCGAGGCGGAGTGACTGGGGGATGGAATTCCAGAGGTTGGGGCAGAGTGGCCCACTGTTAATACCAGACTATATAGAGGTGCCCACTGTTAATAATAATAATAATCCTTGCATTTGATATAGCGCTTTTCACGTCGGGAGGACGTCCCAAAGCGCTTCACAGAACACACTGTAAAGTGAATTGACTGTATATTTGTGGGCGAACGCGGCAGCCAATAGCGCACAGCAATGTCGCACAAACAGTCGTGGATTGAAAATGACCAATTTATTATTGTTTTTGGTTTTGGAGGGATTATTATTAGGCTCTGTGTGGAGTAAGGAAACTTGCCCAAGGTTTGGCCCTCTGCCTGGAATTGAACTCAGGTCTCTCACTTGCAAAGCGAGTGCTCTAACCACTGAGCTACAGGACTCCACATAATATCAGAATATACAGAGGTAGGTGCCCACTGTTAATATCAGACTTTTCTAGAGGTGCCCACTGTTAATACCAGACTTTTCTAGAGGTGCCCACTGTTAATACCAGACTTTTCTAGAGGTGCCCACTGTTAATACAAGACTTTTCTAGAGGTGCCCACTGTTAATACCAGACTATATAGAGGTTCTCACAGTTAATACCAGACCATATAGAAATGTCACTGTTAATACCAGACTATATAGATGTGCCCACTGTTAATAACAGACTATACGGAGGTGCCCACTGTTAATACCAGACTATATAGATGTGCCCACTGTTAATAACAGACTATACGGAGGTGATCACTGTTAATACCAGACTATATAGAGGTGCCCACTGTTAATACCAGACTATATAGAGGTGCTCACTGTTAATATTAGACTATATAGAGGTGCCCACTGTTAATATCAGACTATATAGAAGTGCTCACTGTTAATATCAGACTATATAGAAGTGCTCACTGTTAATAACAGACTATATAGAGGTGCCCACTGTTAATACCAGACTTTTCTAGAGGTGCCCACTGTTAATACCAGACTATGTAGAGGTGATCACTGTTAATAACAGACTATATAGATGTGCCCACTGTTAATAACAGACTATATGGAGGTGATCACTGTTAATACCAGACTATATGGAGGTGATCACTGTTAATACCAGACTATGTAGAGGTGATCACTGTTAATACCAGACTATGTAGAGGTGCTCACTGTTAATATCAGTCTATATAGAGGTGCCCACTGTTAATACCAGACTATATAGAGGTGCCCACTGTTAATACCAGACTATATAGAGGTGCTCACTGTTAATATTAGACTATATAGAGGTGCCCACTGTTAATACCAGACTTTTCTAGAGGTGCCCACTGTTAATACCAGACTATATAGAGGTGATCACTATTAATACCAGACTATATAGAGGTTCTCACAGTTAATACCAGACCATATAGAAATGTCACTGTTAACACCAGACTATATGGAGGTGCCCACTGTTAATAACAGACTATATAGAGGTGATCACTGTTAATACCAGACTATGTAGAGGTGCCAAATGTTAATACCAGACTATATAGAGGTGTCACTGTTAATATCAGACTATATAGAGATGTCACTGTTAATATCAGACTATATAGAAAAAAGCATGGAGTTTCTCTCCCCTGGTGTCCCTGCCGACAATCTCCCAGATAAAATCTCTCTTTCACTTCATGTTTATTTGTAGGGATGTGGTTGTTTAAATCGAATCGAACTTCTGGGTTTCCCCCACAAAACTCACAATCATTGCACTTTGCAGCAAATTCTGTGCTGCGTTTCAACTGGGAGTCCTGCAGCATATTTTAGAGAGCTCGCCTCGCAAGCGAGAGGACACAGTTCAGTTCTCGGGTGGGACAAAACATTAGCAAGGTTTTCTTACTCCGCACACCTCTGTTTACTCACCAATAAGCAGGAACCCAATTGTTAGTCGATTGGCGGACCACTTTCCGGGGGTAATAATTCCTTAAACAAAATTGGTCACTCGATCCACGACTGTTTGTGCGACGCTGTTGTGTGCATTTGGCTGCCGCGTGTCACCCACAAAATACACAGTCGATCCACTTTGCAATATATTCTGTGAAGAGCTTTGAGACGTCTCGAAGACGTGATAAAGCAATATTGCTATATTCTAAGGATTACTATTGCTATTACTTACATGGGGTCTGGGAGCAGGAACTCTGGCTGATTTTTCCCTCGCTTACAACAACAACAACAACAAGATTCCATTTATAGAGCGCCTTTCACGTCAGGAGGACGTCCCGAGGCGCTGCACAGTTGGGTCATGACCCGAGGAGGGGGGAAATGGTCAGGGTAAGGGGAGGGAAGAGAGGGAGCGAGGAGGGGGGAAATGGTCAGGGTGAGGGGAGGGAAGGGAGGGAGCGAGGAGGGGGAACCCTGGGATTTGCCTAAAACTCCTCACTGGTGGCACTTTTCTCCCACTGACACAGGATTTGTTGGAAGCTTTGCAAGAGAAAGATCGCCTCCTCTCCAGACTTCAGGACCAGCTACCAGACAACATGAGGCTGAAACTGACCATGAAATCACAGATTTTACGCAACTCTTTATAAATCAGCCCATCTCAATTCAATGTGGAATCCTGTGGCATGGTGGTTAGAGCGCTCTTCTCACAAGTGAGAGGACCTGGGTTCGATTCCCTGGTGGGGCAAAACCTCAAGCAAGTTTCCTTACTCCAAACACCCGCCTCTGTTCATCTGGCAGTAATAAGTGGTCAGTCGATTTAGGGATCACTTTCCGGGGATAATAATTCCTTTAAAAAAAATTGGTGGCTCAATCTACGACTGTTTGTAGGGACGCTGCTGTGTTTCACCCACAAAATACACAGTCAAATTCACTTTACAGTTTATTTTGTGAAGCGCTTTGAGACGTCTCAGCGACGTGATGAGGAGCTTTATCAGATGCAAAGATTATTCGAAGCGCTGAGGATGATACCCTGCGTGAGGGGGCACTGTGTAAGTTGCTGTTGTTGGAATTTCTCCCCGATGGTGTCAAATTCCCTTTGGTTTCAGATCGCTCGTTGGGGGCCGTGTGAGGTCTGAGGCGAGGAGGAGGTGAGATGTGCCAAGTTGATGTGTTCAACTTAAAGATCGGGACCAAAGAGAGAGACAATCAAATGGAGTCAGGTCATGCCAAAATCCTTGAACGTCCATTTTAGGATCGACCATTGGCCTCCCAGCTACCTTACCTCACTGCCATTGAGGGAATGCTCTATACTCTCTGTTGATCCGGGTAATCACGAGATAATAATCCTTGCATTTGATATAGCGCCTTATCACGTCTTCCAAGGTTTCGCCCCGCCCGGGCTTCGAACCCGGGCCCTCTCGCTTGCGAGGCGAGCGCTCTAACCACTACCCCATGGCATCCCGAAAGGCCTAACTTTTAACACTTATCCTTTGCGAAGTTTTCCAAAAATGCAACGCCAGTTCGTTTTTAACTTTAGTTAATAGTTAAAGCAAGTTAAAGAGTTCAATTCTCATACCTTGGCTCGTCTCGCCCGCGCCTTCCTGCAAGAAAAACATAATTTTTATTAAAGAGTCAATTGTTATTGTTATTATTATGTGAAGGGCAGCCGATACAGAAATTATACGGCATCAAGTAATTGCAGAGGCATAAGGTAATGCACCATGTTATTGATGCCGCCACTCTCCTCTGATTCCCGACTGATTTCAAATCAACTCTGATGATCCGAGCTCGCTGATGTACCAATTTATTCAAACTTAATATTCTAGTTTGTCTACCAGTGCAGAATCGTTGAACCATAGAAAGGATTCAGCACGGAAAAAAAACCATTTGGTACATCAGTTTGTGCAGGAGCTCTCTGCTCTCTCCCATTCCCTGCTCTCGCTCTCTCGCCCCATTGTGTCTGTGCTGGGGCTCGCTCCCCCACTGGAGCTCTCAGCTCTAACCCCATTCCCTGCTCTCTCTCTCTCTCTCTCTCTCTCTCCCCATCGTGTCTGTGCTGGGGCTCGCTCCCCCACTGGAGCTCTCAGCTCTAACCCCATTCCCTGCTCTGTCTCTCTCTCTCTCTCCCCATCGTGTCTGTGCTGGGGCTCGCTCCCCCACTGGAGCTCTCAGCTCTAACCCCATTCCCTGCTCTCTCTCTCTCTCTCTCTCCCCATCGTGTCTGTGCTGGGGCTCGCTCCCCCTCTGGAGCTCTCTACTCTAACCCCATTCCCTGCTCTCTCTCTCTCCCCATCGTGTCTGTGCTGGGGCTCGCTCCCCCTCTGGAGCTCTCTACTCTAACCCCATTCCCTGCTCTCGCTCTCTCTCCCCATCGTGTCTGTGCTGGGGCTCACTCCCCTCCCCCTCTGGAGCTCTCAGCTCTAACCCCATTCCCTGCTCTCTCTCTCTCTCTCTCTCTCTCTCCCCCATTCTTAAATGTAACTTTCCTGTTGAAGACCTACGGTTTGGTGGGTGGAACTGGAGGGGTTGGAGTTAATGAGTGTGTGGTTGACGATGGTTCTGCATCCTTCCACTTGCTCGGGTCCTCGAGCGATTCTCTCGTCAGCTTTCTGAGTGGCGTTCTCGCGCACTGAAGCATCATCCGAATTCATTCCCTCAACCAGACTCACTGAGCAGAGACAAAGAGAGAGACAGAGAGAGAGACAGAGAGAGAGACAGAGAGAGAGAGAGAGAGAGACAGAGAGAGAGGGAATAAAAATACAGGCCTTTAAAAGAGACTTCATGACCCTTAATAATAATATTAATAATCCTTGCATTTGATGTACAGCGCCTTATCACTTCTTCGAGACGTCTCAAAGCGCTTCACAGAGTATACTGTAAAGCGAATTGACTGTATATTTGTGGGCGAAACGATGGCATCGTATAGGAAATATTTCTGAAAATAGACAACCAGAAATTTTGAAACAGGAGGGGGCCATTCAGCCCACCAAGCCTGCTTTGCCAGTTGACAAGGTCATGTCCTCCAATTTCCCTGCTTTTCCTCTATGTCTCTCAGTTCCTCTGCTCCCCAGGTGATGAGACGTTAATAATAATAATAATAATAATAATAATATTCCTTGCATATTTTCGACGTCCCAAAGCGCTTCACAGAACACACTGTAAAGTGAATTGACTGTATATTTGTGGGCGAACGCGGCAGCCAATTGCGCACAGCAATGTCCCACAAACAGTCGTGGGTTGAAAATGACCAATTTATTATTGCATTGTTTTTTTTTGGAGGGATTATTATTAGGCTCTGTGTGAGGGGGGGGGGGGGGGGGTAAGGAAACCTGCCCGAGGTTTCGCCCTCTGACGGGGATTGAACTCAGGTCTCTCACTCGCAGGGCTGTGGGCAATTGGCTTTGAGACGTCGAGAAGACGTGAAAAGCGCTATATCAAATGCAACGATTATTATCATTATTATATTACGCTGTTGAGGCGTCTCAAAGCGCTTCACAGAATATACTGTAAAGTGTAGTGACTGTGTGTTCTGTGGGCAGTTTACGACACACCAAGACACACAGGCCCTCTGCGCGCAATTGGCTGCCGCGTTTCACCCGCGAAACACACAGTCACTTTTGACTTTACAGTGTACCCTGTGAAGCGCTTTGAGACGTCCCGAAGACGGTTGCAGCGACGACCCATTTGCAGGCGCCCCCCCCACAGCCCCCCCCAGGCCCCCCCCCCAGCCCCCCCAGCCCTAGCACCCAGCTCCCCCCCAGCCCCCCCCAGGTCCCCCCCAAGCCCCCCCCAGCCCCCAGCTCCCAGACCCTCCCCCTCAGCCCCCCCTCCAGCCCCCACCCCAGACCCCCCCCCGCCCCCAGCTCCCACCCCCAGTCCCCCCCAGGCCCCAGGCCTCCCCTCAGCCCCCCACCCCAGCCCCCCCCCCCCCAGGTCCCCCCCAGGCCCTCCCCTCAGCCCCTCCCCAGGTCCCCCCCCCCCCCAGACTCCCCCACAGACCCTCCCCTCAGCCCCTCCCCAGGTCCCCCCCCCCCCCCAGACTCCCCCACAGACCCCACAGCCCCTCAGCACTCACTGATTTCATCCACTTCGCTCAGGAAGTGCTCCATCTCCGGGTCCAGACGCCGCGTCCCCTCCATCGCTCTCTCTCTCTCTCTCCTTCTCTCCCACTTTCACTTTCTCTTTCTCTGAAGCCGATCATCTGCTGCTCCGCCTGTGATTGGTCGCCTCGTTGCTATGGGGACGAGGGACGCGGTTGCTATGGGTTACGGACACTCCTCCCCATCGCTTTAACTGAAAGCATTTAAATCACAAAGAAATCCCTCTCTCCCCCTCCACTCTCCCCTTCCTCCTCCCCCCCCTCCCCCCCCCCCCCCCTCCCTCTCCCCCCTCCCCCTCTCCCCCCCCCCCCCCCCCCCCCCCCCCCCCCCTCCCCCCCTCCTCCTCTCCTCCCCTCTCCCCCCCCCTCCCTCTCTCCTCCCCCTCCCTCCCCCCCCCCCCCCCCCCCCCCCCCCCCCCCCCCCCCCCCCCCCCCCCTCCTCCCCTCTCCCCCCTCCTCTCCTCCTCTCCCCTCCCCTCCTCCCTCTCCCCCTCCTCCCCTCTCCCCCTCCCTCCCCCCCCTCTCCCCCTCCCCCCTCCCCCTCCCCCCTCCCCCTCTCCTCCCTCTCCCCTCCTCTCTCCCCCTCCCCCTCCTCCCTCTCCCCTCCCCCCCCTCCTCTCCCCCCCCCCTCTCCCCCCCCCCCCCCCCCCCTCCTCCTCCCCCTCCCCCTTTCCACCCTCCCCCCTCCCTCTCCTCTATAATAATAATATTAATAATAATCCTCGCATTTGATATAGCGCTTTTCACGTCGTGAGGACGTCCCAAAGCGCTTCACAGAACACACTGTAAAGTGAGTTGACTGTATATTTGTGGGTGAACGCGGCAGCCAATTGCGCACAGCAATGTCCCACAAACAGTCGTAGATTGAAAATGACCAATTTATTATTGTTTTTGGTGTTTGGAGGGATTATTATTAGGCTCTGTGTGGAGTAAGGAAACTTGCCCGAGGTTTCGCCCTCTGCCTGGAATTGAACCCAGGTCTCTCGCTTGCAAAGCGAGTGCTCTAACCACTGAGCTACAGGACTCCACAAGGTCTCTCCCCCTCTCCCCCCATCGCCCCTCCCCTCTCCCCCACTCCTGCCCCACACATCACATCATAATAATAATCCCTGTGTTTGACACAGCGCCTCATCACGTTGCGTCGCAACGACAACAACAACAACAACAACAACAACAAGCATTGCCCGTCACGCAGGATAATGTCCCGAAGCACTTCACGAAATATACTGTAACGTGTAGTGACTGTGGTGTTTAGGGATTGAATATAATATATAAGAGTGCATCCCGTGAAGCGCTTTGAGACGTCTCACCGGGTTGATAAGGCGCTGTATCATAATGCAAGGATTATTATTATTATTATTATTATGACCCCCCCCACCCCACCCCCCGCAGAAAGCGATCGGCCAATCGACTAGTAACCGGGTTCCCACACACTGCGAGGTAAACAGAGGGGGTTGTGTGCGGAGAAAGGAAACTTGCCTAAGGTGTTGCCCTCCCGGGAACCGAACCCAAGTCCTCTCGCTTGTGAGGTGCTCTTTATATTACTGTCGCAACTCCTACAATCAATTTTCCGGCGTTAGAAATTACTACTGTTGGGAAACACAGGTTTCAAATGTACTTCATATTTAGAGTGTTAGACGTCAGTCAGTCTGACTCAGTCACTGAGAGTCACCGCTCTCGACTCGGGAACAGTTGTGGGTTCGAGACACCCCCCCCCCCCCCCCCCGAGAATTGAGCTCAGTGCTCACGCTGACATTTCATTGCAGTGCAATATTAAAACTGTGATGGTTTTTACAGTACATTTCTTGCTGTAGTAAGTGCGAGCGGCTAAGTGGTAGTTACAAGGAAGCCGGGAGGAGAGGGAAGTTGGAGCATTCATTCCTTCACGTTGATGTCTGACAAATGAGCGATGTCCATCTTTATTATTTCCAGCTGCATTGATGCAAGACCTCAGCTAATCGCTGTCAATTTGCCCAAACTTCAGTCTCGAGCCAAAGTCTGAGCGCAGTTATTTTACGGAGCAGGCCAGAGCCTATCGAGCGTTAGCAGTGAGGTCGGTTTGGAGCTCGCAGTAAAATGTAAATGGAGTTAGCAGAGTTACTGTACACGGCAGCAGAAAAATAATATCAAATTTTTCTGTCCCATTAATAAGTTCGTGGCCAGTTAGAAAGAAAGCTGAAACGTATTCAGTCTCATTGCATAAAATCATTCATTTTTGATTGAGACGTTCTCCGCATTATTATTTTATCACTGTATTCACACAGCGCTTTGATTCCCATCGAATTTGAAAAATTAAAACTGCCTAATAAATAGTTTATTAGTCGGGTTCGTCGTGAAGGTCTCTCTTTATTCTCTTGTGGAGTCCTGTAGCTTAGCGGTGAGAGCACTCGCTTCAACCAGTGGGGTTCAATTCCCAGGCGGTGCGAAGCGTTAGGCAAGTTTCCTCACTGCACACGCCTCCATTTACCCAGCGGTAAGTAGGAGCTCGGTTGTTTAGTCGATTGGTGGACTACTTTCCGGACTAATAAAAAAATTTAAATAATAAATAATAATAATTTGGTCTGTTTGGGGGACACTGCTGTGCGGAATTGGCTGCAATTGCTTTCCAAATTCAAGGCAATTCTGAAACACATTTTCTCTTCAAGCGCTCAAAGCAGCAAATTTAATGAAATCGCAAAGCTTAAGTGTTTTGGGAAATGAATCACATCATTGGGATCAGTAACGCTGTGATAATAATTTTGATAAAGAAAAACTTGATTAAAATCTTGCCCGCACTGGGATAAGGATAAATTGTGATTTATTTTCCCACGGATCGAAAGGAGAGTTTCAAATATACATAGAAGCTCCTTCAGTCCATCCCGTCTCAAAGTGCTTCACGTGATATACTGTAAAGTGGAGTGAACGTGTATTTTGTGGGTGAAACAGCCAATTACGCACAGCAGCGTCCCGCAAACAAACGTGGATTGAGTGACTATTGTTTTTGATGGATTATTACTCACGCAAAGCGATCCGTCTATTGACTAACAACTGGATTCCTACTTATTGCTGGGTAAACAGAAAGGAAACCTGCCTAAGATTTCGCCCTCGCCCGGGAATCGAAGCCAGGACCTCTCGCTTGCGAGGCGAGTGCTCTAACCAATACACTAAAGAAACATAACAACGTTTGCATAACCCAGGAGGGAGCGGGTGAGCCAGGTGAGATGAAGGGGGCAGACGGAATCAGCCCACAGGCTCGCGGTTGGATCATTGCTGGTCTGTAACTCAACTCCCAATCGTCTTTCTTATAAAACTAAGAAGATTTTTTGTTTGCTTCTCTCCCAGCGGGAGCATTGCTTCCAAATTCAGTAGATTTTTTTCGCTTAATAAGATTTCAAACAGCGAAGTCTTGAAATCTTTTATTAGAGAATAAGATAGCTGGAAGAAAATCACTCCCACTGAGAGCTAAACAAAGCTCCTTCGTGCAGATGGGATTTCCTCGGCCCAGAAGCCGCCGAGAGAACACAAATTGTCGTGTTTCGAAGGGCGTCGGGAATGAACAGTGAGAAAAGTTATTCCGTTTTGACTTTGTGTAATAACTCAAAAAGCAGAGACTGTTGAGGATCCTAATAAAAAATACAACGTTTAGTGGAGAGAGAGAGAGAGAGAGAGAGACAGAGACAAAAAAGAACACTGGGAGCTGATCAGTAATCCACATAAACTCTTCCCATCGTCTTATCTGAGAGGCTGTGGAACACGAGGCTGTGGCTGGTTGATAAGTATCTCTTGATCGTTTGGCGGCAGCTCAGTAGCCAGGAGCCATCGGTCAGTTTCCAAGTCTTATTTAGTGGACAGACAGATGGCCGGACAGACGGACGGACAGCACGCTGGGTTTGCAGGCTCGAGTGCTCGTTCTCCTTCGAGTTTCGCCCACAAAACACACAGTCACTATAATTTACAGCATAATCTGTGACGTCTCGGAGACTTTTGAGCTTTGAGACGGCGCGAAGGCGTGATAACGCTGCATCAAATGCAAGGGTTATTAGCACCTTTGGCCTCGCATCACGTTTGCTTTCCAGATTTTTCACTGAACGTTAAAACAACAACTTGCATTTACATTCGCGGGGCAGCGTCCCGGGGCGCTTAAAAAGGGGTTAGCGATGTCTGACTTGGATGTGTGTGGCTTTGTGGTACGGTGGGTTGGGTGGGGGCGGGAGGAGAGAATGAATTAGGGTTAACATATAGAGGAACACACTTCAAGATGTGCGTTTGACTCCCGTTCCCCTCAATGGGTTCCTTTGCGGAGCGAATCAGGTATTTGACCCCCCCCACCCCTCCCCACACTTCCAACCACCCCCAAGACCAGCCCACCCCTCCCCTCCCGAAGGCAGGGATAAATAAATAAGAATTTGGTCAATCAATCCGCGGCCGTTTGTGGGGACGCTGCGGTGCGCAATTGGCCGCCGCGTTCGCCCACAAATATACAGTCAATTCACTTTACAGTGTAACCCGCGAAGCGCTTTGAGACGTCGGGAAGACCCGATGAGGCACTATATCTTCTGTAAGGCCACATATTTGCTCCCGATCCCGGTTGAGCTCCCCGCGCTGTGAGGCTGCGCTGCTCCCTGCTGGGAGACGCAGGGCACTGCAGGCAGATTGACAGCCGCCCGTAACAAAACACTTGCCAATTCGGACACCGACTTGTATCGCTCCTTGCGTCCCATACAGCGCTTTTATACGGCGTCGAAGACGTCTCAAAGCGCTTCACATGACGTACTGCAAGGCAGCACGTCTGTGTGCCGTGGGCAACATCCACAGGAGCTGAACCCGTGAGCGCGATAAAGGCAACTCACTCCACAGCGTGTCCTGTGAAGCGCTTTGAGACGTCTCGAAGACGTGAGAAGGCGCTGTATCAAATGCAAGGTTTATTATTATTATTATTAATCGCTCACTTTGCCAACAGCTCACTCGGTTGAAGTCGAAACCTGAGCGAGTTTACCTAACATACAACAACAACAAATGACATTTGCACAGCGCCTTTCACGTCAGGGGGACGTCCCAAGGCCCTGGACAGACGGGGATTTTTTGGACCCGAGCTGCGGGTTGGGATCAGAAGAGGGGTGGAGGGCAGGGAGGGTAGGGGCAGGGGGGTGACCGAAGGTGCGGTCGAAAGAGGAGAGTCTTGCGACGGGCTTTGAACAAAGCATTTTAAAGTCAGACCCTGTAGGAGATTGTTACGATGTGTATACGGTGGTCGCCCCCTGGACCATTGCGGGTTGCCAACAGGAAATGACACCACAACGACCGGACAAACCGGCAGCTCGGACCGGCAGCCATTTTATGCAAGAAAAAAAGCGAGTGTTTCTGACTGTGTATCCCTTCCTCTCCCCCACTCCCCCTCCGCCAATTTCCCCCCACACGGGTCCCAGGACAAGGTGTGCAGTAGCTCGTCACGTAAAGACACATTCGGACCTTCGGGAAATAAAGCTCAAATAAAATTTATTGCACGACCAATACAAAATTCCAACCGTCCGTGTATAAATCAGACTATTCCATTCCTTTGGGTTTATTTTTTCCCTCCTCCCTTCCCTCCCTCCCTCGTGCCAAAGTAACGATAACAGCGCTCATCAAGTGTAGTTCGGAGATCACGAGATCAAGTGTAGTTCAGAGCGAATTGTTCGGTGCTCAGTCCAGTGTTTCAAACTAATCTCGATTTCCCCCACGACATTGGCGTGGGGGGAGAGGTTGTGGAGGGAGAAGGGTGGGGAATGGTGGGGGGGGGGGGGGGAGGAGGGGTGAACTATGTCACGGTAACGGGCGAGTTGCCGTGGATGGACTCCATCACTGCCGCAAACCTGTTGCACAGGTCGTGGGGGGAGTTGGGACGGATCCTGGGGGGTTCCCGCAGGATCCGAACTTCAACGGAACAATCCAGAAGCTTTGGCAGGAACTCGGTCAACTTCTCCTGGAGCCGGGCTGTAAGACAGATACACAAATAAATGTCGACGACAACAACAAAAATAATTTATCTCAACACCCTAGGTCGGGTGGACGGCAGGGGGGGTAGGGGTGGTGGTGGTGGGGGGGAGGGGGGTGGCGGGGGCCACTGAGCCAGTTGGCACGAGTTGTGGACGCAGAGACCAGGCTGACAGATTGGATGGACGGACGGTCACAAAACTCACCATCTATGTCTGCCCCGAGGTACGAACACCAGTGATTGCGCATCATCTCCACCGCCACCAGGTCTTCTTTGGAGATTTCGCTGGTGGCGATCAGGTGCATGCAGGGAATGACCAGGTCGCTCATGATACTCAGCGCCTCCGCTACCTCGGCCTCCTCCCCGCTCTCAAACAGGCTCGCTGCGTTCCCGTTCAGTTCCTGCCACGAGGACACGGCGTCAATAATAATCCTTGCATGTGATACAGCGCCTAATCACGTTACTGAGACGTCTCAAAGCGCTTCACAGGATACACTGTAAAGTCAATCAACTGTGTATTTTGTGGGTGAAACACAGCAGCCAATTGCGCACAGCAGTGACCCCACAAACAGTCTTCCCTAAGGTTTTGCCTCAACCGGGAATCAACCTCGGGTCCTCTCACTTGTGAGGTGAGTGCCTTAACCGTTACACACTACTCTATGGGATTCCATAGACTTAACAAAGCCAGAGCACCATCATCTGGCTCTTTCCCCCCACACAACCCCCCACCCCCCTACACCCTCTTTCCCTTCTCCACCTCATGCGTCACTCAGGCAGGGACTGACCAGGAGACACTTGCGTCTGTAGTGTGCGATCAGCGTTTCGTCCACTCCGCGCTTCTTGCCGTTCTTCAGTAGCTTCCTGTTGCTTTGGTAGGCGTGAACCAGGTAGGTCAGAGCTTCACGGCACCTGCAACACGACAAGAGCCAGATGCTGCAGCCACAGCCAGACATCCCATCCCGGCCACAGCAACACAGCAACCCCAACACCCAACCATTGGAAGGATGGAGTGCGGTACTGGTCATTGGGGGCTGGGGAGGGGTGGGGAGAGGTGAGTGCATAGCACTCTGTTTCTACTATCTGGGATGAGCCAACAAAGGTTGAGATGATTCGATGGATCTGCAATATATTTTGTCCTACTAACATTCGTGGATTTTTATTTTTTAAAAACGTTTTTGTGAAGGAATTATTAACCCCAGAAAAGTGATCCGCCAATGGACCGACAATCAGCTTCCTACTTACTGCTGGTAAATAGAGGCATGTGTGTGCAGTCACTCCGCCTCGCCCTCTCCTTAGCCTCCTTCAAGTCCTGCCTCAAGACCCTCCTCTTCGACCATGCCATCGGCCACCCCCCTTCCCCTCCCCTCCCTTCTCCCCCCTGACCCCAGCTCGGGTCTGAAATGCTGTACACTGTCCAGCGCCTTGGGACGTCCTCCCGACATGAAAGGCACTATACAAATGTAATCTTGTTGTTGTTGTAAGGAAACTTGCCCAACGTTTCACCCTGAAACGGGAATCGAACCAGAGTTCTCTTGCCTGAAGGTCAAAGTGCTCTACATTTGGTCTCACCTCCCCCCACACAACCTAATCCCACGCTATTCTATTACACGAATACAACCCCCATTCCATTCCTTCAACCAGGGTCAGCTACTTCAACACCCAAACAAGAGAGAGATGCAGATAGAGAGAGAGAGAGAGAGAGAGAGACAGACGTAGAGTTTAAAAACTTTGGTTCCTACTTTCCATTCTGATAGCATTCCAGCCCAGTCAGGAGATAGACCGAGACCTTCCGGAACAGGCTGTAGTGCTCGTGCCATTTCTGTGCTCAAAAACAAAAGTGCTATTAATAACATTAATAATAGCAACAATAATAATATTAAATAGCCTTTGCACTTGTTAGAGCGTCTTTCACGTCGGGAGGACGTCCCAAAGCGCTTCACAGGATTTTATTGTTAAGTTCAACGTCTACCTGTGTCCGCTCCACTGGCTCCAGCCTTCTGCTTGTCCCTCGACCCTGTCCCCCGCACCACCACCCTCCACCATTGGACGCCCTTTCAGCCACTACGCCCCGAAACTCTAGAACACTCACCATCTATCCCTTCAGCTTGTCCCCTCCCTCCCCACCTTCAGTTCGCACCTGGAGACCTTTCTCTTCGACTTTGCCTATGGTTACCACCACCTCCCCCTGGCTCAGCGTCGTGCTCAGCCACTGTCGAGCGCTCTGCGTGGGTGAGGGACAATACCTTATACTCCTCCATGTCCATGTCGGAGGGTCCGATAAGCTTCAGTTTGGCCTGGGCCACTTTCATTATACTGATGGACCTATTGAGCAACACATACATTGGTTAGACACAAGCAAAGAAACCCCCCTCGCCCCTCCCAACAAAAGAGCCCAGAGAACAAAGACAAGTTATTGGCGTTAGATAACCTACTGCCTCACGCAGCGTTTCCGATCCAACCCTCTATCGAGCTGTGAGAATGATTTAAGCTGTCACCATGTTAACAGATTGTTCCGAGAAATCCAGTATAGTAACCTGCCCTTGTACAGAGCGTTAGGATCAAGAGGTCCCTCAACTCCAATGAGTGACTAATAATAATAATTCTTGCAGTTGATACAGTGCCTCATCACGTCTTCGAGACGTCTCAAAGCGCTTCACAGAATATACGTAAAATGAATTGCCCGTGTATTTTGTGGGCAAAAACGGCAGCCAATTGCGCACAGCAGCGTCCCACAAACAGTCATGGATTGAGTGACCAAATTATCCTTAGTCTTTTGGAAGGATTATTACCCCCAGGAAAGCGATCCACCGATTAACTAACAAACGGGTGGGAGCTTTCACTGCTGGGCAAACAGAGGCGCGTGTGGAGTAAGGAGGGTTGCCTAAGGTTTCGCCCCTGGGAATCGAACCCAGGTCCTCTCACTTATGAGGCGCGTTCTCTAACCACTAAGCTATGGGATTCCTGTTACACCATTTCCTTAGCGTTACTAAAGGGAGGACATCTAACTAAATGTGCTTCACAACAACATGAAGATTAAGTCAATCCCATTTCCTCCTTCCCTTCCCCGTCCCATTGCAGTGGGAAGCAAGTTGTCCTTTAAATAACAACAAATGGCATTTATACAGCACTTTTCACGTCGCGAGGACGTATCAAGGCGCAGGGCAGTCAGGGATTTGGACCCGACCTGGGGGTAGGGATCAGGAAGCTTGGAGGGTAGGGGTAGGAGGTCCAAAGGCATGGTCCAAGAGGAGGGTCTTGAGACAGGTCTTGAAGGAGGCAAAGGAGGGAGTGAGGCGGAGGGATTTTGGGATAGAGTTCCAGAAGGTGGAGGGGCTTTAAACCTTGGCAGTTCCCCCTCTCCCCCTCCAAAGCTCCCACCTCTCGTCGTAGCTGAGGTTCTTATCCGCAAACTGTTCCAGGAGGGTCCTCTCGATCACCCGCTTGGAGGCCCGGTTCTGGAAGAAGTAGACCAGAGCGTGCTGGAGCCGCGGGTCATTCTGTGGCGTTGGTTCCTCTTTGGCCAAATCAAACAGACGGGAGTACTCCTCGTGAAATGCCTACCCCAGGGAGAAAAAGAGGGAATAAAAACACCCATATACACACCACACCAGCCCCCACACACCACACCCGACACAACACATAAAACCCCACACCACACATACTTCACACACACACCCCCCCCCACATGCCACACCCACACACACCACCCACCCCCGGCCTCCCACCACACATACCACACCCCACACACCACCCCACACCCCCACACACATAGCCTACACCCCCCACCCCCCACCACACGTAGAAATCTCATCTCAACCCCTACCTCGCACCACTCCCCTCTTTCCAAGTTCCAATCCCTGCTCACAAGATAATAATAAAAATAATAATAATAATCCTTGCATCAATCTTTAAACCTGAAGAATTTACTCGTCTGGTGAATGTGCATCTTTAGTCACCGCAGCAGTCACGGGGAATAATAAACTGACAACAAAGTTAACTAAATTACACCTCACACAAACTATTCACTGTCCACAGAATTATAGGCAGAATTCTTTAACTGTGACCTGTTCTACATCGTAACAGAATTTTGTTGTGGGGGGAGTCTCACCACTCTCCCCCCACCACCCCACTTACTGATGTGCTGGGTTTCTGTGAATTTGGAAGCCAGGAAGAGGAACAAACTCAGGGATTATTATAAATTTAAATAGAATATGTGATGATCTCTTTTTTTTATTTGCTACAATGAGGTTGCCTATTGATGATAATAATAATCCTCGCATCTGATGCAGGGTCACGGCATCGAGACGTCTCAAAGCGCTTCACAGTATACACTGTGTGTTCTGTGAAGCGCTTTGGGACGTCCTTCCGACGTGAAAAGCGCTATATCAAATGCAAGGATTATTATTATTATTATTATTACTGTAAAGTGGAGTGAGTGTGTATTCTGTGGGCGAAACGAGGCAGCCAATTGTGCGCAGCAGCGTCCCACAAACAGTCGGGGATTGAATCTATGGCAGTAACATCATGCACAATCACACACACCAGCACACACACACATATCTGCTTGTCCCAGAGAAAAAAAAGAGCTAAATTGCTGAGATCCGTGCGTGTGACACGGCAACAGACTTAATCAAATAGGGTGTTGTCACCGGGAACACAGACGAGAGCCGGGAAAGGAGAGCTGAGTTGAGCAGGAGGACAGACAGGTACCTTTATCAGCCCCGCTTCTGCACCATCGCGTTCATAAACTTGTCTGGATTTAGCTATAGCCAGGATGATGCCCTGCATGGCTGGGCTTAACATTTCCTACCACCAGAGCGTGACAGAGAATCACCAGGTCAAGACGAGAGTGCAAGAGACAGACAGAGAGAGAGATGGAGAGAAAGAGAAAGAAAAAGAGATCAGAGTCTTTGCAAGAAATATCCAGACTAAATATTCGTCACTTGATTGGGGGGTGGGGGGCAAATAATATTGTAATAATCGTTGCATTTGATATAGCGCCTTATCATGTCTTCAAGATACAGAGTATACACAAATATATTGTAAAGTGAATTGACTGTATATTTGTGGGCGAAACGCGGCAGCCAATTGCACACAGCAGCGTCCCACAAACAGTCAAGGATTGATTGAACAAATTATTAGTATTTTTGGGGGGGAAGGGATTATTATCCCCGGAAACGCAATTGCCAATTGACTAACAACTTCCTACTTACTGCGAGGTAAACAGAGGCGTGTGTGTGGAGTAAGGAATCTTGTCTAAGGTTTTGCTCCCACCCGGGAATCGAACCCGGATCCTCTCGCTTGTCAGGCAATCGTGCTACTGAGCTACAGGACTCCACTGCACTACAGCCTGCTCACTCCTCTCTCTGTCTCATTTGACTTGTACCTCCTCGTTGTAGCCATCGGCGTCTTGGCGGACGGTAACTTTGCCAACGTTAGGTATCTCCACCTCGGAGATGTGGGTGCCGGGGTTCTCGGGCTCGGGTTCAGGCCTTTGCTCTGCTGGAGTCGCCTCATTGGTTTCCCGCACAGAGTCAGTCTGCCTCACCGGCACATTGGGGGGAGGGAGAGAGCGCAAAGAGAAGCAGCGAAGACGAGGAGGGAGAGAGAAAGAGACAAACAGACAGAGAGGAGGCAAGAGAAGAATAAAGAAGGCATGATGGAGGAGATAGATAACCAGAGACGAGGGAGGGGGAAAAACAGACAGCACACAATAGAGGGGCTGTAACGCTATTGAAACGTCTCGTAAAATACTTCGTAGGAAATTGCTGTCAAGTGTAGTGACTGTAAGAGGGGGGAAAAAAAAACTGTTGTAGACGGGACTTTGGCTTAATAATAAACTGTGTTTGATATAGCGCCTTAACGTCACAAGGAGCTGCACAGAATATCCTGTAAAGTGAGTTGACTATATTTGTGGGCGAAACATCTCATCCAAAGGACGGGCTTCCAGCAATGCACAGTTCGATCTACAAATCGCACCTTTTTAACATTTAAAAATTTTTTTAAAACAGTTTCATTGGCCGACGCTTAAGAGGCGCAAACAAGGAAGGCGATGGGGAGACACTCTCTCTGGTGCTGTTCGGGATGTGTGAGGGTTTCAGTTTAGTTACACACAGAACCTGGAGTGACAAACAACGGCGAGTGGACAGATTCTCGAGGGATATGGGGCAAAGGCGGGTAAGGTAATTGGAGTTGAGGTACAGATCAGTCACGATCTAATAGAATGGCGCGACAGGCTCGAGGGGCTGAATGGCCTCCTGTTTCTATGTAAAAGAAACAGGAACGTCAGTCTCTCCCACCCCCCAACACACACACAACGAGCTCACCTCCTTCAGAGTGGCCTCGGCTCCCCCGTTCTGACGTGCCGTTGCAGCTTTCTCGATGGCTTGTGCGGTCTGCTCTCTCACCATGAGCGAGTGGTCGGCCGACACGCAGCGCGTCACCGGCTGGGAGCCCGCTGGCGGTGATTGAGTCATTGGTGACTGTGCTGCGGGAGGGGTGGGGGGGAGAGAGAGACAGAGAGAGAGAGAGAGCGAGCAGAGGTCATCATCCCACCAGCCAACAAACCATCGGAAATTCCAATAACATGTCCCGAACTCTGAGCTAGTCATTTTTTGAGTCAATGCTAAATTTCTTTGTGGGGGTGGGGGGCAGCTGATTTAAAAGGAAAAGAGACTTAAAACATAAAAAAGCATAAAAACGCATCGCCGCATTTTGGGAGCGGAGGGTTCCAGACCACACTGCAAGCTCCACACGTACAACAACGATGATAATAATAATAATAAAAATTCTTGCATTTTATACGGAACCGTATCACGTCTTCAGGACGTCTCAAAGCGCTTCACAGAATATACCATAAAGTGAATCGACTGTATATTTAAGCCTTACCTTCCGTGGCTGAGGGCTTGAGCTCCTGTCCAGGAGAAACCGTCTCCTTCTGGGGAATCTTCCGCGCCTGTTCCTCCTCCCACTCATCCACCTCCTGCGATAGTCTCAGGTTGTCCTCACGGACAGAGCGCCTGAGATCCACGGGCAGCGAGCTCAAGGCCAACAACACCTGCCCCGTCTCCGCATCCGTGTCGTCTAACCCCAGGGAATAACATAACATGTAGGAGTAGGCTTTCGAGCTTGCCCCGCCATTCCATCATGGCTGATCTTCTAATCTAACTCCAGCTAATAACCTGACTCTGCCTTATCCCCATATCCCTTAATCCCTTTTGCAATAAGAAATCTATCTATCTCAGTCTTGAATATGTTCAAGGACTGAGCGTCAACAGCGCTTTGGGGTAGCGAGTTCCATGCAACAACAAGAAGTTACATTTACACTGCATCTTTCATGTCGGGAGGATATCCCAAGGTGCTGGACAGTCGAGAGATTCGCACCCAAGCTGGGGGTTGGGGGGATAGGAGAGTAACCAAGGCATGGTCGAAGAGGAGGGTGCTGAGATGTGTTGAAGGAGGTAAGAGGGAGCAAGGCGGAGGGACTGTGGGATGGAGTTCCAAATGGTGGACAGAGAGATTGAAGGCCTGACCACTCATGGTGGGGTGGCCAGGGCCAGGTACGTGGATTAGGCCAGACGGAGCCCGCAGAGCGGAGAGCTTGTAGGGTTTTACAATCTCATGGAGGTAGCAGGTTATTTTTGGTCAGCCGGGTGTCTAACACGTGCGGAAACCCATCACCGTGCTTAAGAGTCTCCAAAACACAATGAGAATTCATTAAATCCCAATTACACAATGGAAAATCCAGAGATAGATTGTTGGAAAGGAATGCGCTCCCTCTGTTTCTCTCTCATTCTGCTTACCTAATTCCGGAAAGTATTAGGCGCAGGTTGGCAAGAGCCAAGGCTTGGGGGGAGCCCAGAGTGCGCGTCGGGGGCAACTTTTGAGTCAAACCAGCTAAAAACACACAGCTTGCCATTGATATCACTACCTGGCAAGTGTGCGTCTTACCTGCTATCAGGTGTGGTAGGCTATCATTGATGTACATTAAGCAGTAGGCGCTGGCATTCCTGGAGCCTCCGTACGAATCTCGCTGCAGCTCCTCCCACGAGGACTCGGTCACGGAGACATCGTTGTACTTTAGCCAGGCTCCGCAAGGGTGGGAACGGACATAGGCCCAGTAATGGCCGGCGGAGGCTTGGCCTTCATGGACCAGCACTGCGTGGAGACGGTACGGAACCTGGCGAAGGATGGGGGGGGAAGAGAGGTGGGAGCCCACCGCCAAGGGAACACAGCGAAGAGAGGAGGAAGAGGAAAAGGCCTTTGGTCGGTCATGAGCGAATAACACGGCAGAGACGCAAGGTAGAGATGTGAGGCACAAGGTTACGGTTAAGAACGGGTGAATTGCAAGGCTTTGGAGCAATGACTCCTTCCCTTCTCCTCTTTCCTCTTGTCTCTCTTTCCCTCTACACCCACCTTTTCTCCACTCATTTACATCCGCCCCCTCTGCCCCCTCCGTTTCTCCGTGTCTCCCACTCCTTCCCTCCCTCTTCCAACCCCCACCATCTCTCGTTCCTTCCCTCCCTCCTCTGTATCCTTCTTCGTCTCTCCCCTCCTTCCCTCCCTCTCACCCCTCCTTCCCTCTCGCTCCTTCCCCCACATCTCTACCTGTCTCCCCCTCCTTTCTTCGCCCCCTCTCGCTTCTTCTCTCCCCCCATTCCCTCTCTCTCTCTCACACAGAGGACAAGTCTAATCCTGTGATCACCCCCTCCTCCTCTTCCCCACCCTTCGCCCTGAGCAGTCGTTTTCCGGTGTTTACCTGGGACAATGCACTGCTCGTGTACATCTGCTCTATAGACTGATGGATCGCTGCGATGTTGTCCTTCAGATCTTTATTTTTTTTAAATAAAATAGAAAAACAAAAACAAAACTGTATTCTCAGCTCCTTCGAATGCACAGTAAATAATAATAATAATCATTGCATTTGATACAGCCTTCTCATGTTGAGACGTCTCAAATAGCTTCACAGAATACTGTAAAGTGGAGTGATTTTGTGGGAGAAACTACTTTTTTTTTGGAGGGATTATTATCCCCGGAAAAGCGATCCATCAAACCACTAACAACTGGGTTCCTACTTATTGCAAGGTAAACAGAGTCGTGTGGAATAAGGAAACTTTCCAAAGGTTTTGCCCTACCCAGGAATCGAACCCAGACCCTCTCGCTTGCAAGGTGAGCTCTCTAACTACTGAGCTACAGGGACTCCAACATCTCATATAGACCTAGGAGTAACAACAACATTACATTTGTGTAGTGCCTTTTACGTCGGGAGGACGGCCCAAGGAGCTGGGAGTAAGGACTTTTGATTCACGTAAGGACTGTATATATGCAAGTTGTTGTTGCTGTCGTACTGCGCTGTAACAAGTCTCCCGCTCTATTACTCACCTTTCATGTCCTGCTCCACCTCTGCCCTCCAGCGCTGAAGGCAGATCTCAAGGGAGACCAGCTCTTGCTCTGTGACGTGTTGGGGGGCTGGATGGGATGTCATCTCTACCGGGGGTCTGGACTGCGTAAAAGGCTTGTGCACAGTCGCTCGCTGTGGCTGAGGGGTACTGGGGAGGCTGGCGGTCTCAGGGGCTATCAATTCTGTTGGGCTTTAAGCGAAATATGTATATGCATATATATATATTTTAAAAAATCAAAATTATTGATGAGCAAACATGGGTGAGTGGGCTTCAACCTCAAGGGCAAAAACACAATTAGTTTCAAGCTAAAGTGCCAAGTTGCTCAATTTGCTCAAGTACCAAATGCCTCAATTTGTTTCCCAAACGTCTATCTTTTCTCCTCCTCCACACCTCCCGCCCACTCACCCGGGATATCTGGACAAATAATAATAATAATCCTTGCATTTGATATAGCGCCTCATGTTTTTTCGAGACATCTCAAAGCGCTTCACAGAATATCCTGTAAAGTGAATTGACTGTATATTTTGTGGGCGAAACCCAACAGCCAATTGCGCACAGCAGCGTCTCACAAACAGTCGTGGTTGAGTATCCAAATTATTTTCATTTGTTTTGAAGGGATTATTACCCCCGGAAAAGCAATCTGCCAATTAACTAACAACCGGGTTCCTACTTACTGCTGATAAACAGAGGTGTGTGTGTGTGTGAAGTAAGGAAACTTGGCCAACGTTTCGCCCGGGAATCGAACCACGTCCTCTCACTTGCGAGGCGAGTGCTCTAACCACTGAGCTACAGAACACAAGCTGCACCAAAGCCACCTTTTGGCCCCAAACCCCGCCCAGCGAGATACAATGAGCGGACATGGTTACCTGGTTTGCACAGTGGAGGCTGCTGTAGTGTTGGGTTGTGGGTTTGGTGACAATGGCAGTGGGACCTTCACATCCTGAGCGAGAGGCACACAGGATGGTTTGGTGCTGGCAAATTCCCAGACGTACTGTAGAAGATCTGTGAGGGGGAACTTTTGAGGCCCAGACCCATAATTCATGTACCTTTTTATACAAGGATAATTTAGAGAAAAAAATCACATAATAATTATTATTATAATTAATTAATAATAATTATTAAATAATAAGAAAATAATATGACAGGAAGACAGGACCTCGGTTTAATGTCTCACCTGAAGGACGGTAATGGTAATATTAATAATAATCCTTGCATTTGATACAGCGGCTTATCACGTCGTTGAGACATCTCAATGCGCTTCACAGGATACACCGTGAAGTGAATTCACTGTGTATCTTGTGGGTGAAACGCGGCAGCCAATTGCGCACAGCACAAATACCTCTCCAATCGCTGCTGTAGGATAGTCACTTGTTCCTTCAGCCTCTTTACCTCTTCCCTCCTGGCTCGAGTGTGCTCCTTGTTTGCGTGCAGGTATCTGCGTAGCCAACCAGGAAAATCAATTGGAAAAAAATATAATCCTCCAGCATTCACTTGTTTTACTTTATAATAATAATCCTATAACATAAATGCAAGAATTAGTATCATTAGTATTATTATCACTATTATAATAACCCTTGCTTTTGATATAGTGCCTTATCATGTCGTTGAGACATGTCAAAGCCCTAGAATATATTGTCAAGTGGAGCGACTGTGTATATTGTGGGCGAAATGTTATTCTGTTCCCTTCTGAATCTCGTGCCTTGTACCTTAATAATACTTATATTTAATATAGTGCCTTTCATGTTAACAAGACGTCTCAAAGAGTTTCTCAGGGTTTTTCTTCAGCCAGTTTGCGCGCAGATTAACTCCTTGAACAGCTACAAAGTGAGTGACCAGTTTGTAATCGGTGGGGGGGGAGGAAGGCAGGAGGCCATTCAGCCCCTCGAGCTTGATCATGAATGACCTGCATCTCAACTCCAATTAGATAATTAAATTGAATACAGGGACAGAGAAACTCCCTTCTCTTTCCAATTAGAAATTTTGAACCCGAAAAGGCACAGATGGGATCTCGGTTTAAACCCCTCCTTCTGACAATGCAGCACAACCCCCCCCACTCCCCCTCCGAGAGACACTGACTTCCCTGACCGGAAGAATTATTCCGACTTGGGATGGGTTAAAGCTCCAGAGAGGGAGGTGCAATCACGTGCTTCACTTGCTCTCCGCAAAAGTCTGTCCTCAGCAGCACTCACCTGTCCAGATAAATGACCTGCGGGAATTCAAGCTTCTTGTGGATTTTTTCCGGCCTCCCCAAAGACTGATTAAACTCAAATCGAGAGAGCTCGAAAGTCAGAACCGGGGGTAGTTTTGTAAACCAATTCTGCAAAATAAGCACAAAGAATGAAAAAGAAAAAAGATATCAAGAGATCGTTGATAAGTTTATCGCTTATTGTTTTCACACTCCGAGTCTCAGCCGGGCTCAGTTGCTCGTGCTCCCTCGACTTCGAGTCAGGTTATGGTTCAAGCCCTATGTTGGGGCTTGAGTGAGCTCACGACGTCTGCCTGACAGGTGTCTGTCACAAGCGGAAACCCATCACCGTGCTTTAAGAGACTCCAAACCAAACAGAGGCATGTGTGTGGAGTCAGGAAACTTGCTTAAGGTTTCACCCTGACTTACCCGGGGAATCGAACCCGGGACCTCTCACTTGTGAGGCGAGTGCTCTAAACACTGAGCTACAGGACTCCACTGTCTAAAGAAACTGAAGAAGTTACAGTGCACAGGAGTCTCCTCACCTCGTGGGCGGACCTGACCGACTGATCCGAATGGAGGGTCTCAATTTCCCCAACCACCATGGCTCCTTCCAGACACTCGTGAAGATCCCTGAAACCGTTAACCTGCAGAGGATACTGTCCGAACGTTTCTACATTGGAGAACATTTTCCCTGCAAAAAAGAACGAGGAAAACCGAGACTCGTCCCTTCTCACGTTGCATCAATTTACAAAGGAACCGCGGAAATCTAGCAGCAAGTGACGTTTAAATCCCCTCCGCGACATCTCCCTCCCCCACCCTCACCACCACTGCGACTGAAATAGAGTCAGCCCTCTATAGTGCGCTCCGTAATCTGGATCCTGAGCCAGTCAGGTCCACAGTATTCCAGGGCACTTGCTGCTGATGAAAGCACAGCCCGGCCTGGCTCACCGACAGGAAGGGTCGACTAGTCACTGGGGGCAGGGAATCCTCCCACTCAGCTCCTGTTAACCCTGCAGCCAAAGCCCTAATAGATTGGGTGGTCCTCGCTGGACAAGCAGCGGGAAAGCTTGCCGGACAGTGATATCAAGTGATGGCAAGTTGTGTGGTTTCAGGTGGTTTAAGTGCAGCGGTTACCCCAACACACAGGGCGCACAGCAAAAATGACCACCGATCAGAGCTTCTGGGTCGTCAGGTTCCCTACTGATGTCACTTCCTGTGCACATGTGCCATGGGGTTGCTCAGCGCTGCCGCTTCCTGCGAGCCTGCAGCTAAACGCAGGAAGTTGGGCTGTCAGCGCAGGAAATGCGACCTGCGCTGTAACTGGAACGCTTTATAAAGAGGGTTGTGACTGGAGCGAGTGGAAGGTGGAGTGAAAGCAACGAGGGCGAGTTGCAGTACCGTCGTGAAGTCCTTCCGCCAGGTAAGTTCCATAAAAGAGTTCCACCATCGGGTTCACAGGCTTTGCCTGTGAATTCCTGCAAATTAAAGAATCTCAGTGAGATTAATCTGGAACAACACACAGAACTTTTCTCCTCTCCCCGCTCCTCCCCCCACAGGCAATATTATTCTAATTTGCTTCCTCCTAATCCTCTCCTGAATGTGTTTTGACTTTTCGTTTTCCCTCCACTGGGATCATGGCTCCATGAGGATACAATCAAACATCTGGTCAGGAACTCTCTCCCTTCCCCAAAAGGCTGTGGATGTTGGATCAATTAAAATTCTCCAAGACTGAGATCAATAGATTTTTGTTAGATCAGGGTATCAAGGGATATGTCCCTAACACTTCCCACCCCCCCACACCCTCCACCCCACCTGATCTCAACCCCCAGCTCGGGTGCAAACCCCTGACTGTCCTGTGCCTTGAGATGTCCTCCTGACATGAAAGGCGCTATGTAAATGTCATTTGTTGTTGATTATATGGAGCAAAGGCAGTAAATGGAGTTGAGGTACAGATCAGCCATGATCTAATCGAACAGGCTTTAGGGGCTGAATGGCCTCCTCCTGTTCCTATGTCCTGTCTGTCTACTCAGGTGGAAGTTAAAGATCCCATGACCAGGCTCCAAGGCAGACCCTTAGGTAGACCAAACCCTCAATAGACTCAGTGAAAATCTTTACGTTGGGATTGGGAACTTTGGAGGAAGAGAGGATCCATTTACTTCACGTTTGCCGTCATCTGGAACGAGTCTTCCAGCCAGTCCAGGAGCTTGTGTGTGAACTCACTCACATCCTGCAAGAATGAAACCATAATAAAATTAATACTACTTGCAATTGGTATAGCGACTTATCACGTGATAAGCACGGCTCAATGCGCTTCAAGGCAGTTACCGTGAAATGGTGTGTATATTTGTAGGCAAACATGGCAGCACAACATCCCACAAACAGCGACCAATTTATTCTGGGATTTGTTGGCCAGAACTCACTCTCTCCTTTCCTCACCTGAATCAAGTTCCATTTCAAGACCTACATCTTTGACCGCTCTTTCGGTCATCTTTCCCCACCCCAACCCCCTGACTCTCGCTCTCCCCAGCTTGGGTTCCCAGTTAAACTTCACTGTTTAAGCACCTTGGGATTTCCATTTGATGCGAAAGGCGTTATAATAATAATCCTTGCAATTGATATAGTGCCTTATCATGTCTTCTAGACGACTCAAAGCATTATATGAAATATACTGTAAAGTGAATTGACTACGTTTTGTGGGCGAAACGCAGCAGCCAATTGCGCACAGCAGCATCCCACAAACAGTCGTGGATTGAGATATTATTATAATTTACTTAAGGGATTATTACTCACGGAAAAACGATCCGCCAATCAACCAACATCCGGTTTCCTACTTACTGCTAGATAAACCGAGGCGAGTGAAGGAAACTTGCCCATCATTTCGCCCTGCCCAGGAATCAAACCCAGATCCCTTCGCTTGTGTGCTGAGCGCTCTAACCATTAAGCTACAGGACTCCACAATGCAGAGATAACACAATATCATCATCATATTATCATCGCCCGTCTCTGCCAATACCTCTCCCCAAAAGCCGCTGAAACCCTGGTCCATGCCTTTGATACCTCTCGGCTGACGCCCTCCTCACCGGTCTCCATCCACGACCATCCAAAAAATCCAAATCATTCAAAACTCTGCCACCCATATTCTCACCCGCACGAAACTCTGCTCTCCGATCACCCCAATCCTTGCCAGACTGCACTGGCTACCAATCCCAGAGAGGATCATTTCAAGATCCTCACCTTTGTATTAAAGTCCCTGCACTCCTCTGCATCCCCAGACCTCTCTGACCTCCTCTCTCCTCAGCACAGTACCCGTTGCCTTCGTTCCTCCGGGTCTGGCCTCCTCCTCGACCCCAAGTCCTCCCCTCCACCCTCGGCAGTCGTGCCTTCAGCCACTGCGCCCCGAGGTTCTAAAACTGCCTTCCTCACTCCCTTCGCCTTGTCCCTCCCTTCCCATTTTCAGGTCTCTGCTGAAGACCTTTCTTTTCGACCGCGGCTTTGGTCACCTCCCTCCCCCTGGCTCGGTCCCGGGATCCGTTACTGTGAAGCGCTCTGAGACGCCGTCCGACGTGGAGGGCGCTATATAAATCCAAGTTGTTGTTGTTGTATCCTCATTCCCATTTTCGTTCATGGCGACTGCGCTCACACACCCACCTGTTGGGCCTCGCTTGAGCGGAATGCATCTTTCAGAAGTTCAACTGCGTTCGAGGGGTCGACATATTTGCGCTTTGACCCGACCATCAGAGCAAACAGACAGCGAAGCTCCTGCATGAAGGCCAGGTTCCTCTGCTCCTGATGAGAGAGAGTGAGAGAGAATGAGGGAGAGAGAGAGAGAGAGAGAGAGAAAGAGAAGATTTATGGGCAGATTTCCCCTGGAAATTAGTATGGTTGGATAATCATAAAAATAATTGAAAAAGAGCGAAACGCCAAAATAAAATAATGTAGTATTCACTGGTCACCGATACTTGAAGTAATTCATTACTTGGGGGGAAGCTGTTGTATTCAACACAATGGGCGCAGGCTTTGACCGCACCTGCGGTCACCCTTCTACCCCAACAGTCCCTGCCGTCCACCCCTCCTGATCCCAACCCCCAGTTCTGGTCCAAACCCCTGCCTGTCCAGCTCCTTGGGATGTCCTCCTGAAAGGCGTGAAAGGCGCTGTTGTAAATTTGTTGTTGCTGCAGCGCTTGCTCCACCACAGGACTGACCAGGGCCACAACGTAACCATAACCTCAGCAACGCACTCACTGTATGGCTTCTGCAGTTTTCATGGTGATTTTCTGGTACAGTGTAATTGAGAACCAATCGTCGGAACTCGGTCAGTTGGAACAAAGACTGAGGAACAAACGCAGAGAGAGAGTGAGAGCGAGAAAGAGAGACGTGTTTTGACAGACCCATAATCATCCTTGCATTTGATATAGCGCTTGTCAAATCATTGAGACGTCTGAAAGCTCTTCACAGGATATACTGTGAAATGGTTTTGACTTTGTATTTTGTGGGTGAACCACAGCACCCAGTTGCGTATAGCGGTGTCCCACAAATAGCCATGGTGCGAGTGACCAGTTTTACTTGGGAGGGATTGTTGGCTAAGAAACTCCCTTCTCTTTTCGAATAGTGGCCTGACCAGGCAGACGGGGCCTGGGTTTTTAACGTCTCATCTGAAGGATGACACCTCTAACAACGCAACACCTCCCCGAGCGCTGCATTGGAATGTCAGCTCAGACTGTGTGATTCCAAGTCCCGATGTGACATGGGGTGAGGGGGAGTGAAATTGAACTCACAACTTTCGGACTCAGAGGCGAGAGTGCTGCCACTGAGCTAGGCTGAGTAGGGCTCCCGTAGTTGGCCTGTTTACATCCACCAGCTCCCCGCTGACTCACTTCACCTGTTTATTCCTGTCTAAGTGGGGGGGGGGGATGAAGTCATTTTTTCCAAAAAGCATACCACAGGGAGCGCTGCCTCAGACCTTTCACCAGCATCCGACACCTACCCACAACTGACACCGTGGCGCTCACCCAAAGGGACATATATTCCTCCAAAACACGGTTCAAAATGCACGCGGCTCTCTCTGGCCATCTCTGTAATCAGCCCTCCTTTCTATTCCTAGTCAGCTTTAGGGGATGCTCCAATGCAGCACTTGGGGAGGGAAGGGGAGTGGGGTGTTGCATTGTCGAAGGTCCTTCAGGTGAGACGCTACACCAAGCTCTCTCAACAACGCGATAAGGCGCTATATCAAATGCGAGGATTATTATTATTATTCCTCTCACTCCTTCAGTCACTCATCCTCGTTCCCTTAATAATAATTCTTGCATTTGTCACGGCGCCTGATCATGTCTTCGAGATGTCTCAAAGCGCTTCACAGGTTACACTGTAATGTGTAGTGACTGTGTATGTTGACTCTTACTTGAATCACTGCACTGAACCAACAGGTGTTGCCCACATTCTTCAGCCCCACTGGCCAGTCACCCTCGCGGAGCCGATCATTGGGGTTTGGGGAATCACCCCAAGCTTCACATCTCTTCCTCTTCAACCCGGCCTTACTTTCGCTGCCTGTGTCATTTAACCTGTCAGTGCAAGAACACCAAACGGAATATTCTAGTGGGAATTAGATAATGTAAACTAGAGGGAGGGAAGGGGTGTGGGGGGTCCAACCTCTTAGCTGCTGAGAGTGAGGGCCGGATGCCCTACCTGAGAAACGTCCATGGGCATTATAAGCAATATTTTTGTTTCCCTTCCAGATTCAATACCAACTTTCAAGAGAGAAGTGGATAGATATTTGGGAAGGCTATGGGGAGAGAGCGCGGGAGTGGAACTAGTTGGTAGCTCTTTCAAGAGCCAAGTGGGCATAATGGCCTGAATGGCCTCCTTCTGTGCTGTATAATTCTATGATTCTAAACATAACATTTACAGGTTATGGCGAGAGCAGGTGGGCCACATATAATGGAGGGGGTGGGGAGGGGGAGCCAGATGCGGCCCCTGGGCCGCCAGTTGGACCACCCTGATGTAGACCATGACAGGCTGTTTTATCTTGTGCTGAACAGTAGAACATGAGGACACGGCCTGCGATTGAAGGGGTAAATTCAAAACAAATCTGGGGAAACACTACTTCAGTGAGCGATTAGTAAACGTATAGAACCGGCTCCCCAGGGAGTAATAATTTGGAAGCAGAAAGGGTCGATTCTTTCAAGAACAAATTAGATAGATTGAGACCCTTACTGGCCAGAGTCTTGGTCCTCCGTGGCCTTCTGCACTTTCTGGTTCTCCTCCAGGCTCAGAGCGATGGCCTTCTGCAGATCATCCTTCTCCTTCTCATCCCCAGTCAGATCAATCGCACCTGCAAGAGCAGTGGCAAAGTTACATAATATTAATAATAATCCTTGATATAATACCTTGTGTCGTTGAGATGTATCAAAGCGCTTTGCAATACACACCGTAAAGTGAATTAACTGTATTTGTGGGCAAAACACGGTAACTAATCTGCGCACAGCAGTGTTGCACAATCGTGGATGGTGTGACCAAATTAATATTAATTATTGATTACTTTTTTTATTTTTTTAAATGGATTTATTTTTTAAAGAGGGATTACTACCCCCAGAAAACAATCTGCCTATCTTCCACTAACAACCGAGTTCCTACTTACTGCTGGGTAAACAGAGGCAAGTGGAGAAAGGAAATTTGTCTAAGGTTTCGCCCCGCCCGGGAATCAAACCCAGATCCTCTCGCTTGCAACGATGCTTACGGTCACCTCCCCCACCCCGTCACCCCCCGCTCGGCTTCAGGCTCCGCCACTGTTAAGCGCTCAGATGTGCTGCCCCGCGTAAACGTCTAGTGAACTTCTTGTTTTCCTCATAGCCCTCGATTCCCTGCGTATCTCGAGCAAACACCCAGGAATGTCAGAGGCATTAAATCCCAGAAGCAAACACAACCTAACACCAAAATAGAGAAACAGCAAACGTGGCTGTTTGGTGATGAGGTTTCAGATAGCAATCTCCAGTTGTCGGGCTAAAAATAAATCTATCGGAGGCAAAGTAGATCCAATAGACACAGACTCTAGTGATGGCTCCTCAGGCCCACAGCTCGTGGAGTTGATCCAATGTCAAAGACGAATGATATACTCAATCCTGATCCAAAGGACCAGGTGTTGTGCTCAACTCCGCCAACCAAGAGCACAAGACAATGAACCACTCCTCCCCCTCCCGTGAAGTTACTGTGCGCAATTGGCTGCCACGTTTCCCCCACAAAATATAGTCAATTCACTTTACAGTATATTCAGTGAAGCGCTGCGAGACGTCTAGGCGACGTTATGTCAAATGCAAGGATTATTATCATAATAATAAAAGTATAGGGTTTCATCAAATCAGAGCAAGCTTTAGTTTCTATAATGATGATGATAATAATCCTTGTGATTGGCAGAACACCATTCACGTCAGGCGGACATCCCATTCACTTTACAGAGTTTAAGGTGAAGCGGAGTGATTGTGTGTTTGTTATGTTGATTTTTGCACCTCCCACCTCTCCCCACCCTCACCCCCACCACACACACACACACACCCCACACACAGACACCCCCCCCCCCCACACACACAACTATTTAGTTTTAGAATCCAAAGTGAGGTGATGATATTGGGTCGTCAATAACTACTCACGGGACTGGTCGCAGTGTTCGTTATCAGGCTCGTCAGCTACTGTTCCCTGGCTTGGGTCCCTCGCACTTTCATTTGTCAGGAAACTCACTGCCTGGTTAATGTCTCCATTGCTGACCTACAGTGAGGGGAGGGACCGGGGTGGGGAGTGGTGAGGGTGAAAAAGAGTGAGAGAACAAGAAAGAGAGGGGGCGAGGTGGGGGGGGGGAAGAGAGGGGGGAGAGAGAGGGGGGGGAAGAGTGGGGGAGAGAGGCAGAGAGAGAGAGAAAGAGAGAGAGATGGGGAAGAGAGAGGAAGAGAGAGAGAGGGAGAAAGAGAGAGGTGGGGAAGAGAAAGGGAGGAAGAGCGCGGGGGGGAAGAGAGGGAAGGAAGAGAGAGGGCGGAGAGAGGGGAGAAAAAGGGAGAAAAAGACCTTCAAAACCGTCCAAGATGAAATTGAATCTTACCATTGTTGCTTCCTTCGTTTCAACAATCAAAGCATTATATATTCACATTTGTTGTTATACACTTTACATTTGTCACAGCACCTAAAGTGTATTGACTGTACGATTATGGGCCTTGGCAGCAACTAAACCATACAAAATCTTCAGTACCAGATAAAAACAGATAGGACGTTTTATCTCGTACTGAACAGTAGAACCAGATGGCACGGCCTACGATGGAAACAGGATAAATTCAGAACAAATCCGCGGAAACGCTACTTCAGTGTGTAACAGGCTCCCAAGGGAGACAGACGGTGGAAGCAGAAAGTGTTGATTCTTTCAAGAACAAATGAGATAGATTTCTGTTAGGAAATGATATCTGGGGGATCCAGGATATAGTTTGGGACACGACATGTCGAGTAACTGCCAGGATGGTGAACTGGATGGACCTTGGTCTTCTTTTCTTCAGGCTGTGCTGTGACTTTGACTGACTGACCTGCAGGGCTTGTTGTAGAAGCCGATTATCTTGGATTCCTGTGATTTCCCGCAACTGTTTGATGATCAGGGAACTGTTCTGGAAAGCACAAAATGGGAGACAAGTGAAGGGAAGAAAAAATACGAGACCTCTGCGTCAACAACGACAACAACTTGCATTTACACAGCGCCCCCCACCCCGGTTTAGCGTCTCTGAGCACTTAACAGTGGTGGGGAACCGAGCCGGAGGGAGGGGTGGAACTCTGGTCCGCGCCTTTATCACCTCAAGGCTGGACTATGGGAACTCTCTCCTCGTCGGCCTTCCCGGCCCTCCCTCCACACTGCAGGTCATTCAGAACTCTGCAGCTCGTGTACTGTCCCGCACCAGACACCGCGACCACATCACTCCCACCCTCACCCTCGCCCTCACCCTCACCCTCGTCCTCGCTCGCCTCCACTGGCTCCCCATCCCCCAGAGGATCGAATTCAAGATCCTCGTCCTCACCTACAAGGCCATTCACGGCCTCGCTCCCTCCTACCTCTCCGACCTACTATCCCCCTACCTACCCGCCCGTACCTTCCGTTCCTCTGGCTCCGGTCTGCTCCACATCCCCCGCCCCAACCGCCCTACCATCGGTGGCCTTCAGCCTCTCAGCCCCGAGGCTCTGGAACTCCATCCCCCGGTGCCTTCGCCGCTTCCTCCCTTTCCTCCTTCAAGGCCGGTCTCAAAACCTTTCTCTTTGACCGAGCCTTCAGCTCCCCTCTCGACTCTCTACCCCCTCCTCGCTCCCTCCCTTCCCTCCCCTCACCCTGACCATTATCCCCCCTCCTCGCTCCCTCCCTTCGCTCCCCTCACCCGGACCATTTCCCCTCAATGCTCGGGTCCTGACCCAACTGTACAGCGTCTTGGGACGTTCTCCCGACGTGAAAGGCGCTCTATAAATGGAATAGAATCGAACAGGAAGGTCTTCGGGCATGATCCAAAGATAGAGAAAGAGGAGGCAAGGTGGAGGGACAGAGGGAGAGAGCTTTGGGGTATACTGGCTGAAAATACAGCCATCGATGGTGGAGCGGAGGGGACGAGGGACAAACGAAAGGCCAGAGCCAGCTGAGCAGGGGGCAGCAGGTGAGGGCATTGGGATTAAGCAGGTTGGAGAGGTAGGGAGGTGTCAAGGCAAGAAAGGGTTTTCGTGAAGAGAAACAAAAACAAGTCAGTCTTTTGGAGAGGAGGGGAAGAAAATTGCAAAGGTGTGGGGGTGGGTTGGGGGGAAATGAGTGTTGGTTTGGCTCAGTGGCTATTAATAATTATTATTATTGTACGTCAGTGACTAAGAAAAGCAGAAAGCGTAGCAGAGTGAGCAATGCGCCCAGAGCAAACGTGTTGCACAGAACGCGAGTGAGCTGTGTGTGGGACATACAAGGATCGTGCTACCAGGAACGGCTTGGGAGAAGTTTATTTTAAGCCCATCTCCAAATGCTAGGCAGGTTTCAAATTCCATTCCACCCCACATGCTGCCTCCTGTAAAGATAGTTCAGGGGCTTCAGATTGTGGGAGTGGTTGGAGGTGAGGTGAGTGTGTGGGGGGGGAGGAGGGAGAAAATAGAGAGGGGGGGAACTGGGCACTGATCAGCAAAGCCCCAACTATAACCCGTGAGTTGTGTCGCAAATCAAAAGGTGGCAAAGCTCACCGTAGGAAATGAGTGCCAAGTGTAGTGACTGTGACGTTTACAACACCAAGGCCCCACCACAGGGCCCCAGGCGACGTGGAGATTGTTGGCCTTCAAGCCTTGTATTTTTGATGTACTGTAGCACCTTATCACGTCATTGAGACGTCTCAAAGCGCTTCACAGAATAGGCTGTAATGTGGATCGACTGTGTATTTTCCGGGCGAAACACGGCAGCCAATTGCGTAAATGTTATTACCCCCGGAGAGCGATCTGCCAATCGACTAACAACTAGTCCTACTTACTGCAGGTAAACAAACAGATGCTTGTGGAGTAACGAAACTTGCCCAACGTATTGTCCTGCACGGGAATCAAACCCAGGTCCTCTGGCTTCAGAGGCCCCCCAAACAAAATGCACACATGCCCCACAACATACAAAACACACGCACACAAAATACACACATACCCTTCCCCTCGCCCCTCCCTCCCTCCCCTCCCTCAGACCTGGGCCCCCCCCCCCCAAAAAAAAATCACTGAACAAGGTTTTTTTCACTGATAAGAGACTGCAACATTTTTAACCGTTGTCTTGTTTCAAAAAAAAATCTAAATAAATAAATAGAGGGAAAAGCAAAGTTTCCTGCTCCCTGACCCGGCTTCCTACTGTCAACAGACAACCATCTGCAAACACACAGGTCCAGGCTCTCACAGTCTAAGCTGACGCTCCAATGCAGCGCTGGGGGTGGGGGGGGGGTGTTGCATTGCCGGCGGTGCCGTCTTTCGGGGTGAGACGTTAAGCTGAGGTCCTCGTCTGCCTGTCCAGGTGGATGTTAAAGATCCCGTGGCGCTGCTCAAAAAAGAGAGGGGAGTTTCTCTCTTGCCGGCGCCCCCCAAATAAAGTAGTCCACTCAACCCACGACTGCTTGCGGGACTGTGCGCAATTGCAATTGGTGCCGCGTTTCACCCACAAAATACACACTTTACAGTGTATTCTGTGAAGGGCTTTTGAGACGTCTCGGAGCCGCTATAAGGCGCGGTATCAAAATGCACTGATTAAATGCTCGGACTATTATTAAATACCAAGCAGGCATTATTACTACAAAGGGAAACTTCACAACATCCTTCTGAACGAGTTACAACAAAGAAAATATTGTGATTAAAAGTTTCAAAGAAGCAACTTGTTATGACTGAGTCACTGGGAAAGTCCCTGATTAACGTGTTACCACAAAGTTACTGCCCTGAGGGTTTGTTTCTCTGCCTCTCACGTTGATTTCCTTTCCACTCTCACTTTTTTTGTGTGGTTACTTATTTTGCAGCGGAGAGAGAGAGAGAGAAAGAGAGAGAGAGCGTGTGAGAGAGAGAGGAGAGAGAGAAAAGAGGGAAGAGAATAAGAGAGAACCGGGAAGAGATAGAGCGAGAAGGGAAGAAAGAGAAGAATGTTGTTGAGAAAGAATTGGCGTTCACGGCAAGTTAAGAGTCTCCAAAGAAAAAAGGGGGAGGAAGAGGTGTTTTTCTTCATCATGTAAAAAAATATATATTTTCGTTTCGCCCACAAAATACACAGTCACTCCACTTTACAGTATATTCTGCGAAGCGCTTTCGGACATCTCAACCACATGATAAGGCGCTATATCAAATCCAAGGATTATCTCATATATATGTTTATATAGGACACTTCTATATAATACAGAATACACTGTGTAATATACACACATATATTTACAGTATATACTTAAACAGTATATACGCACAGAGTGGGACACCTCTGTGCGCAATTGGCTGACGCGTTTCACCCACAACATACACAGTCACTCCACTTTACAGTATAGTCTGTCAAGCGCTTCGAGACGTCTCGGATATATGTATATATATATATATGCACACGCTGTATACGTATATACTGTAAATATTTAGGTGTGTATATTAATTACACAGTATATTCTGTATTAGGCAATAAAAGCAAAAGAGGCAAATCATATTCAAAAAGTTGCTTTGTTGCTAATAACTGGATCCTCAGTAACTTTGTGCAACAAAGGAGCAGCTCCGCATCCACAGTCTGTGTCTCAGTCACTGTCTGTCTCTCTCCGTCTGTCATTCACTCTCACTCTGTCTCTCACTCTCTCTCCGTCTATCATTCACTCTCAGTCTCTCACTCTCTCTCTCCGTCTGTCACTCACTCTCACTCTCTCTGTCTCTCACTCTCTCTCTCCGTCTGTCACTCACTCTCACTCTCTCTCTGTCCCTCTCACACTCACTCTCTCTGTCTATCTCTCTGACTCTCTGTCTCTCACTCCCTCTCTGTCTCTCTCACTCTCTGTCTCTCTCTCACACTCTGACTCTCTCACTCACTCTCTCTCACTCTCTGTCTCTCTCTCACACACTCTGACTCTCACTCACTCTCACTGTCTCTCACACTCACTCACTCACTCTCTCTCACTCTGTCTCTCTCACACACTCTTGACTCTCACTCACTCTCACTGTCTCTCACACTCACTCTCTCTCACTCTCTGTCTCTCTCTCACACACTCTGACTCTCACTCACTCTCACTGTCTCTCACACTCACTCTCTCTCACTGTCTCTCTCTCACACACTCTGACTCTCACTCACTCTCACTGTCTCTCACACTCACTCACTCACTCTCTCTCTCTCTCACTCTCTGTCTCTCTCTCAGTCACTGACTGCGATTGTCCCATTATCTTTGCTCTGTTATGTTTCAGTGAGAGTGAGAGAGATAAAGAGAGACGGTGTGTGTGTGTGAGAGAGAGAGAGAGAGGGGTTATTTATTTACCTCCTCGGGTTGGCTCTCTCCCGCCGTCATGGCTTCGCCTCCTCTTCCTGATTTTCCCGCCGAACAAAAAAAAAACACGAGTCGAAAAGGAGTGGGTTTTAAACCCCCCCAAAAAAAACACAATAAAAAAAGTGACTTTTTTTTTTACGAGGTGTTTTTTTTTCCCTCCCGGAAAAGCGAGCGCGAGAGAGGGAGAGAGCGCGAGCGCGCGCGAGCAGCTGCACACAGCGCGCCGACCCGACCCGCCCCCACCACGCGCCGCGCGCGATGCCGTCACACGCACGCACGCACTCACGCACGCAGCGAGTCACCGCCCCCTTCCCTCCCCCGCGCGCGCCGTGCGCCATGCCGTCACACACACACGCGCTCACACACACACACACACACACACAGCGAGTCACCGCCCCGCCCCGCGCGCCGTGCGTGATGCCGTCACACACACACGCGCTCACACACACACAGCGAGTCACCGCCCCGCCCCGCGCGCCGTGCGTGATGCCGTCACACTCACACCGCGTGTCCAGTCCCACAGCACATCATCCCCCACCCCCCCGTCCCCTCCCCCCCGCCGCACCGTACGTGATGCCGTCACACGCATACAGTGAGTCCAATACCACAACACACTCCCCCCCCCCCCCCCACCTTCCGCGCCCACCGTACGTGATGCCGTCACACACCCACCACGTGTCCGATTTCCCCCCACCCCCCGTCCCCGTCTCCGCCCCCCCCCAAGCCGTGCGTGATGCCGTCACACGCACAACCCGCGCGCTCCGCGCAAAAAAAAAAGAGCGGGAGACGCGTTCCCGCCGCCGGGCAGAGCAGCACGTGGTGCTCCTCCTCCTCCCCCCCACCCCTCCCGTCAAGTGTAGTGACTGTGTATTCTGTGGACGACACCCGGCAGCCAATTCATCAGCTCAGTAAGAGTTCGGCTGAATTCTCGCCCGGACCATCGATGAAAAAAAATCCGAGGGACGTGAGAGAGAGAGAGAGAGAGAGAGAGAAACCCCCTTCTCTTTTCAAATAGCCCCGTGGGATGTCCACCCGAACGGGCGGCCGGACGAGGAGCTCGGGATAACGACTCATCCAAAGACCGGCACCTCCGACAAATAATAATAATAATAATAATAATCTTTGCATTTGATATAGCGCTTTTCACGTCGGGAGGACGTCCCAAAGCGCTTCACAGAACACACTGTAAAGTGAATTGACTGTATATTTGTGGGCGAACGCGGCGGCCAATGGCGCACAACAATGTCCCACAAACAGTCGTAGATTGAAAATGACCAATTTATTATTGTTTTGGTTTTGGAGGGATTATTATTAGGCTCTGTGTGGAGTAAGGAAACTTGCCCAAGGTTTTGCCCTCTGCCTGGAATTGAACTCAGGTCTCTCACTTGCAAAGCGAGTGCTCTAACCACTGAGCTACAGGACTCCACAATGCCACACATTCCCGGCACTTTTGGTGGTGGGAATGACAGTGTGGCCCAACCACCTCTGGGAGCAGCAGTTAATGTGCTCACATTTGCTCAACGCCCTTTAGTCCCTATTAAACTTCTCTCTTAACAATACAATCAGATTAGATGTCAACAACAGCGAGAAAGCCCGGACTAAGGTTCCTATTTTCTAATTCCTAAAGGCTCTCTTTCTTTTCCTTTCTTTCTTTCTTTCTTTCTTTCTTTCTTTCTCGCTCTCCCCCAACCTCTCTCTATCTTCCTCCCCTCTTTTCCACCTCTTTCTCCTCCCTCCGCCCTCTCTTTCCCCTTCTTTCTTTGCCTCTCATTGTCATCCCTTCGCACTCCCCCTCCCTCCCATTATTTCTCTCTCTCTCCCTCCTTGCTCTCCCCTTCTCTCTTCCCTCCTCTCTCCCTGTTTCCCCATCCCCTCTACCCCCCTTTCACTCTCCCCTTTTCTCTTTGCCCCTTCTTGCTCCCCTCCACACTCTCTCTCTTCCACCTTCTCTGTTTCTTTCTCTTTCTTGCTCTCCCTCATTTCTTGCCCCCTTTCCCCCTCTCTCTATCCCCATACTCTATCTTCCTCACTCTCTCTCCCCTTCTTTCTCTATCTCCCTCCTCTTGTCTTCCCCCTCCCTGGTCCCCCCAAACCCCTCTCTTCTCTCTCTCCCCTTCTTTCTCTCCCTCTCATTGTCTCTCCCCCCCTCTCTCTCTCTCTCTCTCCCCTTCTCTTCCCCACTTCCCCCTCACTCACCCCTTCCTCCTCTCTCTCTCTCTCTCTCTCTCATACACTTCACCAAAGTTATTGCCCATCGCATTCACATTCCAGATAAGAAACAATGAGATTATCACAAAAAAGGAAACAGATCAATAAAGTGTAGGGTAGGATTCGAGCTTAATTACCTGGGCTGCAATTTCTATTTAAGAAAGATTTAGAGATAAAAAGGTCAGCTCGCTTAGAGTTAGGAATTAATTTAGACTCAGTTTCAGAGCACTTTTAGATAAAGCAACTCTGAATCTCGCACTCCTCTCTGACTCTCTCACAATAAGAAATGGCTTTCCTTCTGCTCATCCTCTGTCTTGTTGGTAAGTTTGCTGTTTTCTGGATGCTTTTAAATTGCTCGTCTCTAGCTTTGAGGTTTGCAAATGAACTTTATTTAATTTTCGCTTAATTTTTATTTTCATTTCGCTCACCAAATATAGTCAATTCACTTTACAGTATATTCTGTGAAACGCATTGATGCGTCTCGAAGAAGTGATAAGGCTCTATATCAAATGCAAGGATTATTGTTATTCTTTGCAAGGATTATTATGCCTATATTTTGTAATTATATATTATAATATTTATATTTTATATTATAATACAGGAATAATAATCCTTGCAAGGAATAATAATGATCCTTGCATTTATATTTTATAATATAATATACATTATTCTTCCTTCTTGCTCTCTCTCTCTCTCTGATTGATGTTATCATCAGGATAACAAAGTATTTTGGGGAGGAATTAACAGTCAACAGTTAAAACCTTTTTAAAAAAATTAAGCCGGGGATAAAGCAGAAATAAATTGGGAACAGAGCCGAAAGTGTTTAAAAAAGTAAGGCACTTGATGTTTTCAGAATTGCTGTATTTGTACATTTGATAACTTAAAAAATTATAGTAATTATTTGGCTAATTGCATTCTTTGAATGAAGTTAGCCTTTGGGGTCTTAAAAGCTCTCAGGGGAACTTAATACTCCCCATCTGTCTAGAGAACCATTAGGGCCATTGGCTTGAAGCTGGTTCAAATAACAATTAATAATAATTAATACTACTACTAATAATGAATAATAATCCTTGTACTTGATATAGCAACTTATTTGATATAGAAGTCTCAAAGCACTTCACAGAATATATTGTAAATTAACTGAATTGACTGTATACGTTGTGGGTGAAATGCAGCAACCAATTGCACACAACAGTGTCCCACAAATAGTCGAGGTTGAGTGACCAAATTATTATTTCATTGTATTTTGGAGGGATTATTACCCCCAGTAAAGCAATCTGCCAATTGAGATAAAGTGAATTGACTGTGCATTCTGTGGGCGAAACAAAACAAAACAAAACAGATCTCCTTCTCAAGGATTATTATTATTATTATTATTGAATTGAAGCATTTTCCACAATATTGATTTGCGGTTTCAAAAGGTATAAATTAAATTTCAATAATAAAATTTGCCTTTAAATAACGCCTTTCAGATAGGGTAGTGCTTCTTAGCGCTTAATATTTCAGCCCTCTGTATCCTGAGGGCCTCTCTTATCTATGAGAGATAAGACTTTGTTATCACTTGTTTGGAGAGAGGACCACTTAGAAACATTTCCTGTGTTCAATCCTCTCTTTGACAGTCCAAATTTTGGACTGTGGCAGTGAAGTAGTGAAGTCCTGTCGCTTAGTGGTTAGTGGCCTCACAAGCGAGAGGACCTCGGGTTCGATTCCCACGCAGGACGAAATCTTAGGCAAGTTTCCTTGCTCCACGCGCAACTGTTTACTTTGCAGTAAGTAGGAATCCGGTTGTTAGTCGATTGACGGATCACTTTCCAGTGGTAAATAATCCCTTTTAATAAAAAACACTAATAATTTGGCCACTTCAATCCACGACTGTTTGTGGGGACGCTGTTGTGCGTTTCACCAACAAAATATACAGTCAATTTATTTTTTGAGGCGTCTCAACAACGTGATAAGGCGGTATATCAAATGCGAGGATTATTATTATTATTATTATTATTATTATTATTTCTCCTCTCGCCTCTGTTCTCTTGTCCTGATTCATTACCAGGATACCGACCCCTCAATGGATTAATAATAATAATAATTGTTGCATTTGATAAAGGGCCTTATCATGTCATTAAGACATCTCAAAGCGCTTCACAGAATATACTGTAAGGTGAAGTGACTGTGTATTTGCAAGGCAGAGGAACACAAGCTGGGGAGTCCCAATAACTTTGTCTCGTCCATCGAAAACTCTATCCTACCCATACCCCCCATGAGATCAATCTATTAAAGGCAAATGGAAAATCTGTACAAGGAGCCAAGTGTGGTTAGAGAGAGCTTTCTAAAGCGTTGTCTTCTCTCTTGAGGTCAATGCTTCAGCAATTGGTCATTAACAAACCCTTGCGGTGTGGAATAAGTGGCAGTGATTGATTTTTACAATCAGCTTGGCCTTAAATTAGGAGCTAAAAGAAAGATTATGACACATATCGCTGCCAAATGTGGAGGAATGGAGGGATTGAGCAAGGAGTCAGACGTGTTCAACAGCTGTCTCCATATGTCGCGATTACTAATAATAATTAGTAATTATAATGATAATAATTACTAAGTATAATTCTTTCTTCAGATGAGACGTTTTACTCATAAATACACAGTCAATTCACTTTACAGTACACCCTGTGAAGCGCTTTGAGACGTCTCAAAGACGTGATAAGGCTCTGTATCAAATGCCAGGATTATTATTGTTATTATTGAGAGAGTCTGTGTGTTTGTTTAGGCTTTGCTCAGACATTTCCCTCTGACATCTCACCGAGGCAACGACTGACGGAGAAATTGCTGAAGAGATACAATAAGGGGGTCCGACCGGTCAAAGAATGGAGCACATCCACTACTATTTACATCGATTTTGTGCTGCACGCTGTGCTGGAAGTGGTAAACAACAACGACAATAGCGCCTTTCACATCAGGAGGACAACCCAAGGCTTTGGACAGTCAACGATTTGCACCCGAGCTGGGGTTGGGATCAGGAGGGCTGCAGGGAGGGTGGGACTAGGAGGCTGACCAAAGGCGTAGTCGAAGAGGAGGGTCTTGAGGCGGACCTTGAAGGAGGCAAGGGAGGGGGGCGAGACGGAGGGACCCAAAGACTAGGGGCAGAAAGGCTGAAGGCCCAACCGACGATGGTAGTGAGGGAAAGGGCCAGCCGGGGGAATTGGAGTAATGATGGTTTAAATGACTACTGGCATGAAAAAAAGCATCACACCCCAAATCTAATGGGAACGCTGTGATTTATTTCAGGATGGGCAAAACCAGAAACTGAGGACCAGCGTCTGGTACCGACAGGTATGGGGGAAAAAAACCTTTTCCTGGTATCTGCTTAAAAATAATTTCCGTTTCACGAAATACACAGTCAATCCACTTTACAGTATATCATGGAGTCCTGTAGAGTGTGGAGTGCTTGGAGCACTCGTCTTGCAAGCGAAAGGACCTGGGTTCGATTCCCGGGCAGGACCTTAGGCAAGTTTCCTTACTCCACACACCTCTGTTTACCCAGCAGTAAGGAACCTGGTTGTTAGTAGATTGGCGGATCGCTCTTCCGGGGATAATAATCCCTTAAAATAAATAATAATAATTTGGTCGTTCAATCCACGACTGTTTGTGGGACACCACTGAGTGCAATTGGCTGCTGCATTTCGCCCACAAAACACACATCCAATCCACTTTACAGTGTATTCTGTGAAGCGCTATGATACGTCTGAATGTCGGATAAGGCGCTGTATCGAATGCAAAGGTTATTCTTCTTATTATCATTATAACTGACAGATCTCAGGAGTGAAATTCACTTGCGGCAGATTCTCACTTGATGTCTCTTCATCTGCTCGTTTGTGTAGGTTTGGACAGATGAGTTCCTGCGTTGGAATCCCAAGAACTTTGACGGCATCAGTGAAATCTCGCTGCCCGCTCAGGCCCTCTGGGTTCCTGACATCATCATCACTGAATTGTAAGCCTAATTAATTAAGGGGTTAATTAACAATCAAAGGTCACCCCCATCCTTGCCCGGCTTCTCCTACTCCCTATTCACCCCGTTACCCCCACCCCGAGCATCGATTTTAAGTTCCTTGTCCTCACTTTTAAAGCCTTCCCTCCACAGCCTCTGCAACCTTCTAAACCTTTACCAACCTGTTTGCTCCCTCCACACCCCCTGTGTTCACCTAGCAGTAACAGAAACCAGATTGTTAGTCGTTTGGCAGATTGCTTTCCGGGAGTAATGATCCCTTCAACTAAATAAATAAATTAATAATTTGTTCACTCAATCCACGATTTTTTGTAGGGACACTGCAGTGTGCAACTGGTGGCTGCGTTTTCGCCCATAAAATATACAGTGAATCCACTTTACAATATAATCTGTGAAGCGCTTTGAGCCGTCTCAACGACATGATAAGGCGCGAATCATGTGCGAGGATTATTATTATTATTATTATTCAATCACTTCTGATTTGAAGGTCCTCTGATTCATCCTGTTGTTGTTGTTGTTGGAGCGGAGGAGGTAATTTCTCGTCTTGTCTCCCCGGCCAGCATTGACGTGGGGAAGTCTCCGCACCTGCCGTACGTTTACCTGAACGCCTCTGGCGCCGTGAATCAACACAAGCCCATGCAGGTGGTCTCTGCCTGCAGCCTGGAGATTTACGCTTTCCCCTTCGACACCCAGAACTGCACCTTCACCTTCTGCAGCTGGCTCCACACAGGTGAGGCCAGTGTCACAGGTAAACCTTGTAGCTCAGTGGTTGGAGCACTCACCTCGCAAGAGAGGACCTGGGTTCAATTCCCGGTCGGGGCGAAATGTTGGGCAAGTTTCCTTACTCCACACGCCTCTGTTTACCCAGCCGTCAGTCGGAACCCATTATTAGTCGATTGGCGGATCACTTTTCCTGGGGTAATGATTCCTTCAAAAAAAATAATAATAGTAAATCGGTCACTCAGTCCACGAATGTTTGTGGGACACTGCTGTACGCATTTCACCCACAAAATATATCCACTTTACAGTATAGTCTGTGAGGCGCTTTGAGACGTCTCGAAGACGTGATAAGGCGCTATATCAAATGCAAGGATTATTATTATTAAAGCAGCTCCCCCTCTCTTCTCTCCCCTCTCGCCTGCACCTACAGATAGGATCCCCACTCCCTTGCACCACAGTGACCTTCTCCTGCTCCACTCTTCTGCACACCATACCAACCTGTCCGCTACCTCTGCTTGACGGGCACTGGCCTGCTTCATGCCCCTGCCTTGCTTATCCCACCTTCAGCCTTCCTGCCCTCACTCTCTGGAACTCCATTTTGGAATGTCTCCTTCAAGGCCCATTTCAAGACTAGTAATAATAATACGTCTTCAAGACATCTTAAAGTGCTTCACAGAATATACTGTATATTTTGTGGGCAAAATCCTCTGACCGCGCTTTCGTCCAACTCCCAGCCCCACCCACCTTTACCCTCCACAACTTCTTGATCACAATCCCCAGCGCTAGTGCAGACCCTTGACTGCCCAGTGCCTTGGGACGTCCTCCGAGATGACTTCAAGGGACAGTGTTCTCAGCTAAACTGAAATAGCCTGTCCACCTCAACATACAGATAGGCCCTGGGTTTGACCGGCAGGATGGCACCACTTAAGCATTTTAATGCCCCCACACTCTCCCCCAGCCCCCACATCACCAAGTCTCTCACAAGCCAGAGATAAGAACCAGTCTGTAGGTTTATCTTTGTTCTTCGGATCTGGTTTCATTGGGAAGAGGTGGTTTCAGAGTAACAACGAGAAACTAATGGGTGTGTCTGTCTGTCTGTCTGTGTCCCGTTGGCAGAATACAAAATGGAAAAAAACGATCACAAAATAAGATATTTAACCGAATAATTTTTAATGGGAAGGTCTGAATGGCTAGTAAATCATATTAAGGAGATGAGGAGAGATGGAAACGAAAAACTACATTATCCCAGGTCAGATCTCCACCACTTTCCCACCACATGTCTCCCTGGTCTTGATGTGGTCTTATCTCTTGGCTTCTGAAAGGTTGAGGTAATAGCTCTTTGTAGCTGTATCCGCCCTTTCACAAGCGGAGATCGTGTTACCTCTCTTAAACTTGACTTTCTTGCCTTAATAACAGCAACAAACGGACATATACACAGAGCCCTTCATGTCGGGAGGACGTCCCAAAACAGTGGACAGTCAGGGAGTTGGACCTGACCTGGGAGTTGGGATCAAAAAATTTTACTAAGCTCTCCCTGTGTGAAAGTCACTATATAAATACAGGTTGTTGTTATCAATAATAATGATAATAATAATCCTTCCATTTGATATAGCATTCTATCAGATCATCGAGACGTCTCAAGGCGCTACACAGAATATACAGTATTGAAAACCAATACTTGTGTATTTTGTGGGCGAAACGCGGCAGCCAATTAATTGCTCACAGCAGTTGTGGGTTGAGCTCATTTTTTTCTTTGCAGTAAATGACGTCAATCTCACTCTGTGGAGAAGCTTTGCGGAAATTGAGAAAGATACAAGAGTGTTCCTGGATGATGGAGAGTGGGAGCTCCTCTCTGTCCCTTCCAAGTATGCACAGATGCACCTTGAGGGCAGAGATTACGCTCAGATCCAGTTTAACGTGAGTGGACTGAAACCATGGGATCAAAGAATCTTACAACAGCAAGATAACACTTGTACAGCGCCCTTCACGTCAGAAAAGCTTCCCAGGGCGCTGGACAATCAGGGTTTTTTGGATCTGAGCTGGGAGTTGGGGTCAGGAGGGGTGGAGGGCAGGGAGGGTGGGGATGGGAGAGTGACTGGAGGCGCGGTCGAAGTGGAAGGTCTTGAGACGTGTCTTGAAGGAGGCAAGGAAGGGACCGAGGCGAAGGGGCTGTGGGATGGAGATCCAAAGGGTGTGTGGTGGTGGGGGGGTGGGGGCGCAGTGAGGTTGAGGTTAAGAGTTCATAAAGGATTCAAACCGAGGAACGTTTATGCTGCAGGTGGTGATAAGGCGGAGGCCGTTGCTGTACGTGGTGAGCTTGATGCTGCCCAGCATATTCCTGATGATAGTGGACGTGATCAGCTATTACCTGCCTCCGAACAGCAGCGGCAGAATTACCTTCAAATCCAGCATCCTCCTGGGATACACCGTCTTCCGCATGAACATATCTAACGACCTTCCGGCCACCGCCATTCAAACTCCCCTGATAGGTAACGAGGCCAGTTTGTGGTATCACAGCTCTCTATGGTTTTGCAGCAGGATTCTCTTTCCACCAACTCCTGCCGTCAGCGCCAGATGGAGTCCCCGTAGCATAATGGTTAGCCCACTCGCCCCACAAGCAAGTGAGGGAGGACCCGGGTTTGAATCCCCCCAGTCGGGGCGAAACCTTTCGTTTCCTAGCAATGTTGGGAGGAAAAAAAATCGTAGTTTCCGTCATTCGTAATTTATATTTTTAACAGATTCCGTTATCAGCCCGTTCCCTGTTAATTACGGCTGCAACCATTTTACGTTCATTAAACCTTAGGCAAGTCTCCTTACTCCACACGCACTCTGTTTACCCATCAGTAAGCAGGAACCTGGTTGTTAGTCGGTTAGCGGAACGCTTTCTGGGGGTAATAATCCCTCACAAAAAAAACCCAGAAAAAGTCAGTCACTCAATCCACAGCTGTTTGTGGGACATTGCTGTGCGCAATTGGCTGCCGCATTTCGTCCGCAAAAATACACGATCAATCCACTTTACAGTATATTCTGTGTATTCTGTATATTCCCCAAAACAGTCTTGGAGTGAGCAAACCAATTTTATTTGGGAGGTTGTTGGCCAGGACACCGAGACAGAGAAACTCCTTTCTCTTTTCAAATAGTGCCTCAGGATCTTTAACTTCAATCTGAACAGGCAGACAGGACTGCAGCTCAGCATCTCAATCAAAGGTTGGCACTTCCGATAATGCAACACTCACCCCATAGTGCTGCATTGGAGCATCTTAGACGATGTGATTCCAAGTCCCGACATGGGGGCTTGAACCCACAACCTTCTGTCTCAGAGGTTAAGCCAGTCTGACACACATGTTTTTTGCACTGTTGTGCAGGAGTGTTCTTCACAGTCTGTATGGCCCTACTCGTCATCAGCCTAGCCCAGTCTATCCTAGTGGTAAAACTTCTGGACATGGAAGAGGGGACAGAGATCAGCTCCTGCCTCTCCAGGCGCTGCCCAACGAGGGACAATTCTTCCAGCCCATCTACCGCGGACAGTCTGTGCCCCTCACTCAAGACCCCCGAAACAATCAGCGACGATGGAGGTGAGGTTGTTACAACAACAACAAGAAATGACATTCACCTGAGCTGGGGGTTGGGATCAGAAAGGCTGCAGGGTAGGGAGGGTAGGGGTGGGAGGGTGACCGAAGACGCGGTCGAAGATGAGGGTCCTGAGACGGGCTTTGAAGGAGGCCAGGGAAGGGGCGAGGCGATGAGACTGTGGGACGGAGTTTCAGAGGGTGGGGTTAGAAAGGCTGAAGGCCTGACCTCATCTCTGTTGCAATCACTGAGGCCTATTATGCGCAAAGGGCAAATCATACGTACATTGGGGATAGATTGTGCTTTAAGAAATTCTTGGCGCTATATCAATTGCAAGGGTTATTATTGTATCGTGGAGTCCTGTAGCGTAGTAGTTGGAGTGCTTGCCTCACAAGCGAGAGAGGACCCGGGTTCAATTCCCGGGCAGGTTGAAATCTTGGGCAAGTTTCCTTATTCCAAATGCCTCTGTTTGCCTAACAGTAAGTAGGAACTTGGTTTTTAGTCGATTGATGGATCACTTTCCAGGGATAATAATCCCTCCAAAAAAATGTTTTTTAATAATAATTGGGTCACTCAGTTCAGAACTGTTTGTGGGACACCTTTGTGTGCAATTGGCTGCTGTGTTTCGTCCAAAAATATAGAGTCAATCCACTTCGACAGTCTATTCTGTGAAGCCCTTTGAGACATCTCAACGACGTGATAAAGCGCTGTATCAAATTATTATATATTCTTATTGCACATGATAATTATGCCATCCTACGCTACACTCCTTTCACCCCCACCTCCGTAATATTTCTCATTCAGTAAACGTATAAAACCGAACAACACTGCCGCTCTCAACTTTCTGTCCTCTCTCCTCTCTCTCGGATTTCCTATCTGTGAAGATTCTGAGGGGAATTTCGGAGCGATTGGTGAGCAAGATGGGAGAGCGTTAGACCACGAGACTCGATTGCCCACCAAAGGACCTGCCCAGGAGGTCCTGGAGGAGATAACATCCCTCAGACGGCATCTGGAACAGCTGGATGGTGGGACTGACCCTGCAAGCGAGTGGCTGGCTTTGTGCTACACACTTGACAGGCTCCTCTTCCGCCTGTACCTGCTCATTCTCAGCGTTTACACCGTGACAATGAGTTCCCTCTGGCTGATATGGAGCTCACCGTAGCTGAGGCACAATGGCCCTGAGTCCTCAGATGCAGTAGTTGTAGAAATCTGGGACTTACAAGAAGATCCTTCTCTCCCATTGTATCATTGTCCATGTGTTCAGCCTCTCTGCCCCCAACCTCTGGACCTCCATCCCACAATCCCTCTGCCTCGCTCCCTCCCTCATCTCCTTCAAGACCTGTCTCGAGACCCCCTTCTTCGACCGTGCTTTCAGTCATCCTCCTACCCCTCCCTTCCCAACCTCCACCCCTCTGACCCCCAACCACCAGTTAGGAGCGTGGATCCCCGACTGTCCAGCGCCTTGGGACGTCCTCCTGATGTGAAAGGCGCTGTGTGAATATCATTTGTTGTTGTTGTTTCTCTTTCATTGAAGTTGTCTTTCCCAATCCCCTGCTTCTCCCCTGTTCCCTCCAATTCCGTTCCTGCGCATGAGTTTATCCAATTTCCCTCCGAATGTCTCTACTGCTCCAATAGCAACCCCCTGGCAAATCATTCAGAAAGAGCGAGCGAGAGAGAGAGAGAGACAAAGAGGGGGAGAGAGAGAGGGAGAGAGAGAGACAGAGAGGAAGGGAGAGAGTGTGTGGGGGGGTTGGGAAGAGAGACGATGGGGCAGAGAGAGGTGTAAGGGGAGAGAGACGGACATTGAGGGAAAGAAAGAGACAGAGTGTGGAAGTCAGAGAGAGTGAGGGAGAGACACACACTCACAGAGGGGAGAGACACAGAGAGGGATGGAGTGACAGAGCGAGAGGTCAGGGAGAGAGGGAGGGAGAGATGAGGAGAGGGGGGTGGGGGATTGTGTGGGGGAGAAAGAGAGAGAGAGAAATGGGGAAGAAAGGTAAATATTCCAATCACTACAATATATCATTCGCGCTATTAGCAGCATCACTGATGGAATACCGAGTGAATTAGCAACTAGAATTAGCAACTGAATCTGTATAACTGCTTTGTCTTGTGTTGGGAGATAAGACTGTACACAGTGTTGCACTTGAATTCAATTAACACAATAAAACAAATAAAGGCAGGCTACCTCTCTGTGATCTCTCCAGCTTCACTTGATTTCTGCGGAAGAGTTAATGATTATTAAGATAATAATCCCTTTAAAAATAATAACAACAATAATTTGGTCACTCACTCAATCCACGACTGTCTGTGGGATGCTGCTGTATGCAATTGGCTGCCGCGCTTGGCCCACAAAATGCACAGTCACTACACTTTACAGTATATTCTGCGAAGTCCTTCAAGACGTCTCGAAGACGTGATACGAGTTACTTACAAATCTTTGCGTTGAAAAAGGTTGAGGAAGAAATGACAACAAGTCCCTGACTTATTCACAAACCACAGAAAGTTTCCTTACTCCAAACCCAGGCCTCTGTTTACCCCGCAGTACGTAGGAACCCGGTTGTTAGTCTATTGCTAGATTCCTTTCCGGGGATAATAATCCCTTCAAAAAATAATTAGTCACTCCATCCACGACTGTTTGTGGGGACACTGCTGTGAGCAATTGGCTGCCGCATTTCGCCCACAAAATACACAGTCAAATTAATGGTTTGATACCACTTGTTGGTAGGTCCAAAACGACACAACACAAATCTAAGGTAGTCGGTAACAGATCTAATAGGAAGCTTAGGAAGGAGGAACTTCTTCATTCAGAGGGTGATGAGAATGTGGAACTCACTGAAACCTGGATCCCATCAACAACCCCCCCACCCACCCCCCACCCACACACACACACCCGCGCGCGCATGACAGGGGCTGAAGGGGTAAGGGATGCAAGTAGTTCAGCAAGTGTACTTGTTCTCCGGGATGCTTCCCCACGTGAGAAGAGCTATATAAATGCAAGTTGTTGTTGTGGCTAAGCTACAACAAGTGAGCAAAGGCCCTCTTCCCCCCCCCCCCACACTCCCCCCACCTCGGGGGAACAGAACAGTGATGTGATGTGATTTCTGAGTAATGTAACAAAGGCTAATCAAATCACAGCCCAAATAGATTGAAACTAATGAACAAGTCACTGGGAACTTCCTCTGCCGGCTCCAATCTCCCTCTTGAAGTAAATTGAGACGTTTCATAATTGCACTCGGCCAACGTAATTGATTTCACAGAAAACTTACTTAAGAGATGATCAGCGACAGGTAACAGGAAGTGTCGTTCAGACAGGATTGACCACCTGCCTCCCCCCCTCCACCAACCCACACCCCCCACCCCAACCCCCACCCCAACAACCTCCGGCCCAGACACCGATTGTGTCTTTCACCAGACGGCGGAAAGTTTTAGCAGGTTTTAATTCTATTTGCAAAGTGCATTCAAATGGAACATATTTTTCCCTTTGTTCCCTTAATCCAAACACGAGCCTCTGTTTACCCAGCAGTGAGCAGGAGCCTGTTTATTAATCGATTGCCGGATCACTTTCCAGGGGGAGTAATAATAAAAAATCTTAATAAGAATAACGGTCACTCAATCCACATTGAGGGGACACTGCTGTGCGCAATTGGCTGCCATGTTTCGCCCCCGAAATACACAGTCACTGCACTTTACAATATAATCGGTGAAGCGCTTTGAAAGGATCTCGATGACCTGATAAGGCGCTGTATCAAATGCGAGGCTTGTTGTTGTTGTTATGTTATACTCATCTATATCTCATGGATTCATTTCCCCTCTACACCACCGCCCCTCTCCCCCCCCCCCCCCCCATGTGAAACTTGACCCTAATATGTCTTGGGCTTCATTACATTACTGAGTTAAGTCAACTTTGGTTGGCATTACAGTGCTGTCCATTAGCAGCGTTAGTGAGGGGCTGGGGAATTCGATTAGGCTCCTAATCCTCTCTCCCTTCCCCCCCACCCTCCGCCAACTTTCCTCTCCGCCACATGATGAAGAGCAGATGCAAAGCTCACTTCCCCCCCCTCCCCACCACCGCCACCGCCGCCGCTGCCTGGTTCAATTCGCTGACACTGAAGAAATTACAGACTTTTTGAAGAAAAGTGGAGCCCTGTAGCTCTGTGATTAGAGCACTAACCGCTCCAGCGAGAGGACCCGGGTTCGATTCCCGGTCGGGGCGAAATGTTGGGCAAGTTTCCTTACTCCACACGCCTCTGTTTACCCAACAGTAAGTAGGAACCCGGTTGTCAAGTCAATGGGGGTAATAATCCCTTCAAAAAGAAATGTGGTCACTCAATCCATGACTGTTTGTGGGACATTGCTGTGCGCAATTGGCTGCCGCGTTTCGTACTCAAAATATACAGTCAATTCACTTTACAGTTTATTCTGTGAAGCGCTTTGAGACGTCCTGAAGACGTGGTAAAGCGCTGTAACAAATGCAAGGATTATTATTTCTCCATTTTTGCAGATTAACGCGAAAGCTATACAAACGATCGATTGACACGTAGAGAGTGTTTTTTTAAAATGACGGAAAAACAAAAGTTAACCCACCAATTAATTAATTAACCAATTAATGTGCATTGTTCCTTTGCATTCTGTTTTCTGTTGCCAGTGTGGGGGGTGGGGGGGGAAGTGGTGCGTATGTATGTGTGTGTGTGTGTGTGTGGTGGGGGGGGGTGCGGGGGTTGTTGTGCTGTGAAAAGGGATATTTTTATTTCTGTTGTGATCCAAGAGTGATTATTTTTGCTCTCGCTTGCCCGCCTCGCTCCCCACACAGACACACACACCACCCCCCTCCCTCCGCTCCTCCCCACCCCCGCTCGCTTGTGTTTCGCGGTATTACGGGAAGTCAGGGCAGTGGGAGACAGAGGGACGATATCGGACAGTGACAGCAGCCTTCAGGAAGTCATCGTTTGAAACACGATGCTATCGACGTGGGATTAAATGACTGATTAATCATCGTAAACTGCCAGAGGCGGGGGCAGGACCCAAGTCGCCCGCAGCTTTGGGTTCAAATCACTTTTAATCGAGAGAAACGATCAGAAAGCTTCCATCGCCCAACCCAACAGCACAATCGTCTGTTTACAGCATCTCGGAAATTGACTGAGAGTCTCTCTCTGTCTCTTTCTCTCTATCTCTCTGTCTCTCCAGAACATCTGGTCGACGGGCGGACGGACCGAGGATAAAATGTCTTTATTCTCCCTTTGGGCCACCCTGGGTTTAGCTCTCACTGCGGTGCTTTCTGAAGGTTAGTCACACTCTTATTCGATATGGTGTTAGTGTCAGTGACGGCTGATGTGCACAGGGCTCTCTATTGATCCAATGATAACCTCCCCACACCCTCAACCCCATTTGATCCAGCGCCTATTAACATTGCAATGTCTCAAAGCGCTTCACGGGCGATTGCGGTCAAGGGGGGTGACTGCCTGGTTTGCGGTCAGACCAAGATTGGCGAGACAGCAAATGTCCTGAAACAGTCTTGAAATGAGCGATCAGTTTATCCCGGGGGAAGGTTGCAAGAGCTTTGGGATTCCACTGCGAGTCGGGATCCACCGGCTGTTTCTCTCCGAACACCACTGGAAATATTCCAGGTTACTGGAGGGCCGTGGGGAGAGGAAATTGTTAGGTACTTGGAATGGTTTAAACTCCGAGACACTGTCCTGAATGATCTGGAACGAGTTGCCTGAAAGCTGGTGGAAGCCAATTCGATAACAACTTTTAAGAGAGAAGTAGATCATTATTTGAGGGAGGACAAGTTTGCAGAGCTATGGGGGGAGATCGGGGGTGTGGGGTTGATCAGGGCTAAGGGGGGAGAACGGGGGAGTGGGGTTGATCAGGACTATGGGGGGAGAGCGGGGGAGTGGGGTTGATCAGGGCTATGGGGGGAGAGCGGGGGATTGGAGTTGATTTGGAAGCTCTTTTCGAAGAGCCAACACAGACACCACGGACCGAATGGCCTCCTTCTGTGCTGTATAATTCCATGACTCTATGAAGAGAGCAAAATCCAATAAATGTAAGTTGTCCTTACTCTTTCCTGAAACGCGAGTCTATTGTGGCACCTTTTTGCACATGTTTTACACACGCTTTGCCCACACTTTGCCCACGCTCTGCCCACGCTCTGCCCACGCTTTGCCCACGCTTTGTTACTACGCAAGACTGACTGACTTGAAATGTTTTCACACATGTGGATAATCTATACATTGTCTTTGAGCACATTAATTAGCACATTAATTGTCTCCGTTGGCTTCCCCCCCACTCCCTCCCAGGTAAGAAAGGAGACAAGAGGTCCCCTAACACCCGGCCGGCTTTGCTTCGTCTCCACGAGTACCTCATGGCCAATTACTCCAAGGGAGCTCGCCCCGTGCTGGACTGGAGGAAAACCACAACCGTCGCCATCGACGTGATGGTTTACGCCATCCTAAACGTGGTACGTGCCTCCCCGCTGTACGGTCAACGACTGGCACTCATAGCAACAACAACAACAACAACAACAACAATAACAACAGCAACAGCAATAACAACAACAACAATACTAACAATTGCAACAACAGTAACACCACCAACAACAATAACAGCAATGATAAAAACAACAATAATAATAACAAATTGCAATCACAACAACAACAATTACAACAAAAGCAACAATAACTTGCACTTGCAGCAACAACAATAATTTGAGGGTTTGAGGGGTGGTGGGGGGGTGGGGGTGCGGGGCATTAGCTGAGAGCTCACCTGCTGTTAGTGACCCACTTACTGATTCTGAAATAGGATTTGGATTGTGATTCTGGTTTTCTATTCCAGTTTTGATTTCCATTCTGATTTCCCATTGATTTCCGTTCTGATTTTGAATGGAATTCTCCCTCTTTCGACCAGCAAGCGTGGAAAACACTCGGACTAACGGTTGCGAACGGTTTTGTCCATTTCAGGATGAAAAGAACCAGGTGTTGACCACCTACATCTGGTACCGGCAGGTGAGAACATGCACAGCACTTAACCAGAGAGAGAATAGACACCTCCAGCACAAGAGGAGATCAGGGTTTCCAGACAATGCTCTCAATTCTCCAGAGAGAGAGAGAGAGAGAGAGAGAGAGCTCATTCCATTCCGACAGTCTATCTCTGGGATTTCCGTGTGTAGGTGGGAGGCGGGGAATCCTCAGCTCGGTTTGGAGACTCTTAAGCAACGGTGATGGGTCAGACACCCCACCGGCTGACCAGAAAAATTCAGCACCTTGCCTCCTAAAAACATACAGCCAAGACCGTGCTGTGATCATCACCTCTTGAGCTCTTATTCCTCACGCGTGGTGTCTATCGGCACGTTTCTCACGAGGACGATACAGTCGCGGTGTGAATAAATAATAATAATCCTTGCACTTGATACAGCGCCTTATCGCGTCTTCGAGCGCTTCTCAAAGCGCTTCACAGGATACACGACACTACAGCGAATTGACTGTATAATTTGTGGGCGAAACGCGGCAGTCAATTGCGCACAGCAGCGTCCCACAAACAGTCGTGGATTGAGCGACCATATTATTATTATTATTATTATTATTATTATTATTATTATTATTATTATTATTACAGTCGCTGACTTACATTTTTTGCCCTGCAGTTTTGGAAGGATGAGTTCCTGGTCTGGGATCCTGCTGATTTTGACGAGCTGAGGCAGATTTCGGTTCCGACTGAAAAGATCTGGGTGCCAGATATCATGATCAACGAATTGTGAGTCAGTTTTATCATTAACAGCCATGGGAAACAGCCAGCCAGCGACAGCTCTTCCTGAGACGTATGCGGACGTTAAATATCCTGCAGCGACACCTCTCACTCTCTTTTTCTCTGTGCGAAGGCTCGGTCAAAGAGGAAGGACTTGAAGGAGGCGAGAGAGGGGGGTGAGGCAGAGGGATTGCGAGATAGAGTTCCAGCGTTTGGGGGCAGAGATACTGAATGCCCGACCGCCAGTGTGGGGCGGGAAATGCAGGGGACCTGAAACAGGCCGGTGTCCACCGAGTGGAGGGAGCGGACAGGCTGATACGGGGTTAGGGGGCTACGGCTATTTGTGGGACTGCCAGGATGCTGGGAGGCAAACTGAATGGACCTTGTTCTTATGTTCCTCTCAGTGTGGAGCTGGGCAAGTCACCGGACATCCCATATGTTTACGTGAGCCACGACGGCAGAGTGCAGAACTACAAACCCATCCAGGTGGTCGCGGCTTGCAGCCTGGACATCTATAACTTCCCCTTTGACATCCAGAACTGCACCTTGACCTTCACCAGTTGGCTCCACCACAGTACGTTCAAGCCCGTATCTCTAACACTCCACCAGAGGGCGCTGGCAGGGTGGGCGGGGTCACGGGGAGGGGGAAACGGGATTCATCCACTCAGCCCCGAATCCAAATCAGTCCTGTAGTCTTGCAGTCCTATTGCGTACTGGTTAGAGCGCTCGCCTCGTAAGCGAGAGGACCTGGGTACGATTCCCGGGCAGGACAAGCCTTAGCCAAGTTTCCTCACTCCACGCCTCTGTTTACACAGCAGATAATAGTAATAATCCCTTCAAAAAATGCGGTCACTCAATCCACGGCTGTTTGCGGGACGCTGCTGTGCGCAATTGGCTTTGCCCGCATAACGTACAGTCAATTCCCTTTACAGTGAAGCGTTTTGAGACGTCTCAACCACCTGATAAGGCCCTGAATCAAAAGCTGTTTTATCAATTAAATTGCTACCTGCGTGAATTCAGGGAGCTGCGTAAATGCAAGTTGTGCATTCGACGTAATGCTACGAATGGCCCACTTGGGTTAGGACAAACATTGGCATTTCCCAATGGGTTGGTTGTGTTGAATCTCAGTCGAGAGGGGGAGTGTTGTTGCTGTTGTTTAATTGGATTGCAAGCCGTTTAAAGCTTTTCTTGGGTGGGGTGGGGGGGCGGGGGTTTCTCCAGTTCAGGACATCAACATCTCCCTGTGGCGCTCCCCTGAGCTAGTGATGTACGACAGGAGTGTGTTCATGAACCAGGGGGAGTGGGAGCTCCTGTACGTGGGGTCCAAGTACAGCATTTTCAACCTGGGAAACAAGGAGTCAGACGGATATTCGGAGATGCGTTTCTTTGTAAGTTTCCTCTGTTTGTCCCCTGTTCCCCTCAGCCACTGCTCTCCAAACTTCTGTCACTCCCTGCCTCAAACCCCTCCATCGCGCCCCCACCCCCCCACCCCACCAACCCCCACCCCCCCCCCCCCGTTCGTTCGATGTCATGATCATCAACCCTCCTCACCGGGCGATGTCAATCATCGCCAATGATAATCAACACATCTCTGTAAAGTGACCTGCCCGACAATCCCCTCTTCCCCGACAAAATCAATCGCTGCGCGTGTTCGCCTACAAAATGCACAGTCACCACACTTGGCAATAATTCAGGTAATGAGCTTTGAGGGGTTTTGATATTATTGATGTGGAATCACATGAAGGGATTATTATTATTGTTTATGTTCCTCCCTTCCTCTCTCCCTCCCCACTCTCTCTTTCTCCCACTTCCTCTCCCTCCCTCATTCTCCCCTTGTTTCTCCACTCTCACCCATCTCTCTCTCTTCCTCTCCCCTCTCGCCGCCCCCCACTCTCCCCGCCCTCTCTCCACCCACCCCCTCTTCCCTCTCCCCCCTTTCTCTCCCCACTGCTCTCTCTCTCCCAGTTGGTTATCAGAAGGAGGCCTCTCTTCTATGCTGTAAACCTGCTCCTGCCCAGTATCTTCCTGATGGTGATGGATATCATTGGGTTCTACCTGCCCCCGGACAGTGGCGAGAGAGTCTCCTTCAAAATCACCCTACTTCTGGGCTACTCTGTGTTCCTCATCATTGTGTCAGACACCCTGCCCGCCACAGCAATAGGCACCCCATTGATAGGTAACGCAAACCTCCCATTCTCCCCCTCTCTCTCCCGCCCTTCTCTCTCTCATCTCCTCCCTCTCTCTCCCCTCATCATTGTGTCAGATATCCTGCTCGGCATAGCAATAGACAAACCAATGCTAGATAACATAAACACTGCTGTTGTGTTGGGGTTGAGTTGAGTTGAGTTGGATTGGGTTTGTGTTGAGTTGGGTTGAGTTGAGTTGGTTTGGGCTTGTGTTGAGTTGGGTTGGGTTTGTGTTGAGTTGGGTTGAGGAGGGTTAGGTTTATGTTGAGTTGGGTTGGGTTTGTGTTGAAATCAGAAACAGAAGTCGCTGGGAACACTCTGCAGGCCAGGCAGCATCTATGGAGAAAGGAACGATGGTTGGTTTGTGTTGAGTTGTATTGGGTTTGGGTTGAGTTATGTTGAGTTGTGACACTGTGCTGTTACCTTGGCAGGTGTCTATTTCATCGTGTGTATGGCTTTGCTGGTGATCAGCCTGACGGAGACCATCCTGATAGTCAGGCTAGTCCACAAGCAGGACCTACAGCCTCACGTCCCTGACTGGCTCCGGCACCTGGTATTGGTTAGAGCTGCTGCCCTGCTCTGCCTGAGAGGCAGACACAGGCTCAGCCCAGACCCTCACCACGGCCACCACCCACAGCCTCACACGGACAAAGCAGGCGGATCGGGTAAGTGCGGTCGTTAATGCTAACAATTAACACTAATCATAATAATCATAATAATAATCCTTGCATTTGATATAGCACCTTATCACGTCTTCGAGACGTATCAAAGCGCTTCACAGGATATATCAATGGCAAGCTATGCGGTTTTAGCTGTTACCCTAACCCACACTCTGGGCTCCCCCCAAACCTTGGCTCTTGCCAACCTGTGTCTAATACTTTCCGGAATTAAGTGCGTCTCTCCGGGGAGAGGGGGAGGGGAAGAGAGAGAGAGAGCACATTCCATTCCAACAATCTATCTCTGGGATTTCCATGTGTAGGTGGGATGCCTGGAATTCTCAGTTTGGTTGGGAGACTCTTAAGCAACGGTGACGGGTTTCCGTGTGTGTCAGACACACGTTGGGCAATTGTTTTATTGTAAAGTGGAGTGACTGTGTATGTTGTGTATTTGATATCCGTGCTGTGAGCCTGTGTTATCTCCTCAGCGATGCCCAACCACTTTGAGAGCGAGAGCGTCGCTGAGTGTGATGGTCAGCGGAGGTCGGTGTCTGGCGTGGCCCCCGGCGACCCCGGGGCCCCGGAGACCAGCATCCTGCAGGAGATCGTGGCCATCCGCCGGTTCCTGGAGAAGCGTGACGAACACCGCGACATCGCCAAGGAGTGGCTACAAGTGGGCTACGTGTTGGACACCCTCCTGTTCAGGGTCTATCTGCTGGGTGTGCTGGCCTACGCCATCACACTGGGCACTCTCTGGGCTGTGTGGCATTATGCCTGAGGCCTTGCCCAGCCCAGCTCAGTCTAACCCAGCCCTGACTCAGACCCAATCCCAGCCCCAACCCCAGCCCCAACCCTAAACCTAACTCCAGCCCCAATCCTAGCCCCAGCCCAACCTTAGCCCCAATCCCGGCAAGTCTCCCCCTTGTCTTTTCCAATCACGTCCTGGGATCATTGAGGCAAGTTGTCCTTAGGCAATCTTCCTTACACGACACGCCTCTGTTTACCTTGCAATCTTTTAAAGAGCCGTTAGTACATCGCAGCGTAAATGCACCATTTAAAGTAGGCCACAAACTTAAAGTGGAGTCCTGTAGTGTAGTGGTTAGAGCGCTTACCTCGCAAGTGAGAGGATCCGGTTTGATTCCCGGGCGAGGTGAAACCTTAGGCAAATTTCCGTACTCCACACATCTCTCGCAGTTGACCTAGCAGTAAGTAGGAACCCAGTTGTTAGTCGATTGGTGGATCGCTTTTCAGGGGGTAATAATCCCTTCCAAAAAATAATAATAATAATAATTTGGTCACTCAATCCACGACTGTTTGTGGAACACTGCTGTGCGCAATTGGCTGCCGCGTTTCGCCCACAAAATACACAGTCAATCCACTTACAGTATCTTCTGTGAAGCGCTTTGAGACGTCTCAAAGACGTGATAAGGCGCTGTATCAAATGGCAAGGATTAATTATCATTATGAATAGCCGCACCGGAAGTCGGTATTAAGTGAGGAAGGGGTTAAGTACGTCTCCTTCCGCGGGGTAGGGTTAGAATCGGAGATTTTGTCATTTTTCTGGACATCAAAGTCAGTTGCTCCGTTAGTTACTGATTAACAAGCTGATATTGACGAATGGTTTAAAAATCCATGAGAACAGTAAATCAGCCGATTGATTATAGGAGAGAATCAATGCTGCAACAGACCCAGTCCATCATAACAGCACTTAACATCCCCTGTAACACACCGATGCACATTAGAACGCGCCCTTTATGAGTCACGGTCCTATTGGGGATTGAATTGAAGGCTTTGGCTCTCTGTTTAAGCTTAGATCAGTCGCTCGCACTCTTGCCTCTGGGTTAGAAGTTTGTGGGTTCAAGCCCATCCTCCATGACTTTGAGCTCGCAGTCCAGGCTGACGCTCCAATGCAGTGCCTTGAGGGGGATGTGCGAGGGGTGGGGGTGGTGGGGGGTGGGGGGGTGGAGCGTTTCATTGTCGGAGACTCTGTCCTTCATTCAGTTGAGATGTTAAACTGAGCCTGTACCCTGTTCAGGGACGCTAAAGGCGTCACAACACTTGGAAAAGAGAAGGGAGTTTCTCCTGGTGTCCTGGCCGACAATCCTCTCCCCCCCTCTCCCCCTACCACCCACCCCGACACTGTCCTACGCGTAAATACATGTTTGCTTACAAAACATTCCAAGTGTGTGTGTTAGTGCCGTGTATTTGAGTGCATTAAACGCCCTGAGGCACTACCCATATGATAGCCACTATATACATATAAGTTGTTGTTGTATTCGACACAGTGGTGGTGGGGGGCTTGGGAGGAGGTTCTCAACCCGGTCGCACTCTACGCCTCTAACCTTTGGAACTCTCTCCCTCCATCCCTCAGTCTCACTCCCTTCTGTAAGAACATCAGAAATGCTGGACAAAAAAAAAGCCCAAGGTCCATGGGGTTCTCATTGCACCTCCCTGACCTTCTCTACATGTCTTTAAATTCCTGCCTGAAAACTTATCTCTCCAACCCCACCAATGGTTTATTGACCCCTTCGCTCCCCCCCCCCCCCACCCTCACCCCCACCCCACCCCCCCCCCTGTGATCTTACCTGAAGAGCTCTCTCTGCACAGGAGAAACCAAAACTCTTGTCTATCCCCCAGTGCCTTCGCCGCTTCCTCCCTTTCCTCCTTCAAGGCCGTTCTCAAGACCTTTCTCTTTGACCTTCAGCCTTCAGCTCTCCTCTCGACTCTCTACCCCCTCCTCGCTCCCTCCCTTCCCTAACCCTGACCATTTCCCCCCCTGCTCTGATCCTGACCCAACTGTCCAGCGCCTTGGGACGTCATCCCGACGTGAAAGGCGCTCTATAAATGGAATCTTGTTGTTGTTGTTGTTGATCTTGCATTGTCTCATTTAGTCCACCAGAGGGCGACAGACTCCTTCATATCTTGTTCACACGCACATACACACTCACACACACATACATATACATATACATACGCACACACACATACACACACACACACACATATACACACTCACATTGAATGAGAAGCTTCATTTCAAAGGAAATAACGTGTTTTTTTTGTACAGTAACATCTCAAAGTGTTCCACAAGTAATTACCGTCAAGCGTAGGGACGTTTTCTCGGTAAAATGTGGCAGTTAATCTGATTATTTTGTTAATTTAGTCAATTATCGCGTGCCTTTGATATGCACAAACACTGGGACGCTTTAACTAAAACTAACTTTAACTGACCTCAAGTCTTCCTAACCAGCTGTCTATGTTAATGACACTGTTATCCTCTCAATAAATTCAGAACGTCCAGGCCAGTCTGTGGTGTCTTCCTTTTATGTACAATAATCCTTGCATTTGATACAGCGGCTTATAACGTCTTCGAGACACCGCAAAGCACTTCACAGGATATATTGTACAGTGAATTAACTGTATTTTTTTTAGGCGAAACGTGGCAGCCAATTGCGCACAGCAGCGTCCCCACAAACAGTCGTGGATTGAGATAATAAAGGAGTGAGAAGGGGCCGGGGGGTTGGTGGGGGTGTGGGGTGGGTATTCTCTCGCAGGGCAGGGAGAGGGCGAGATGGGATGAATGGCCTCCTTCTGTGCTGCTACGATTCCGCGGAGCTAGTTAACGACGACAACAACAACTTGTAAATATATAATGCCCTTCAGGTAGTGTCCCACAGCACTTCACAGAGTGAGTGAATGAGTGAGTGAGTGAGTGAGTGAGTGAGTGAGTGAGTGAGTGAGTGAGTGAGTGAGTGAGAGAGTGCACGAGTGGGAGAGAGTGTGCAAGTGGGAGAGAGTGATCGAGCGAGCGGGCGGGTGCCCACAAGGGTCGGAACTTCCTTGATACCCCCTTCCCCCATTCCAGACCCCTCCCCACGGCTATTGAGTCCCACTCACCCAACAGAAACAGAGCCCCTTTTCCCAGGTCATGTTCCTGAGGGGCAGCTGAGTGGAGGGTGGGGTGGTGGGGGGTGGGGGTGGGGTGGTGAGGTGAGTAGAGGGGGTTGGGGTGCCAAGCGAGTGAGGTTGAACGAGTGCGTGTGTATGGGGGTGGTGGGGGGTGAAAATGGGGGGTGGGGGGGAATTTAAAGGGTCAAACCTCACGCTGGCACTCGTGAGCTCCTTTATCCGTTAGATCATATCTGGGTCAGAGATCATGTAAAGATGGATTCCTCAACTCGCGCACACAAAGCACTGACTAGCGACACAGTCGGTCTCTATTCAGCCTCCTCTCCCCATCCATATCCACTTTGTCACATAGTGCCTGCTGAGAGCATCAAACCTCCTTTGATGTCCTGGCAGAAAAAAAAGTCTTGGGATCTTTACAGATATTTCAACACGTTTACAAAGAGAAATCTCATTACCCTCCCCTCCCTCTCCTCCCCTCCCTCCCTCCCTCCCTCCCTCCCTCACTCCTTCACTCCCTCCTCCCCTCCCTCTCCGTGTTTGATAAGTAAGCTTCCGCGATCCAGTCCCACGTTTACAATGAACGCGATCCGCCAGTGGAAATTATCCTCGTTCAGATCGTAGGCCTTTTTTTCTTTGGGGGATTTAAATAAAAAGATTCTTTTTTTAAAAATAACGCTGGAGCTCAAACCAACGCTGTTTTGTGGGGACGCTGCCGGGCGCACTTGGCTACCGCCTTTCGCCCAGAAAATATACTGTCGCTTGCACCATATTTTGTGAAGCGCTTTGAGACGTCTGAACGACCTGATGAGGCGCTGTATCAAATGCAAGGATTATTATCATTATTACTTTGCACTGTAAAGGTTTGCAAAGGGGTGGAGGGATGGCCAGTGCTTTTTCCTTCTCTTCGACCCCACTCCCCCACCTCCCCACCTCCCCCCATCCCCGCCGCCACCACCGCCCCGCGCTCAAATTATGGGCCACTGTTAAAATCACGTTCATTATATATTCAACGAACAATTTGGTGCTGTTATTAAAATCGCACAGAATGCCTGAAGACACGTTTAATTTCTCTGTATTAAGTAAAGTTTTACAGACGAGATCCCTCACACCAACGTAATTGCTTTTAAAAGCTTGGCTGATCTGATTGTTCTTTTGAGATGGGTCACTTTTACTCCTTGTTAGTCACTGTTAACTGTATCTGAGATGTTCTGGAACGTTATGTGTGTGTGCGTGTGTCCGTGTTCTACGTGTGTGTTTCCTGTGTGTGTGTGTATATATGTGTACGTGTGTCCTTGTGTCCCAGCTCTCCACCCCTCCTGACCCTAATTCTCCAGTGCCCTGGGATATCTTTCTAACATGAAGGGCACTATACAAGTTAATTTGTTGTGGTTGTCCACGTGTGTGTGTGTAGGTGTGCGCGTGTACCCATGTGTGCAAGGTGTGCGCGTGTACCCATGTGTGTGTGTGTGTGAGATTGGGGAAATAACAGGAACTCAATGGGAATATCCTCACGCCAATCAGTTATAAGACACCTTACGTCTCCCGAGGGAGAGATCAAGAGAGCGGCTCATTGCGTCCTAATGGGGGAGAAATTAAGGTGCAGACACGGTGTCCCATCTTGCCAGTGGGGGGGCGCTGGTTAGCGAACGAACTGGGCATCAGCGAGAGAGAGAGAAACACAGCGACCAATTTGTTTTGGAGGGTTTATGAACCCCAGAGAATGATCTACCAATCGACTAACAACCGGGATCCTACTGACTGGCAGGTAAACAGAGGTAAACCCGGGAATCGAACCTGGGTCCTCTCGCTTACCGGGCGACGCTCTGGCCAATACGCCACAGGACAAGTATCGTTTCCCTTCCAATATTT